GCACGAAACATGCTTGCAACTTTACACATGACAAGCATTTGACCACTAAAACAGCGTGGTTATCCATATCAAAATATTTGACTTCATAACCATAGCATGGTTATATTGTTTAATGTTTGTATATGAGCGCCAAACATGCTGGAAACTTTACATTGGACAAGCATTTGACCATTAAAACAGCGTGGTTATCCATGTCAAAATATTTGACATCATAATTCATAACCAAAGCATGGTTATATTGTTTAATGTTTGTATATGAGCGCCAAACATGCTGGAAACTTTACATTGGACAAACATATGACCTTTAAAACAGCGTGGTTATCTATGTCAAAATATTTGACATCATAACCAAAGCATGGTTATATTGTTTAATGTTTGTATATGAGCGCCAAACATGCTGGAAACTTTACATTGGACAAGCATTTGACCATTAAAACAGCGTGGTTATCCATGTAAAAATATTTGACATCATAACCAAAGCATGGTTATATTGTTTAATGTTTGTATATGAGCGCCAAACATGCTGGAAACTTTACATTGGACAAGCATTTGACCATTAAAACAGCGTGGTTATCCATTTCAAAATATTTTACATTATAACCATAGCATGGTTATATTGTTTGATGTTTGTATATGAGCGCCAAACATGCTGGAAACTTTACATATAGGACAAGCAATTGACCATTGAAACAGCGTGGTTATCCATGTCGAAATATTTGACATCAAAACGTTTCAGAGTTTCCGGCTATTAGGAATTAGTATTGTTTTATAATTAAATAGAAAATTCCTACCCTTCAAGATGGTGCACTACCTAACTCAAGGGCGATTTTCTAAGTTACGTATCCAGTATCAGTAGTTAATGAATAACAAGCAAAACGAATGTATCTTATTTCAGCGCAAAATCCGCAAACATAAACAAACTTAACAAAGTAGATTTTCATCGCAAATCGTAATCTAAAAAGTCTCATTGACCTCTATGATTTTAATTGAAGAAAGGAAATGCTGAAATGTAGAAAGAAAATGTTGATGAGAATTTTTATAAGTTTTCATTTCCATAAAAAATTCCATTTCACTTGCCTTTATATAAAAAATTTCCATGAAATATGGCGACCCTGGAAAGTGGAGACCCTGAATTCTGCTCATATTATACAGAAGAAATACTGAGGAAATATGTGATATAAAAATAATGTTGTAATCATAATATGTAGAAATTCACAACGAGTACAAAATGATATTTTTTATTGCAGTAGAACGATCTGCTGAAGATTTTAGAGAAAGATTTATTCGTTCACAAACTACACTTTTAGTCACTTGCGGATACTTGATTAAACGAGATTGGTAAATTATATACATTATGCGATTTTTCAAATATTCAGTTTAACCGCGTCATATGATAATTATCAAGGCTGAGGTGGTCGCAGCGGGGGCAGCTGTCCCCATTGCCCTTTGATTTCGGGGACGAGCGGAGACTGTGCACTATGCTACCGTATATAACAGTATCATATATACATTCACCATTCTATCTTAACTCAGACTATGCTATATAATTGAGATGTCTGCTATTTGCATTAAAAAACTAACCGATATAATATTATTGAAAACTGTACTTGTAAGTTTAATTTTCCTCTGTGTGTTGTTGCTGAGTTCAAAATGAATGCTTCTTTTCTAAAATGAATAATGATGATTCTAAAATGAATAATGATGATATAAGAAATGATTAATGATAATAATATATATATTGCATAGTAGGACTAAATCGTCAGGCTGGCTACGCCACTGCCTCTGGGTGCATGGTCAGTCGGATAATAAAATGAAGTTATGAAACCTTATAAACGGAATATCTTCGTCTTATCTATCTTTGAGGGTTTTAGCTCTCTTGCCAGAGGAGGATAAGCCACCAGATTTCCCTTTATCTGTTCCAGAATATCTTGAACACTTTTCGTATTTTCACGCGACAAAGAATCGGTATTCTCCCTACGAAGTACGTCCGAACCAAACACTTTTAGAAACATGGAATTATTCATTTCTGCGCGATCACGTATATCTTCAATAGAATTGTTGCCCAGTGGATCATCGATGCTTATATCCCCCTCATCATCCCCAAATACTCCCAGATGCTCTTTAAGTAGATCACACCTCAAGCTATGAGCAAATTTCCCCATCATGAAACGTACACCATTCATTTTACCATCAAGGAATTCCAAATCTTCAATCATAACTGCGACTTCAGAATCGCGGTCCCCTAGCATGCTACGATCATTGATATTGGCGGATCCAATAATTACCAAACGATCATCGACTATCATGATTTTACTGTGTACATACACAATTTCAGTGACGAAATGTGTTCCTATTAGATCATATTGACGCAGGCTGAATACAGAGAAGTACTTCATCGCAACTTCTTTTGAAATATTTTCTCTGTCGAGTTTACTAATGAGCGAGTCCTCTCCACGGTAGAGAGTCGCCTCGACCCAGAACGTCACTGTTCGCAAAGCCTTTCCATCCCCGTCATTGTCATCCCAATCGCCATGGAATTCAGGTTTAAGTGGAATAACGATCATAACGTGAAAGTCCTCGTTGGCTTTATAGGCGCGGACAATTCTTTCAACAAGCGCTGACTGGATCTCGTTTTGAACTTTTCCCCAGGAACCGTTTTGTGATGAAATGAAAAACTGATTCTCAATATAAATAAAGTGTTGAGCATTCTTTATCGCATCCACATAGGCACAATGTATGGAAGCTTCGTGTTCCATACCAGCTGACCAGTCAGCGACGGATCTCAGGAATTGAATATTCACTTGGTGTCCACCGGAATTGAACACGTGTGCTCCTACTCTGCTTGTCTTCTTTGTTACACGTTGCCTTACATGGTGAGCAGTTATTCTCAAGAACTCGTGAGACCAGCCCAAATATTTCGCCCACCAAATCTTCTTAGTTGCGTTATTGTATCTGTCTGTAAAGTGGGTCACAGAGTCAAGTACAGCCTTTCCAATGAACGCACAACTTACATCATGCCAAGGCATACGGGGAATTGCATTCCTTTCAACGCCGCGGTAACCTTTCAAAGGTTTATCCCAGTCCGTTTTTTTATCCTTGTTGCAAAACGTATTTTTGTAATCCTTTCCAATCCATCGGGCATAGCGATTAGGACTGAATGGTTTACCTTGATTGTCCGATGCCTGGGTTCCAACTAAAGCCGAATGCGTGGGGTAATTATCCATCAGTTCATGTTTATGAGTGTCCCAACGACCATAACATAGATCAATACCACCAACAAACGCTATATCTCGATCAACAATTACCAGCTTTTCATGATGACTCCAGCGGAAAAGGTTTAGGGCATTAGTGATGATATCGGGATGGCGATGAACTTCGATTTTCTCATGCTTATCAAGTAGTTTCTCGACATGCTTGCTTCCGAGATCTACAGCTAGTTGTATCTCGTGGTACAATAGAATTTTCACTCGAACACCCTCGTCAGCCTTTCTCAACAGCATTTTGTCGAGTCGCCAATACAAGCCGTCGACTCCAGAGTCGGGTCTCTTCATAAATATTTCAGGATTCATTTGCCAGTCGGTTATCAAGATTTCTGTCTTGGCTGCCTCGATAGCATCGGCCACAGCGGACATGTAATCCTTGCCGTCAACATACCACAGAGCTTGGCTATTTCCACGGACGGGAGCGAACGACCCATGGCGATAGAATTGGGAGTTCTTTGGTAAAAGGATTTTGTAAACTATCACGATTAGTGTTAGTAAAATAAAAATTATATCAAACATGTTGCAGGCGGAATCTTTGCCCTACGACCCTTCGTGCTGAAATGAAACTTGTGGTTGTTTACGCGACAATTATAAGGCTACTTAAGGTTAGGAAGTTTTTGACATGTCTAAAAAAATATCAGAGATTTCTTTGTGATTCTATGTTCCGCTGGCAAACTAGCAAACTAGGAAACCAAAATTGAAATAAAGAGTTTAAAGACTCTTTTTATTCACCACTGCTGGACAAGCAGTCAAGCAGACAATTGCTGGAATTGCTAGTAGCGATTACGTATGGAAGATATACTGCTATTTGAGTCGATATAAGATTCAATGAAAGAACAAAATGAATACATGTATGATATAATATTTCAAATTGATATTAAATATTCTTAGAATTATGTAGACCGTTGGCGTCGCCAATTCGAGGAATGAGGAACAGCCTGTCGAAAATTTTTATTATTCAAGCATTCAGCATCCTGTTCGTTCAAATATCAGTTTATAGACGAGACATAAATTAAGGAAGTTGAATCGTAAAAATAACGATGGAAAGTTTTTGAGTACGTTAACATTTTATAATATGACATCGCCTAACATGGCCTAAACTTTTTTAAGTTCATCGGCACATATATATACCAGCCTCGTACCCAGGCGCTTTAATAGTAAAATATATAATGTTGCATTCAGTTATAGTATAGAGGTCAGTTGAATAAAGGCGAGCGCGCGGGGGTACCTCTATACTATAACTGAATGCAACATTATATATTTTACTATTAAAGCGCCTGGGTACGAGGCTGTATATATACGATCTGAGCGCGTACAGAATAACTTTTAAGCCTAAACGTTGTTCGCTACTATTCATCTTGTGCTCTGGTTTTTTATTGTGACTGTTAGGGATTATTCAATATTCAATAAAAGGGGTACCATAGAGTTGACGACAAATTTATCCATAAAGTCCGTTCACAAAATACCTTCTTGTCCCTCCTTCTTAAACCCCTATCCCTCTCTGAGTGACGATTGCCAATATCAACTCTTCTAAAATTACTAAATCCACAACCATTTTCTAATCAATTAGACTATACTATAATCTTATACCCTCTCCCAAAATTACTAAATCCACAACCATATTCTAATAATTAGACTACTATAACCTGAGCCTGCCACACGCAAAATAAGATGTTTTATATCTGATTTAATTCTTATTGCTCATGTTAACTACAATATATTCATCATATCATTTAGATAGCCGAAATCCACGTCATTTGGACGATAATGTTGTTTGTCTCTTCGATTATGATTGCAAAAACTGTTAGTGACCTTGATTCGAGAAATGCTGGATCCACACTAAATGGATTTTACTATGATGAAAGAATTGGAGCAGGTAGCCGAGGATGCAGAGGACTGGTACTAGGAGAGGTCCGTATATATAATGCTGTAAAATTGATTGTCCCTGACCTTAATCTACTACGAAAGTTGAAAACAGATATTAGTTTGTTCTCTAGGTTAATCGATCAGCCATTTACCGGAGATTTAGAATTTTGGTAAACAAGTTGCGTATGTAAAATGTTACTTAAAAGCAGGCTGATTTTCCATAGGCAAAAGCATATGTATTCTTCTGTACAAATTTGTTACAATATTAGCCGGGTATTACTGTAAATTTTCAGTTAACCATTAGTTTTCTTGCATTTGAATCTTCAAGTTTCACTGTTTGTGAAGTAACTCGTATATATTTTAAAACCGTTGCTCTTTCACCAAAGAAAAGAAAAGGAAAATTTAATTAAAAGCAATAGGATTAAAAAACCAAAAATTTGAAAAACGAGGTTAAAAGTATTTCACGGTACTTGGAGAAAACTGGCTTTAATTTGGTTTCCAGAGATTTAAGAGTGGGGAAAATATTTCTAGTGAAAATGAACACACAAATTTTATGAAGATTTGAAATGAATTTTCCTAAAGATGTGTTCATTATTATAAACACCTAGAAATTCATATACGTAACAAACAGGTGGTTAAAAGTGGGTCAGGCTCAGTGAATTCCTTAATTGTGATAACGCAATGTCTTTACGTTTTTTTTTCGTCATTGACTTTGAGTCACGAGAGTCATATTGGATGTGTAAATTATGTCTCAAATAACCAGAAACATGATGAATTAATGTAATTCAAAACTACTCATTTTAGCCTAAGCATAAAATCGACCCTATAAGAAGTCATATGTTTTGGCTTTATACGTGGTAAAGTACTATGAATGCTAATTAGGATGGCACAGTATATAATTTGTCAATAAGCAAATTTATTGGTCGACAACAATGCGGCGTATTTAAAGTAATTCAAAACACTCGAACTCGCGTTTTATCATATGTAAAACGCTCCCTCTCGTGTTTTAAATACTATGTAATAATTAACAAGCATCATGTTACAGCTGAATATTGATGTGTAGGAAAAATTGTTCGCATTACCCATATAGCTTTTTGAGGTCCCTATACCATTGGTTCTGCTATGTTCTGCCAGTTGCATTTCTCAAAAAATAAACACAAAAGGCAGCATAGGGCTGTAAATTTTAATTTAGTCAACTTAAAACTTTAATTTTCGGTTTATAGATATTTGGCTTCGTTGGTATGTTTTTGTTCTTTGTGGATTCCAGCGTCTATATATTTATGTTCATGGCTCACCAAAGATTACATTCGGAACTGGGGAAGCAAGTTCTATAAGCACTGAAACAGTATATATAAGTATTTTCTAGGACACGAAGTTACAGCCAAGGAAATTACTGCCCGATTTTACGTGATGTTGTGGAACAAATTTTTATATTGTAAATAGATGCAATAAATTCGATGCGAGCAAAATGCGTCGTATAACCTTGGACTCTAGGCTACCGTAGCAACCATTTTAGTAAATATCAATGAAGAAATATATTGCACAATAAGTGCTGCATAATAATTATGAAATACTTCTGTGGTAGTTTGATTTTGACACCATGCGCATTTTGGTTGAAGTTTTTGAACTGGCTATTATTATAGAAAGTTAAATATAGGGGGTTCCATTTCCAACCCGCCCCCTAATTAGTACTGTTAGTGTAACCATATTTTAACAGAAAAAAAATAAGAAATCAAATCACAAAAAGTACTAGTTCAATAGAGCATGACTAGCAGGAAAGTGATATCTCATAAGGCAAAATGGGCAATGCATCTGAGCAATGGCAAAGGGCTGACTAAGTTTGAAATTTCCTAAAAAAGATGGACATAGAATCAAGCATTTTCAGAAAAGATTATAGTAATATAAAATCTATCATGACAATTTATGGCAACTGTGGATAAAAAACTTAGATAAGAATTTCTTTCACTGCGTGCAGCCGTGAACGAGTGGCGAGTTAATTCCGAGGCGTTTAATGTCGCAAGCTAGAGTGTTGTTGTTATTCGAGTCAAATGACAAAAACCACGTGTCTCGTTGACTGCGATTTGTGAATTTTCTTGAGAGAACGGCAAGCGATTTCGAATCAAAAGTTGAATTATAGCTAGAATTTAACAATTCAGTCGAAGTGCATGCATGCAGCAAAAACCACGTGTCTCGTTGACTGCGATTTGTGAATTTTCTTGACGGAGAACGGCAAGCGATTTCGAATCAAAAGTTGAATTATAGCTATATAATTTAACAATTTAGTCGCAATGCATGCATGCAGCAATGGAATAAAGCGTTAGATCTGCCACAACAAGTAATAAGAATTGTGTTTTTGGACTTCCGTTTAGCGTTTGATCTAAATGACAATAATGTTTTATTGGGTAAGTGTTGCGATATTGGGGTACGTCCTGGACTTGTTAGTTGGCTCGGCTCATATTTAAGGTTTGGTAGTCAACTTTATTCATGTTGTTCGATCAATGGAGGAGTGCCCCAAGGTAGTTGCATTGGCCCAAAAGCATTCATCGCCTTTATTAATGGTTTGCAAACAGTGTTTAATCGTTCTGATAACAGTTCCACCGATACGAACGTCTGTACCAACGATAACGCCAATGATGTAGACCTTACACAGTCACTCATGATCAGCGCCCATATCTCAGGATCGCAACTTGAAAGTTCACCAGAAAATGTTAGGAAGATGATTGATTTTGCCGCTACACAAAAAATGGAATTAAATCTTAAGAAATGAAAAGAAATGCAGTCAGTAAACTTTCGTAAGAATAGGACATTAATTCCTGCTCTCATATACAATGATACAACCTTGGAAAGGGTCTCTTCGTTTAAATAACTTGGTAAGTCTTGGATTATAGATAGATGGCAACCTTAAGTAGGAGACAAATACTGACTATATTGTAGGAAAGGCATTAAAACGACTTTTCCTATTAAAGGTTTTAAAGAAATACGGTACAGATACTATCGATATGAAGAGATTTTATGTTTCTGCGATCCGGCCCATACTTGAATATGCATGGGGCACAAGTATGGCATGGGGGTCTAACACAGATGGGGGTCTAATAGCACAGAGTAAAAAATGCACAAAGGTACAAAAAAGAATACTAAGGATAATTTACTTTGAAAAAGACTATGATAGTGTATTGTCAAAAGGTGGGATGCTATCACTTCAAGAACGTCGAATTCGGCGATGTGCATTGATCCATTGATCTAATACATGATATGTCTTGCCCTCAACACAAGTTGCACCATCTCCTCCCAAATAAACTCTCCCAGACAAGGCAAAGAATCTCGCGGCAGAATAGCGAACTGTATTACAATTAATGAATTATCATTGTAAAACTGAACGTTTCAGGAACAGTCCAATAGTATCATCAATTGACCTTTGTAATGACTCTCTTAAGATATAACTGATTTTATAATATGTGTACTTTACTATTTAATCATAATTTAGTTTTTAACAACTATTTGATGTGTAAATTTCTGCTATTACAATTACTATTACAATTATCTTTTTATTACAATTACTATTTCTGCCCGCTAACCCGGGCCTTAATCATGCAGTGCACTACTATAATTGATGAGGGCCACAGTTGCTACAAATATTTTCCCATTATATTATATTTTGGAAAGTTTTAAAAAACGAGCACCACTAACCTTAATTAAATGCGCTGGTATTAAAATTTTTTTACCCTCATAGCTCTAGCTTATTCCCTCACGAAATATTTCTACGGCACTAAAAGGAAAACTCTGCAAACTTTGAAAGTGAAAGCAGATCCTGAGCGGTTGCGTCATCTTGGAGGCCCAGTTCTACGAAAGGGGAACTCCCTTACGCGGAAGCAGGTCGCAAGATGGAAGAAGAATAAAGAGAAGAAGTGTAAACATCAACGTATGATGTTTTGCTGACGACACTTCACTTAGTTTACGTGAAATTTATGGTAAGAATGATGCTCTGATATACAATATGAAACAATGTGCACACATTAACATATGAAAACGCTATATACTATTTTCTAGATTTTCCTCAATTATAACTACGACACGTAATTGCTACGTGTCCCATCATTGCACAACTCATGCCAATATTTAAATAAATTTGTAGGCTTATAGCGAATATTATATACCAAAGTGCGGCTATACTGTTAGTACTTAGTACTATTTTCAAAATTTAAATGGCTGTGAAAAGCTTTCAAATTGAACTGTACTATGTATGTCAATTGATGTGTATGTGTGGGCCAAACTGACATACTCAGTATATACACATGCATGGACATGCATGATCATATGGCCAACAAATTGCTTGGTGGCACAGGGCACAGCTTAATTAAGACCATATGGCTAGCATGCTATTATTTTTTATATATTCACAGTGGCTTAATTATTTAATTAAAGGGTTATACATTGATAACTTACATTATTAGTCAGTGATTTACTCATTCATAAATCAAATCAACCATTTTATTTTCCTTGTTGGCCACCTATCCCCTTGACTTTGTATGATGTACATGACCTAGTCATTCCATTTGTGAAGACCACCAAAAGCTTAATCCTGCATTGTTGAAAATTATATACTTTATATCAACATAAAACGATATATATATATATATATATATATATATATATATATATATATATATAATGTCATTTCATTCCTTATAATATACACACTTGGTGCTGATTGTCACATCAATGCAAGTTCATTTGGATTATTTATTTCATAGCTACGGTCTATATAAATTGGACCTAGTACAGGAAACCCTTATTAATGTAGATATAAGACAAATAAGATAAGAAAAAGACGTATTCTTATTTCTGCATCTGCAGAGATCTTCAAGAATTTGTTCTATTTTTAAATTGAATTTAGCCCAACATTTGTACCATATAAGATTAGGAAAACTAGAAATCAAGCGGAATTACCTTGCCTAAATATTTAAAACAAAGTATGCATATATGTTTACATGAATACGTATTTGGTCTGGCAAATTTTACTGAACAATAATAAAAAAAGATATCCATCACAATTATTGCTTCTCTGGTTTAATTAATGAAAGTAATCACCACACAGAGATTACACTCACAACGGGTCCTCATTAATTAAACCAGATCTCGAGTAGCAATTAATAGTTGTGATGGATTATATACCAGTTGCTGTGGACTTATTAACTTCAAAATAAGATATTAGTTCTGCCCCCCCTGCTTCACAAAAAATTCAATGAGCCCATCACATGAATTCTAAAAAATAATAACAGCCCATGCATGCACATACACCTCTACCACCACTGATATCTACAAAATTAGGGTCTAATTTTAGCGTAGTTCACCTGCTTGCATGCTAGCTACAAAGTATATTTTGTAGTTTGTACCATAGCATAGCATAATATATATCTGTGTAAAACTAAGACCTGACTCTGCTTACTCTGTATTATTAGGTAGATAAATTATATATATGAAAAACATATGGTAAGACCCAGTTCATAGCATATGGTTGTAATAAAAAATATGTAATGAATCTGTTGCTCCTTGTGGTATCAATAATTGTAACATGTCAAATTTTGCCCACTAAAACCTTGACCCTCCTTCTGAACAAATATCCCTCCCTTTCAGTCTAAAAACATGACCCATGCACCCCCAGTCATGAATAATGAATGGCGGCCCGTATAAATGTTTTCCTAACTTTTGTATTTAAGTTAAAGATATATATTAATCAATAGACAATCCTAATGTAATTAAATTAAAAGAACTGCATGAATTACAAATGAATTACAAATGAAGATATCTTTTTAAAATATATTTATCCCTACTGCATGAAAGTTCAGCATCTTGACCTCTTGTGTTTACCTGGTACATTTTTCGAACCATTATACTGTAACTGCGTAGATCAATATAGGCTATAGCCTTATCCTCTACCAGGTCTGCCCTTTTATTTCCTTTGTCACAAATGTATAGTCCGCCCCGGTCTTATATTATATTTAAAAGTAATTCATTCTCCCTCTACAGGGTGTCCCAAAAAAAACGAAAACTATTGAAATCACCCATAACAATGCCATTGTTAGAGTTTGAATGCCTAAGCACTCTGTTGGGCCCACAAGTGTATAAATCGGGGTTGCCATAAGCATTTTTATGCATGCATATGATGCTGCAACATTTACTTGTTCGCAAAAATGATATTTACTAACAATATATACAATTTACAAATATGGATAACATTATTTAAATGTGCATCTCAAGGACCATGACCTTCGACATGTCCCCTTTCTCTAGCAACACAAAGCATTTAGCATTTTATAAGTTGCATTAAATCCCCACGGGCTGAAATTCGTGAACACGGCATTCAAATTTTAACAATGAGTGATTTCAATAGTTTTCGTTTTTTTTGGGACACCCTGTAGAGTTCTTACGGCCCAAACGAATATCAACTTTGATCTTTGGTCTTTGATTAGGTTTAATTAGCTTCGAACTTTTCATGTGCCAAACCTAATGTTAATCAGCTATCTCTTTAGTTATTTGCTATCAAGTTATTTACTATCATTTTTTTTCAAAATTCAAACATATATCTATGATAAACATGCAGGAAAAGATTTGTCAAAGTCAAACAACGCGTTTGTTTTTATTGCCTATGCCTATGACTATGTTTAATTTTTTATATATTTTCTAGCTTAGAAAGATGTCGTCAGCGAACTCACTTTTTGTACCTGTTGAAGAGAAGCTCATGGGTCTTGTTATTGGAACTAAAGGAAGAAACATAAAAGAGATTGGAGATAATACCCAAACAACTATTACGCGCAGGAATGGGAGGGAGTCTGGTTTCGAAGTAACTGGCGGCACGCCAGATAATCGTGAACAAGCAAAGCTGGCCATAGTAAGTGGACTAAAAGTTTACCCTTTAAATTGTGTTAAATATTGACAATGTTCGCCTCGTAAATTCGTAAAAAAATTATACTTTTGTATCGCGAGGCAAACGACTCACACATTGCAGAAAAAACTAGAAGATTTTAAAATGTCCCGAAAACTATCACATTATCAAAATATTTCAAAGATATATTTACGTTTAAGTATTTTAGCATCTTCTGGCTTATCTAACAGTAAAAACTGAGCAGAACTATGAGAGGTTGAAAATCCAAGTTCATTTAAAGAGATGAAAGTTTGGACTCTTTTTGCAATGTATCACAATTTCAGAAAATTTGATAAACATTTAGTGCGCCGCGAAACGTTTCAAAATTGGACTTTATCCCGTTTACTCCGTTCTCGCGTAACCTTTTTTCATGCAAGAATGATATACATGCATGAGTGTGACTGATAGTTTGAATAACGTACTTAAACCAGTGGCGTAGCCAGCATCGATAATTGGGGGGGCCCATATTCATATATTCATGTAAACAGACTGTAAAGACAATTGATTTGAAAAGAAATTAATCCTGCGTATCACGAATATATGAATATGGGCCCCCCCAATTATCGTTCTGGCTACGCCACTGACTTAAACTAACAATGAATACTCTCGTTTCATTGTTTTATATAACATTAACAGTTCTGATAATTACTTCATTCGAAAGATTCCAAACTTTCACCTCTTTAAATGAACTTGGATTTTCAACCTCTCACTTTCTTTGCACAAGCGCTTAAAAATGAAGCTTTTACAAACCGTTCTCCCGCTTTTTGAGGTTAATTTTTCTACTAGTTTTTACTGTTAGATAAGCCAGAAGATGCTAAAATACCTTTCACGTAAATATATTTTTGACTTTGAGATATTTTGATAAAATGATAGTTTTCTGGACATTTTAAAATCTTCTAGTTTTTCTGATACACCCTGTATATAGACTCCAAAACAAACCCAGACAAAGCTTACCCATGCATTACTTACCCATGATTGAAAGCACATCACCACATGGCAATAAGCCTTTCTCACGATGACGTTTTTGGGGTACTTTCAATTTTTTTAAACGGGTTTTAAAAGTTATAACAACATGAATAGCCATTTTTTTAGAATGAAATAGGTATCTCCTGTGTCAACCTGGTGCATTTTTCAAACTATTCATCACTGTATAGATTAATATAACTTTACTCCTAACAGGTCCCGTTCTGTTTCACCACCGTTTCAATTTCATCAACATAAACAATGTAGTCCGAATTTATATTTTAAAGTAATTTATCCACCCCCATAGACCTTTTCAGCTTGTATGCTATAATTAACCCATTTCGAGTCACGTGCTCTGAAATGGTTGAAATGCAGCCTTATTGGCATTCCATGGTCACAACATCTGAAATGGGTTAATTTGCATGCAAGCTGAAAAGGTCTATATTAAGTTCTGAGTGTCCAAACGAACATCATGTTTTTTTGTTTATTTTCTCGATTTATTTCATTTTATCATGTTTTTTGATCTATTTGTTTCTTTAGTTAAGTTATTTGTTGCCTATGTTTATTTTTTCATATTTTCTAGGTTAGCAAGATGACGTCAGCGAAGCCACTTTTTGTACCTGTTGAAAAGAAGCTCATGGGTCGTGTTATTGGAACTAATGGAAAAAAAATTAAAGCGATTGAAAAGAAAACCAAAACGCGCATTAGATCCAGAAATGGGAGGGAGTCTGGTTTCGAAGTAACTGGCGACACGTCAGATAATCGTGAAGAAGCAAAGCTAGCCATAGAACGTTCCATAGTAAGTGTATCTTTTCAATTCTCATTTCTCCCGTGAAATATTCATTTTATCATGTAGCTCTCAGAATACCCAACCCCCATGAGAAATTGCTATTAATGAAGAGTTCATTTAAAGAGTTAATAATAATACAGTTACAATTTAGTGAAAAAGAATAAGAATAACTGCCATTTGATGAAGCAAGAGTTTTCGTTATTGTTGTATTAGTTAAAATCGGTATTAGGAAAATGCCATTTTAAAAATTTGATCAAAATATGGCAGAAAATTTCAACTTACGTGAACCAGTTAACAACATTCTTGGGCTTAGGCAGGTGCTAACCGTTCGTTTCTCTTTGCAATAAAAGGTGAAGAGCGAGTCAAAAATATTTGAAGTCCCGAAAGAATATATAAAACTTGTAATGGGTAAAGAGCGTAAGAATATAGATAACATTCAAATGAAATCAAAAACAAAGATAACAGTGCTCCGTCATGAAGGTACCGAATGCTCTCAATTGTATAAAATTATCTATAAAACTTGTTGTCCATGGTCTTCCATTTCGTAGCTACTTGTCGTGCTATACACTCAAAATTAAACCTCGCTTCTTTTCAGCTTTCCGAAAGCCTTTTTTCTAAGCGTCTAAGTTCTTGTTAATTTTATTTTTGCAATTAATAATTGCTTAATTAATCACTTAATTAATCCATTCCTGACTCTGCATTGCTAGCTACCTTTAATTTAAGGGCTGTTTACATCAGTCTCGGTTAGGCCCAGTTTATACGTCACATTTTAGTCGCGACGAATGCAATTCAAACTATGGATAATACAATGGTGATGACTGATGAGGCTGAATAAGGTTTAAGTTTTACTCTCACGAGACACGTGCAAAGATGTAAGACATCCTTCTTCATAACATGCATGAAAAATATTTTATTTTGACCAATAAATGTGGAAATAAGCCGTAACACTAAAACGAGGATACCAGGCCACGACGTATTCTAGTGTAATGGCTTATTAGTTGACATGCACCGAAGGACGTTTGCGACATTATATTCAGTTATGTAAATGTACAAACATACAAGTTCTTCATTGTGATTGGCTAGATTTAAAATGATTGCAAATGAGACGATGTGGGATGCGCTTGGGATGCTCGTTAAAAATAATTAGTCGAGCACAGATTTATTTTCTCTATATTTACGGTATTTTTCGTTAGGTTTATAGCATGCATGCACTGCGGACAACACACCCCGTATACTTGAACTGAAAATCATTTATTTTTATATGCATCCAACATTGTAAATAGTCAGAATTTTCTTCTCATACGACAAATAAAAACCCACAGTCAGTGGCGTAACTAGAACGATAATTGGGGGGGGGGGTGAATATTCATATATCCAGTTCTGCCCTACGGATTTCTTTTGTAATTGCAATAGCTTACAATAGAAATCCGTCGGGCAGAACTGAATATATGAATATTCACCCCCCCAATTATCGTTCTAGGTACGCTTCTGCCCAGTCGATCCTTGGGACGAGTTTTTGGTCAGCACAATTAATATAGAGATATAAAGCAGTCTTTTACAAACAAATATTTATTCAGTTGAAATTTCCAAGCTGCGATAATAGATGAACTTCTATAAAACTAAAAGTCTTACTGCCTTCAATATGCCACCGCGAGAGAAATTTGATTTACGATCACTATTGAATGAATGGCGCTCTCTGCATGGTATTTCGTCGTAAATGAATTAAGTCGTTAGCGACGAGAGGTTTCGACATGCTTCGAATTCCAGCAGACGTTCGACCCTTGCATGTATATACCAAAATGCCGGAGAGCGAAATGCTGTTTGTCGAAGACTTTTAGGCGTGCATTTAAACAGCCTCTTTACTATATATCTTAAGCCTGGTTCCATTAAAGCCTGGTTTCCATATGACGCCGACCTGTCGCCGACTCATTGTTTGTAATCATCCAAGGAGAAAATGATTTCAGAAAGACAAAAGATTTCACTCATCAGTAATCACCGACAATAATACTTTGCCGACGTCGGCGTCATATGGAAACCAGGCTTAAATCGTAATTGTCGTGAACGCGAGTCGTTTTTACCGATAAGAAATAGTCCAGCTGTAAATTTTTCTTTAATTCTGTATTCAAATCGGTCATTGCTGACTGCACAATTTGACTGTACACGAATAGAAATATTCAATCACAGCAGCCACCTTGACATTTTCACGACACTTACAGCTTATAATGGAAACTAGGCATTATACGCTATCTTGCACAAAGGCGATATACGTACAGCGGCTTTCCTGTATAAGCGGCCAAAATGGTCAAACCGGTCATATTTTCAATTGAAATAAAGTATTTCTTTAGGAATATAGCGATGAAACTAGACCTACCTTTATCTATGCTATTCATGCAGATGTAAATAATTATATATACTTGAATGCAGAGGTCCTGGATCACTCAAAAATACCAGTAATTATGTCTGTACTGAAATTCAACAGGAACGGTCGTCTGGCCGTTTTTATACCATTTAAGAAAGCAGGGTGTCCTTGAAGAATGTTACGTACCATTTTTTTGAATTTGCGTCCACAAACGAAACAGCAAAATATATAGAAATAGAAGTCAAATTACAAATTCAATGCAGCATACAAAATGCAAAGCCATCCCATGCGTTGAACGAAATGGGGACGAGCACGATTTTTCTTTTTATCGCAGAAGATGAAGGAGGCCCAATCCCATTGAACATTTGTGGACGTCCGGCAAATTGTGGCCGAGCAGTATCGCTTATCCGACAATGCATAGTATGGACCTTGATTTCGTTCGTTGTTTCTGTTAGATTTTGAGATTTTAGGTTTTGTGATTGTCATCGTATAGATATCCAATACTTCTTTAAAACAAATTTGTTACTTAAGGGTGCTTTTAAATTGAAGAGCATTGGATATAGTAGCAATGCGAAGTTTGTTTGCCTTGACTTCAAAAGTGAAGATGAAGAGTTCCAATTAAACGCAGACAACGATCCTCCTAAATTGGACGCTTTTATCAAAGGACGGAGATATAGGATCGAGACTGTGATTGAAAGTGAGAGCGACAGTGAATGCGAGTTCGAGGTAAGTTTGCAATTGTAAATAAATATTCACTAGCCACATTATACTATTATCACAACCTTTTTATTATCCGACAGAACTGTGAATCTACTTTCTAGCGACTGTTAATGTTCTTGTACATGAATAAAATGGTCATCAAATCTTTGACTTAAGAATTAAAAAACGAGTCGCGTGCCTTTATGGTGTAATAATGCGCGATGGGGGAATGTTGGGAGAATACGAGAGAAGCTTGTAAAACACGAGGCGTAGCCGAGTGTTTTACAAGCTTCTCGAGTATTCTTCCAACATTTCCCCGAGTGCATTATTACACCATAAAGGCACGCGACGAGCTTTTTTAATTCTTTTATAATATAAGAAGAAATTATAGGGCAACAACAAAATTTATTTATTTGATCAATAATGAAATTCTCCTTACATGTCTCCTAAGATGTTGCTTAGCAACAAAAACTTCAAAAGCCAGAAGCGTGCATTATGGCCTCACAATGCACGCGCGGTAGCCAATCAAATTGCTCGTTATATCATACTTATATTATAAATCTAAATAGTATATAGGACCTAAACTTTAGAAAAATATGATTACCCTGCAACCGAGAATGCGGCTTCTCGGTTGTAGAGTAATTATATCTTTTGGATTGTTTACATATATATATATATATATATATATATATATATATATATATATATATATATATATATTTATATATATATATATATATATATATATATATATATATATATATATATATATATATATACAGCCATTTGCAAAAACGTTGTCCGCAGATAGATAGATAGATAGATACTCGAAATCTAATTAGAATTCCATATGTTGTGCAATACAATTCTAATTAGACTTCGAGTATCTATCTATCTATCTATCTGCGGACAACGTTTTTGCAAATGGGTGTATATATATATATATATATATATATATATATATATATATATATATATATATATATATATATATATATATATATATATATATATATATTCCATCTATTGGTGTATTAACAAGCTATTGGTGTACGAACTACTGTATGTTAAAAGCTCCTAAAAGTTCTTGAGAAATTCTTATTTTAAAGAAACGTTTGCTTAAAATAAGTAAAAGGGGGTAAATTATTTCTATGAATTTTACTTGACATGAGTAAACTTGTTCTAAGCAAGAATAACAGTTTCTTAAAACAAGTAAATGTTCTAGTAGCTTGTATTCTCACTATGAATTTTGGTATTCTTAAAACAAGCAAAGCGTCTTTGTGGATTCTTGGCAAGAAATATTGTTAACTTCTTAAAACTGGCATTTAAAAAAGCTTGTTGATTCAATTTCCTTATAATATCCAAAGCATGTTGAAAGCCTTACATTTATTTCAAACAAGCAAGAAAATTTTTATATGCTCACTTTTTCTTTTATATTCTTAAGTCAGGAGCTTTTTTTTAAAACAAGCGAAGATTCTTGTCAAAAATTTGTTATTTGTTTATATCTTTCTTTTTATATGCAAAAGAAATGAAGGTTTTTAAGCCTATTTAAACATTCTGAATTGACTTATTCGTTTATTAGAAAAATATATCATTTAAATCCGGTAACTGGCGCAAAGAACTGTGGATAGGATTGCACCGCGCTCTCGATGCGTGCCGGGATAGCGTCACTTATAACGATATCGTTTTTATTGCTTTTCGGTTTAAATTTAATGTTCTATACGTCTGAGTCATGACTACACTGTAAATAATAATTTATTTAGTAACGCCACCCTGTAAAGCTTTAATTAAATAGCTAATTAAAAGCTTTTAATAATCTTTACGTAAGACGTATATACGTATTAAAGATTGGCTGGAAATGTCTATATAATTAGCGGAAAATACATTGTTGCCGAATTGTTTTTCAGAGCGAAATCGACAATGCCCGCACGATATCAAAAATTGAGCAATATTTATTAAAATCTTTGCAAAGTTTGGAGAAATGTAAGGATAAAAATGAATTGCTGGTTGACCTTTGGTGTCATTTTGGGAAAGTCCTTGTAGCGAATGTTGATGAAGGTGAGATAATATTTATCATTTATTGACCAGCCGGAGTGAATGGGGATTGTGATATTTCCCGAGGCCGGTTTCGCTCGAGGGAAATATTTCGACCAATCCCCAGAGAGGAGGGTCTAAAATGATATACCGATTATTTGTTCACTGTGAAAACGTTAAATGTACGCTATATAGATATTTTCCCGCTTCTCCTTCCGCCCACAATTCTCGCGAGTTTCGTTGGCGCCTTGGCGGCTTCTTCGATTAACAAGCGGTGATACGTAGTGGCCGCTGTTTTGAAGGACTACAGAAATTAATATTCGCCGCTAGCTGTAACGGTGTATATATGAGGGCGCTGAGCAAAATAATGGCCGAATGTAGTATATCTACTGATAAATACCGTAATACATACGATGATAGATTTAATGATATATACGTAGCAATAACCGTTGGTAGAGTGCTCATGCAATAGAAGAGCATGCAGGTTGAATTCCAGATTCAACAGTTGTGAATAGACATTTTATTAATTATATAGTTTCGTGCCACACGTGGTAATAAATTTTAGATTTCCAATACGTACCTATATAGGTATATATAATTTTCCCTTAATTTTCAAGTCACTAAAATATGTTGCAGTGTACTTCCTTTAAAATTACTCTATTGTATTCCATGTCATCATTGAGTATACAAATTACTAATTGAAGATATTTCTCATAAAATAGAGGAAAATAAGAATGTATTTAAACCAGCGGATATTATTCGACGACTCAAAAAGAAAGACAAAGCCGCGTTAAAAGACAAGAACGGCACTTGGGATGTTTCTTTTGAAGAGGGTGTAAAACCATTGCATATTAACCAAGATGCGCTTCCTCAACCTGGTGTTAAGGACTTTGGAGATTTAAAACTTAGGCTGGCTCACACACAGTGGCGCTACGATTTCGGTTTCAACTCTCCATCAGGTATTTTTTTTCTCGCAGCGGCACGATTTACGGCTGGTTTCCTGTCAGGGAAATTATTCCTCATGCAGACTGTATAGGACAGGAAATTTTCTTGGGTCCGTGCGTTTTCTATACTGTAATATTTTTTCGATATCTCATATATTTTACATTTAAACCTTTGTTAAATTCCTTCTAATACATTTCTTAGTAACAACAACAACCTTAATTAGTAAAATGTCAATCATCTCTATTAAATATAACATGCAATAGACCTTTTTCATGGTAACGTCAAACGCGGAAAGTCCGATGTAACACGAAGTTTGATTGGCTCGATAGTTTCGTGGACCAAAACTAATTGTCTTAAAGCACAAACGAAACTGTACTGTACTGTTCGATCCGGCCCGGAGGATAATTTTCCTGACTGGAAATCAGCCTTTAGTGATATATATCTAACAATACTCACAATACTAACACGAACTCGAGTCGTGTATATATTGAACAGTTATTCCATATGCATATACGCTGACACCTTACGCTATCCTAGCTGCTAACAGAGGGCGCCCCTCGTATATATATATATATATATATATATATATATATATATATATATATATATATATATATATATATATATATATATTTCTTATATTCATACATAAATATTATATTCTTCACAAGCTAACTGTATACAGAAAAATATAAGAGGCTTTAGATAATCGGCTACTGCATGCATGCATCTTAACCATTATACCATGCATTAAAGCTCTTGGTTGGAATAGATAAATAAATAAATTTATGTAATAACTATAATGAAAAATATATAGAAATGTAATTGTATCAGAAAATAATGAAGTATTTCTCTGTTAGAAAGGACTGTACGATTGAAGGTATGGCAAAACTTGCCGTCTGATATTGCGGACGGGCCACCAGTTGAAGTAAAGAATATTTTAAAAAAAGTTATTCTCGAGGCCGATAAGAGCATTGAAGCTTGGATTTGTCATCCCTCCACCACAGTTCTCCGAGGGGAGATAATGATACCTACTTCTCGGTATGACTGCAGAATGAAGTTAAGAGCAGGTATCAATCATAAGATCATTTTCTATAAACTTGTCGTTTAAAACATTTACCATCAAATCGTATATTTTCTTCGTTATATAGATTCGCTTGACACATCAGAGACCAGAATTTCCAATAATCACCTTTGTAATGATAATTAACTAATAAAATTTATGAACTGTTTTGCACATTTATTTCCTGTGTTTTTTAAGGTCCCCGTTATGCGGCTGACAAAGATAATGTTTCCATAGAGGAAGACGAAATTCTAACGGACTATCTTTCCCACTGCAAAATTGATACCGAAAAACATAGTATGGATTTGCCAGACAAGAATGACCATGAAATTCCAAAAGGCTTTGCGTGCACGTTCTACCGTGAAGCGGAGGAAAGAATGTATCGCACTACCTTTGAAGATGAGGAATTTCTTGTTATTGTATTGGACCAAACAGGTTGGGATTCGGATACGTCGAACAAAAGGGTTCAAAAGCAGGTTTGTACACTTAGGCGCGGTTTACACTGCTAAAATGTCTGTGATTAAGGCAGAATTTTTGGTTGACATTCCAGGGGCCTATAGCCCTCTTTTTTTGTTCATAATCCATCCAAGGCGGTTCATAATCCAGCCGCTGTTGACAACTTTGCAAAATTGTATAGAAACTTAAAAAACATACCCCATTGTAACTTGACAAAAAAACTTTCACGCAGCAAAAGGCAAACTATAAACCGCAACATGCAAACTGCGCATAATTTAAGGTATATGTTCGCACACGTTTAAAAAAAAAGCATCACAAGGATGTTCCTATTTCAGGTAGTTTGAAATCAATTTTAGCAGACCACTACGCGTGTATTCAAATAACAGTGTCAGTCTAATCTTCGTGCCTCGTCGTCTTTGAAAGCTAGATCTTTTTTGAATATACTCTGATAAAAATATATCAATATATATTTTATGTATTCCACTGACCACAGAAATGTTGTATATATAGATACCGCACTTGGCGTCAATTGTATATAGACTAGTTAACTTTTAACTATATAAGGACAGTGTTGGCCAATCAGAATTGTGTATAGAAGAGTTAACTACTAAATTTACTAGGATTTAATTATGAAAAATGTAGTTTTTTTAACATAACCGGCACAATTTTTATAGTTTGGTGTAAGGGTCGTAATGGACGCCTGGTCAGAGGAACTATTATCACCCAATCGAAACTGGAACCCGAAGAAAATACTAAACAAACTTGACGTGTACATGAAGTTTCTATGTTTTCTTCAAAATCACTTGTTTTAGTATAATATCTATATATAGGCACCTACTACCATATATACTGCTATATATATATTTATCACATACTTGTGCCTTTATCAGGGCGATAACAGGGTGACATAAAAACGATATCGTCACTGATATCGCTTTTTGTCACTGATATCGCTTTTTGTCACTGATATCGCTTTTTGTCACTGATATCGCTTTTTGTCCCGCTGCATTTGCCGCTGTCAAAACAAAGATGGCTGACTCGAGCAGTTCGAGGTTTGTTTCAGTCGATGTCGATTGCTTTATAGAAAAAAAGGAAGTATGTGATAAACAGGTTATCACAATCGGGACGAGGTGATATCAGTTTTATCGCTTTCAGGACGATATCATAAATGACCCTCATTCGCTGCGCTCACTCGTGACATTTATGATATCGTCCCTCAAGCGATAAAACTGATATCACCTCGCCCCTCATGTGATAACCTATACATATATAATATAATATATATAATATATATATAATATATATATAAATATATATATATATATATATATATATATATATATTCCTTCGTTGATGCTGAAGGTGGTCCACTACACTAAGAACTATTATTTGTCCTGTTTGAAAAGGTTTAAGGGATACAGTCTTAAATCTTTCTTTGATCCATCCTGAATATTTTTCTCTAAGAAATAATTATATATAAAGAACGCGAGAATTTAACGAAAAGTCTAACAATCAGAGTTTTTAATACCCTGAGCAAAAAAGGCTTACTCTATTGTTTTGTCCTATTCTATTGTTCTCTAAAACTTATGTACATGCATGCAAAGCCTTTTTTGTCGCTTTTCTTAGAGAACTAAAATTCTCATTTCCCATGCAAGGTAACTTGAAAAATATAAAATATATAAAATATTCATAGTTGACTTTGAAAACATAATATAGTACGCGCGTGCTGATTGATCAAGAAACGTGCTGTGTTTCTATAACTGCATGTCTGTACATATAGAGACGATTTTTTCCGCTGACAAGCGAAGTAGTGTAGTGAGAATTGTTATTAAATTGAATTAAAGATTTGTACGAAATCTTTTTATTAAGTTATATTATAAAATGAATAGAAAACATTTCTTCCTGTGTTTATATATAGTTATAGAAATACTTGTGGGAGTTTAGGACATAACTAAAAAACGAAATAACGTAAGGGCTGATTGTCGGGAAGTGTGTTTTTAACACTGTGTCGAAAATGTGTCAAAACTGTGTCTTTTGCCTCGCGGCTTTAAATTTAAAAGGATAAACAAAATAATTAATGGCTACTTGTTTTATGGGCCGATTACATGGGCCGAGTTGTCCCAGCTAGCCGGGGTGGTACAATTAGCCAAGTTACTTTCTTCCGTGCGATTACATGGCAAATTAGCAGCAGGGACAACTTTGAAATTTACGCGGGAAATTTTGGCGGGTAAATGTTGTGGGTTAAGGCTTTGAAAAACAATGACAGTTTCACAACAATACAGTTAATACAAAGAAATGGGCCGGGAGTCATATTACTCTGCGTGAAGTAGCTTAAATGAAAGAGAGTCTCTTTTTTGAGAGAGACTCCCTTGCTGACAAGAAGAATCTATGGTGGTTTGCTGGTTACGACGAAAGATCGCCTTTTCTTTGCTTAAAGCTCGCGTGGTGTGTGTTCGTGGCGTCGAAGTTAGAGAACTGCGTCCATCACTTCGGCTATATAGTGACATTACTTTGTCTGAATGGAATTGGAACATGAGCGAGTCTAGTTAAGTTGTTTTTGTAAATAGTCTGTAGAACTGTTATACTTAGTTTTGATGCATGATTGATTATTGTAAATTTCCCTATAGTACTAATAAACTTATCATAATTATATGTAAATTAGCTATATCTGTTATCCCTGCATGTATAATTTATTGCGAACTTGTTTAAACTTTTCCCTGCACTTTATAATTATATATAACTCGACTTCTAAGCACATGGAAGGAAGCATACGGGATAAAATCTTGCTTGGACAGTCGCTCCCCCTCATTCCGTGGAAATCCCCCCTGAAATGTTAACAGAGACAAATCGAGATCTCGACAATATATAGGTCGCATGTAAGAATGAGTCGAGGTACGTCAAGAATAGTGTGCTGCCACACACTGTTTGATTTTATGCTATGCCTGCCTTGCTGTTCGACCTTGCATATACACGTTCCGATTGCTACAAAAACTAGCAAAACATAAAATTGTTTACAGCATTTGCATGTCATTTAAAGAAATGAGAAGAACGTTAAAATATTGGTATTTCAATACCGCTGAAAGAAGTACAATAGCGCTGATTGAAAATCAATTGTGGTAGTATGGAAGTTCAACAACAACGCCTTATTGTATATTAATATATTCCGGAAAGTGAAAATCAATAGAACGAAACGAAGAACAACTGCGTTAACTTATTCATCATTAACATTTTCGGAACAACAATAGCAGTAAATCAAACGACATTTAGCGCAAAGAAATATTCATTAACACAAAGTTCTCTCTTTCTGCGTTCTTATATGTATACATTATTTACAAACAAAAGATATAAAGGTACACGTGAGGAGACGTTCACTTCGAAACGTTGAATTTCAAAAACAAATTTTGATAGACTGCCTAACCATTGCGAAATGTACAGCATGGGGCAGACTTAAGCATGCAGACCTACTTGCAAGAGAACACATCCAGGGATAAAACATACTGCACATATATTGCTGTTTTGTGAACAGACAAATATTATAGAATGCGAATTCTAATATTTATTTTGTACACCTTTACAATAATGAATACTTCTCTTTGCTAAATGTCGTTTGATTTATTGCTATTGCTGTTCCGAAAATTTGAATGATGAATAAGTTAACGCAATTGTTCTTCGTTTCGTTCTATTTATTTTCACTTTACGGAATATGTAATCAGGCGTTGTTGTCGAACTTCCACACTACTACAATTGATGTTAAATTAGCGCTATTGTAGTTTTTTCAGCGGTATTGAAATACCAATCATTTTAATGTTCTTCTCTTTTCTTTAAATGACATGCAAATGCTGTAAATAATTCACAATATTTTGCAGAAATGTCACAATGAAATGAAATACCCGCACTATCTTGTGCCATGCTGGTTCATGTTTGAGTAATAATTCATGAATGGGAGACTCATCTTCAGCGGGTCAGAGAGTGCGGGCTCAGGCTTTTCCACGAAATGTTCAGCAGAGTACCTGGAAAACCAAAGCGTTGCTGTTATATTAAATATCGTTTGTGCAACTTGTATTTTCACCATTCTAGCATGGAATAATATTCCTGAGAGCAATTTTGCAAATTGGCTCTGCTCGGATTCGTAAAAGTAGTCCAATATTGTGTTGGATTACAAGTATCTTAAACATGTCAGAAAGTAATACATCAGAATCTCTTCTTGAACTAATTGAAAGCAGCCTTCAAGGAGACAGTGATCGTGCCAAGATAAAGAGAAATATCAGAAGCACTCTGAAAGTGTTCCAAAAGGGTATAAAGCTACCAGTTTCTGGACCTTCTTACAAACTTCGGTATCGATTTGCTGTCAGGAAATGGAAATTGCTGTCAGAAACAAACAGGAAATGGACTTTCGATTTGGCAAATGTTTTTATTGAGGACCTGAAGAACGAATTAAGTCGTAAAGAAGACTTGAACTTTAAAGATGAAGTCGACGAAATTCTCTTGGGTAAATATTTCGATCAAGAACCCATGACCAAAGGCATTTCTCAGACGAAGGTATCTGGTCAAGGATCGGTGAAATCCTACGAGAAGCAGAAACAGACATGGTATGTCACTTGTAAATGCGAGAACTCGTTTTATGTGATTCTTGCGAAAAATGGTAAAAGCGAAGCCGAGGAAAGAAAAATTGATGTCCAAAATATTTCTTGTCCCCGCTACGAGCTTATTTATCCTGGAGATGAAGTTCAAATCGTTCCTCAAACTTCGCTAGGAGACGTATACAGTGTTTACATATTAAAGTACGTAAAGTATAATTTTATATACCACGCATGCACCGCCACCAGGAATTTTTTTAGATATACCTATGACTATAGCCTATAGAGTATAGTCCTACGTAACTATTATAAATAAACATGTTTAACGGATATTTAACTTTAGCCTTCACTGCATATTTTTCACTAAATTAGAGACCTTTAGTTTGACGGCAAACGCCAAACCGCCAACAAAGTTTGTGTTTTAACTCCACTATCTTTAAGTGTGCGGCATTTTCGCTAAATTACAAACGTTCTGCAAAAAACCTGTGATGTTCAGCAGCAATGTAAGAAAATTTCTGATGTATTTAGGGGCTGTTTACATGAGCCGGTTGAGCCCGGTTACCCGAGATTCAACGAAGCGTGAAATGATTTTGAGGTATTGAAATGAGCAGATAACATGATCTTGGTAGTCGTATAATCACCACAACGATAGCATGTGCTTGTATGGTGTCATAAAGACTTATTTCAATAACTCAAAGTCCTCTCACGCTTCGTTGAATCTCGGGTAACCGGGCTCATGTAAACAGCCCCTTAGAAAAGCAGGTCATTCAATTTTGCCGTATGTGTTTCACGTTCGCTGTATAAAATTTAATACTTGAACGCAGGCCAGTGGCAGTGTATGCAGTCGTTCAAGCATTAAATTTTATACGGCGAACGTGAAACACATATGGCAAAGCTGAATTAGCTGCTTTTTTATAAAATACATCAGAAATAGCTTATTGCTTTCTCATATTACTGCTGAACATCACAAATTATATAATCAACTATATTGAATTATTCAAAACTTTGGTTTTTGACTTTAAAAAACACGTCTAGGATTGAATAATGTATTTCCACCTAAGGTATAGCCTTTGAATTCTCCTGTACATATTTGGAAGATCAATAAAAATTGTAAACTATTGCAATCAATTGCAAATTGCTTTCTAAATCCCCCACGCCTCAACATCGCTTTGTCCCGCCTGGCGACTAATTTTTTTTAATCCGCAAGATCTGCATGCCCGGTTGTCGAAAGGACAATCATGGTAAATTTTTTATTTCGATTTTATCTTAAAGGTCTACAGGGCCATCTTCAGAAAAAAACCGAGTTGCTAAAGGCATCTTCATAAAGAATCTATTGTCCATTATCCAAATGGAGAAGTGTTGTTTAAATGTTTTTGACATTTTGAGGACAAGGTAGCTATATCTTCACTTACATTAATTCAGTTGTAGCTACTTGTAGTACTATTTAAGAATTATTCATTATTATACTTGTACGTATAAAATTTTGTATAATTAAGTTCGCAAGAAACCTCTTTAAAAAAACCTCTTTTCCGCGAAATAATTTACCAACTTCACGCGGCGATGATTTTTTGCACTTTTCAATATTTCGCAACTACTAATTAAACTTTCCAATTTTGGGGCCCTTATTCCAGCTGTATAGTAATAAATGTAGGATATATTAAATATAATAAAATCATATATCTCCATTAAAATATGTGTTAATTGCAGATGCCCTGGAATCTGGGACAGTATAAAAAATGACGAAGAGCTTTTTAAGGATGAGGAATGTGTACGAGATGTTATGAAATTATCTTTATTGCTCTCAAAGAAATTGTTGGAGACAAGTTCGTCAACCTGTGAAGATTTTTTAGAAGACTTTTCGTCATCGAAATTTTTTATCGCGTTTTTGCCAGAATTCATTGAAAATAATGCTCACAGGTATGTTCATGGTTGCTTGCTGCCATCATGCACGATACAACCGGTACGGATGCATGTTTCTCTATAACGTTTTTGATTGGGCTTATGACTTGGGTCTATCGCGGTCATCTTCAGACTGCATCCCTAAACGAACGACTACACTATTTCTGACTTAATACAAACTCACGTAAGAACTAGAAAACGGAATAGGCATGCATAGGTTACTTTAATAGACTTTGCTTCTTATCTATATCCAGCGATTGTTACGATTATTATTAAAGATCATATTATTAGCAAAATTACTTCATTACATAACACATGCCTAGTGCATTGATTTAGTGTTCACTGTTGAAGTCATTTTCCTAAGCAATTTGCAAACTGAGATGAAGTATATAGAGTATATATTGTATTCATCAGCGCTGCAAATTATTTAGAATATTAAAAATGTCAATATTTTCCTTTATATATAAAATTTTTAGGTAGAAGATATTATACCATTGGGCTTGGTGATGAAAATTTATGCCTGTAATCCTGGTTATATTTTTCATTTTTTAGTAAAGATGTTGACGTTTTAAAGCCACTTCTAGAAAATATTATGAAGTGTTCCCCACAAACTGCAACCAAAATATTCAAGGTTGCCAAGTACTTAGCTGATTTAATGCATACAATTAGCGTAAAGGACGGAGGACCAGAGGAAAACTCAACTTGTCCGGGCATAGAGTACTTGGTACATCTTGGCATGATATTGGCAAAATCAGTGGCAGGATATCAGGATGTAGACACCACTAATTGTTCGTGGAATGAATTGCCGACTATTCCAACGGAAAAGGAAATTTGTACCAGTAATATTATCCACTTTGATACAGTCTGCTATTAGTGCTATATATAGTATTTATTTCGTTACTTGTATAAGTGTAAAAACATTTATTATTTGGGGTTTTAGCCAGAGCTAAGTAAGCTATCGGCTTATTCCATTTTAGTGTTAAAATTTGGCTCTTATCTTGCATGTTTATAAACGTCTGCCATTTCCTGTCATTTATACAGTATAGGGGTGTCTGGTGCTCGTAATTATGATAAGTGCACATTCATACAACTCTTTTTTGACTCAGAATAGCCTGCCTGATAATATAGGAAGAATAGATTATATAGTCATAGAATATATTCAAAGCAAAACTATTGAACCCCATAATATAACGTTTATAGCGATGCACTATTTGATTTCGAGCATTATTTTTTCACTTATGCATGTTGCTTCATAAATCATATAATTACATATAATTATTTAGTTAATTTCTAGTCAATCATTTTTTAACTTGGTGTTTAAATTTTTGTTTCTGTTCAAACGTAGAACTTGATGTCAGAAGTCTGCAACCTATCAAGCATAATGAACCGTACGACAACGTAGAGCAGTATTTTGATATAAATTTCCGTTTACTTCGCGAGGAATGTTTCAGGGATTTATGTACTGGCATTCAGAATTTTCGGAATTTGGAGAAGAATTATGATCCACAGAAAATGAAATTATACAGGTAAAATATGAAATAATTTTTTTATAAACTAGATCCGTAATACAATTCCACACCATTTCTGAGAGAAAAATGCAGGGTTTAAACTATATATAGAATAAAATTATAACAATGCCTTCTTTTTACAATTTGTACTTACTAATAATGAGAACAGCCAAGCCATAGACAGCAAGTCTTGCAAGATTTTGAATTCATCTGCAATCCAGTAATAACTGAAATAGAAGTATATACTTTGTGTCTGACAGGATATAATCATAAAGAATGGCTCGTTAATAAACACCAAAAACAAGACTGGTCCTAGAATATTTTCTTCGGGGATATCACACTCACGACTGCACTTTTATAAATTAGTCAAAACAGTGATAGTCGTGTATTTCGAAAGTCATATAAATTTAAACTTAAAGTAAAAAAAATTCAGAATATAAAATGTCGGAAAGATATCAATAGACACTATCTAGCAATAATTAATATCACTGCTAGAACCTATATAATGAACGCGACCGATGTACACTTTTATACCCTGTCTCAAGTGTACTCATTAATTCGTTCTTTTCTTTTCTTCAAAGGATAACGTTGAACTCAATCACTGCTGCTGATCATAACACACAAATTATTCTTGTATTGTGTTGCGAGGAATACAGCTATGGAAGAGAGAAAAAAGAGAGGTACAAAAATAATACCTATTTACCGTGATCACAGTTTTTAAGCGCTTGTAATATCTACTGACATTTCTAATTATAAGTGCCACATCTCCATATATAACAGCTATAAATAAGCTTTATTTCTCATAAGTATGCCAAGGTTGCTTGCATTGCCAGTTTTCGAAAAGTATCTCGAGATATTTGTTTGCGTTCGTAAAAATATATTTTCTCCAACAAATTTCTTTTTTGATCGCAAATATCGTTACTTTGATTTAATTAATGAAAGTAATCATCACACAAAGATTAACTTTCACGACCCAACGTTTCGACTCCGGTCTAGTGTCTTCATCAGGGGTGATCTGATGTTGAAACTTTGATCCTTATATACTCTCAACATGGCGTCATCGATCAATCGGATGTAATTATTCTTTTGGCAAATAGTTTCCGTCATCCCTGTTTAGGGCACAAAGACTCGCATTAGTATGCCAGGCTTCCAAATAACTCCTTTCGTTCCACGAAATGTTATATGGTTTGTTTGACACACATGTTCCGCCAAGGCTGATTTTAAACTATCTAAGTTCGAAAAGGCCCTTTGACGTGTGCCAAACTGATGTTTTGCTTCGCCAGATATTCTTTCTCGCAATACGTGCACCACATGGTATATAGAGTATACAGCAGGAGTTTTCTTATCAGTCGCTACGCGATCCTTGGTTTTTCCGAAAATATCACCCAATGTCGAAAGGGTTTTAAGGCAACTTTGAAACCACAATTATTCAGGTTTCTCCTGATTGGTTCTGCCTCCTTAAATGTATGGGACTAGTACAAAGCCCGTTTATGAGGAATCACTCTGTGGAATTACATTTATAGTCGCCGGGTATACGAGCTTTTAAACAATAATTTAAAAAGTTTCGTGGATAATTGTTCCCGTTCAGCACATTGAGGACATAATCACGCTCGTTGCCCTGGCAACGCTATTAGATGTTAACGATTCAGCTCTTTGAAACAAAGTTTTTGCAACAGACTTTTTATGGCTTACATCTGATTGATAGATGAAGTCATGTTGAGAGTATGTAGATCACCCCTGATAAAGACACCAGAGTGCCGAAACGTTGGGTCGTGAATGTAATATTTGTGTGGTGCTTGCTTTCATTAATTAAACAACTGCATGTGATTAAACCAGAGTAGCAATAATTGCGATGATTATATACCTTGTTGTTGTGAACTTATTAATTTTTTTTTCAAATAGCAAATCCGGCATTGCTACAGGCTCCGTAAAATATAATAATGCGGAATATCACTGAATAAAAACCTTGGCTTCGTCTCAGTTTTTGTCATATCACGTTTTGGTTACTCGTTTATTAAATTTGTTCCACCTGACCATTTGTTCGAGTCTACCTTTAAAACGTTAAGTATATATTGCGTGTTCCAAAAGATGTTTTCTAAATAAAAAACAAAAATAGTTGAAGTATACAGTACCCACAAAGTGTGTCCACATTTTTGCAGCAGTTAAATTTTCTATGATAAATTTCTAGCTCGAAGGCTGAAGACGAGGCCGAAACTACATGTAACGAGATGCTCTACGGCAGCTTGTTGTGCATCTCACTGAACAAATGCTTTGACAGTCTAATATGGGCTACAGTGGTAAAATATGAACATCAACAGAATTCACACAAAAAGTAAGACGAAAATAGTTCAGTGTAAATATTAATCTTCCTAATACTAGGTGTCATAACATGGTGCCCCAAAAAGTAGCGGTGCTTGACTTAATATAATGTAACAGACATAAATTTTAAGCGAATTGTTATTTTCCATATAGGACGGTCTCTGTAAGATTGTGTTCCGACCGAAATAAGAAAGAAACCCGCGACGTTTTGTTACAATTTTCAGCGATAACAAACAAGGGTAAGTTCAGATTAACTGATAACATGCGTGTGAAACATCGCCTTAATTAATCTGCAGTTATACATTATTTTACTGTAGCAATTTTTTGCATCAATTTAATTCAGGTAATCATGCCTTGATGGCAGAAAGCCCAACGTTTTACCGCGCATTTGGTCCTAGTATGGATCGCCTAAAAGAAATGTATAACAAAGGTAAACCAGTTGATCATTATTAATACGAGTTACGGAATTTGAGGTTTTCCTGAATCTCAATAATGCATGTCGTTACTTCTCGACCAAAGAACGAGCGAACTCAAACTTTTGCTACAATATATGCATTGTGGTTTGTAATATCATGAAATATTTTTTTGTTTTTATTGCATTATTGGATTATATCAGTTTGTTTTATTGTTCGCCGTTTTTGTATAACTTCCTTAATTCAGCCAGGTTTTTATCACTCGCAGACAGCACATGCAGACAGTCAGCGACGCTCTGCAATCAATTGTCCATCAATGGTCGATCTTTAAATGAAGGACTTATTCGTGCATGCATGCTATTAACCTATACTAATAACAACAATAAAAATCAGGATGATTTCTTGCCCTATTAATTCTAATAATAACTAATCCACAATGTCAATGTCCATAAAGGGGGAAAAACACCCAGCCAACAATGCAGTATGCAACAACTTCTTCGAATGATATTTGTTCTTAGTATAAACTTCAAATTACTTTTTCTTTGCGAAGAGGTGAAAACACACCTTTCAATATCTATGATTTTGATGCTTGTATGGAATGTACTGTATAATTATGAGATAACTCAAACAGCATTTCATTTGATTTCTTATTAGCTTATATAATTTGTTACTCACTTCATTCTTGAGAGCGCGCTTTCCATATTCAGTCTCGTGTATAATTATCAAGGTCAACAGCCTATAAAATAAATAGCTTTTGTCCGAAGATATTGAAATGATCTTAAATGTTGTTTTTAAATGAAATATTTCTCATACACACATTATAACTACATAGCTTTATTATAGGTAACGTGCCTCTCGTTCGTGAACTGGTCTTTGCAAATACGCCTTCACCACCTGAATATACACAGGACAAGGAACAGAAATGTGACTGGAGCATTATATTCAAAAAGCCACCCAAAAATGGCTTTTCTTTTTCTAAACAAGAGCAACTTAGCCCAATAGAACAGTTTAGACATCTGAAAGAATCAACAGAAAGTGTACTGGATGAAACTCAAATGATAGCAGTTGAGGACTTTTTGAAGTATAAGGTGTCATTAATACAGGTAAATTATGGTAAATGTGTGATACTCCCCATTAAAGTAAGAATAGATGTGTTTATACAAGAGACGAATAATTTGTCTAGACGAAATACTTGCATTATAAATGTTTGACGTCTTGAACACGAATTAACCTTTGCCCGAGAAATCGGAGAGGAGGCCGACGACAAAGTAACTGGCAAAGTGATTTCCACGAAGTACGTTTTCCACCATGCATTTTGCTGACAATTTGGGGAAATTCGTCTTGCTTCCGTTTATACTTGAAGACGAATTATCCGTCTGGATGAACCCGTCTTGACAGACGAACTTAGCTAACTTTAACTTTGTCTGAGCTATTAATTCATCTAAATATACCGATTATACCATGCAGAAGAATTAACAAAAGTTCGTCCAGACGATTTATTATTCTCTAGTATATAAACACAGCTATTTTGTAATTCTATATGTTTTTTTAAGCATTAAGGCGGATTTCCACTTACAGCGAAATCGTTCGCTGGCGAAATATTTGCATATTTTCTTTTGAATTGAGAACACTCAAGTCGCACTAATTTATTTATGCTGTTTAAATTCAAAAGAAAATATGCTAATATTTCGCTGGCGAACGATTTCGCTGTAAGTGGAAATCCGCCTTTATTGAATAATTGACTGTTCAATATAATTATAGGGACCCCCAGGCACTGGAAAATCCTATTTGGGTGCAAAGATTTTACGTTTAATGCTTTCAATGGGAATTCAGCAGCGTTACGGAGGCCCAATTTTGGTAAGGATATAAATTAATATGAAATTCGTTGCAGGCTACATAATGTACCACGCTCGGTTAAACAATATCGTAAGTGGCATAATTTCTGCCTTTTTTAGATCATGACGTACAAGAATTCCGCTTTGGATCATTTTTTGGAGATATGCTTAGAGTATACACCTAAAGTTATCCGCATTGGCAAGGCAGGAAACGAGAACCTGAATAGGATAAATCTTAAAAATGTAAGATATATACATGCTTATACATAAATCATTTGACGGATTAGAAATTCTCACACGAGGGATTTTTCAATTCTAGCTGTGAGGTAAAATTAATTTCTTTCCATGCTTCCCCCCTTCAAATTCTACCTTGCCCCTTCTATAGCCATTTTCCGTTATTTACTCCCAGAAAGTTTTAATACATATATACCTTGACTTATGCATATGTCATTTATATAATTTCAAATATATAGACACCCAAAAGAGGAATTGATGACGAATTACGGCAGACATACAACGAAATCATTGAGCGAAAAAGAAATTTCCAGTTTGAACTAAAAACACTATTCCAGTGTTTAACGGTCTTTTCTACACGAACATTCTTACAGGTAAATGTAAAATCTTGTCGCTAGACCGGGCCGAGCTTTAATTTTCCATTGGTCAAGCTATTCACGCGGGTGGGGCTTGCATTATGTTTACGCAATTTTCCGTTAGGGAAACAATGAAATTTGATGCCCGTTGCTATATAAACATTCCCCAGCGACGTGACAAGAGAAGCAAAAAAAGTGTGGGATTCTGCTATAGCACTGAGCCACTATGATTTTTCTCAAGACAACAAAAACCCCTGAAATATCAATCTCGTTTCCAAGTAGCATATTCATGCAGTTATATGCAATAACGATAAATCCATATTCGTTTCATGCAATAACGATAAATCCATATTGTGTCCAAAATATTTACTTTCGTTCGTAAATTATAGAACGTTTGACCGGGTGCAACTGAATCGTATATTAGTTGTGATTTTTGATGATTTTTCTTCATTTTGACAACTATTTATACAGATACAATAAAAAATCACCTATTTATATACCGATATATGTTTGGAAAAGAAATTTACTTTGCCTTTTTGACAGCTTATTATTGCAGCAATCTCGGGTCTATAAAAAATAGTATACGCGTCACCATTTCATTTTCTTTCTTTCTTATATGTTTTCAACTCACTAAAGGCAGCATCAGAGCACAATATTAAGTCGCTTTTAAAATCAGAGGTTCAGGTCGACGATATTTTGTCACAATGGAAATCGAATACTGCTCCTCCCGAAGAATTAAAAGGTTTGTACAGTACTGTCCAGAAATAACCTAACACTGCGGTTGCGGTTCGGTGGCGGTCGAACGATAAAAACCGCAGACAACCACAGGGAAAAAACGACGATCGGGTTTGCCGTTCGCTCAGTTAATTCCGAACGGAATGTCATGAACAGCTGAGAACGACAACCCAATAATCATATCGAAAACATCTCAAAGAAATGTCTGTCAGACCGAGTTAAGCCGATAAATTGATAAATTTTTAAGCACTTATAAGTGCATGCCTGCAAACTCTTATATTACTATATAGCTGTGTATTGCATGTATGATATGTTTTGTCACATTCGTAGCAAGTGTGAAGAAAAGTTTGAAAAAATGGCTGAAAAGTGATGAAATTCAAGAAAGATTCGAAAATTGCAGGGAAAAGGAACCAAAATCGAATCGATATGACGAAGACAGCAGGTAAACTATACGTGTTTACAAAAACTGCGCATTAAAAATATTTTTGATATATACTGGTATTTTATCAAATCCATGTTATAAATATAGGGTTCTACCAGAATCAACAAACGATGAACAAGAATGTTTGGATTTTGATGCAATAGACGTAAAGATCGCAGCACAAGAAAGACAGCAGGATGCTGTAGAAGGCGATTCTACTCAAGAAAACTGTGATACACCAAGCGAAAATGAGAAACTAGGTTATGATGAACCTTTGATTAGAAATGTGTACATCCCATTCGGGCGGGAAGAAAATGAAGGTATCGCCGTTTTTTATTTGAAAACCATTCAGCTTTTATAAACCTAATCTCGATCATTATGCTAATTTATAAAGTTTTTTCGTTCGTGAAAGCTGTTAAACAGGCAGACAAAAAATAAAAAATACTCAAAAGAGATTAGGAATAATTAAAATATTATGAAAACAGCTATATGCATGTTCTGTCACAATACCCTGCTGTAATTCCTAATTTTCGGGCGGAATTAGTCCCCTCGGGGATGAAATAATTCACATGATCATTGAATTCCTCTGAACATAAACTTTTTTTTACATTTACAAATATAGCGAACTCAAATGGTGTCAAATTCATTATCAATTTCTACAGAAAATTTGACAGTGAATGCTTAGACATTCTATACTAACTCAGCTCCCCTGACTTATTTTCCAGGAGAGCAGCAAGACTTCAACAAACGCGATTTGTGGGAATTATCTGGTGATGAACGTGTTGACTTTATTTTTGCTTTACAGCGCAAAATAGTTCGTCGTTTTAGCGAAACTGTGAAATTGTACGAAAAGGTATGTGCATTTTAACAGCAACTTAGGCCTTATAAGTGGCGTCGCCAGCTTCATAAGTGGGAGGGACTTATTCATATATTCGTGTTTTACATTATTCATTTCTTTTCATATATATATATATATATATATATATATATATATATATATATATATATATATATATATATATATATATATATATATATTCAAGAAATTTAGAGATTTCAGTTTTCGCAACATCAGGTCCCTGTTCATCCTGCGCGCGAGCTAGTTCTAAGTGCACAAGGCAAAAAAATATAATCGAAACTTTTACTGTCACTTTTAGCGACTAATTCCTTACTGCATATATATTATCTATAGAGCTCACTGCTTCAAATTCGCATTTGCGTTCCTGGTTCCTGGGTGTATTTTTTAACTCCGGCCGGATTTAGTACCCTATCTCGCACGGCGCTCCGCGCGGCCTAGGAACTATAAATATCGATTCCACGTGTTGCACGTATGCAGTTTTGGAATCTACTTAAATTGTGCATGAAGAAAAATAAGATCAGAATTTATTTCAGAATGCAAAGCGCCAACAGGAATACTTGGATTGCAGTACTGTCAGCACATTAAAAGAATACGATGTTATTGTTATGACCGTTACAGGGGCAGCAATTCGATTGCACTTGCTGGGTATGTAATTCTCCCTTGTTTAACTATAGCAACGTTCAGTTGCGATTGGCTTTGGCAACAGTGTATTCATTCTTCCCATTTAAAGAAAAATATGCAAAAGAGAAGAAAAGTTTATCTCAAAATATGGCCTATATCGTATATCGTATGTATATAAGAGTTAACGTCGGCAGTTACAAATAACCTTTTTAGGGTCAATTATAGATTGATAATTATTAACAACTTTTGAAGCGGCATGCAAAGAGACAAATATTAAAACTAACTAAGCTCATTGCACTCATTAAGAGCAGATCTCTACAACGAGCAGCAGTCATGATCTATAAATGCTATTTTCGTGTTTCCAATTACCATGCAATTTCAAAAAAAAAATAATTATATATGTCATAAAGATAGGGTTCGAATTTCGGAACTTGTCATATTCAATCAGGGAATGAAATTCTAACTAAAAATTGTTCTAATGCCATTTTTTTAACTAAAAAACTCAGATCAACTTAAACCTTGTGCTGTGATTGTGGAAGAAGCTGCAGAAATAATAGAAGGCCAGTTGCTCTCTGTTCTCCCTCCCACCATCCAACATCTGGTTATGTTAGGAGATCAGGAACAGCTTAAGCCTCGTATAAATTGTTACCAATTGAGAGGAAAAAAACTCGACTGCTCCATGTTTGAAAGGTTAATAAACAACGGAATGCCGTTTAAGCAGCTGGGGAAACAGTGTCGAATGCAAAACAATATTGCTGATCTCCTTCGCTCACTAGATATATACAAGAATTTAGAAACAAACTTTGAGGTAAGGCACGAGCTATATACAGGGTGAGTAAAAAAAACGCAACCACTTAATATTCATGAATATCCTCTTTGTTCTACAACACAAAAGACGTTTGGCCCCTGGAATGCGAGAAAGCTTGTAATCATATTCTAGCGGCACAATCGTTGGTAAACAAAGTCGGGTCGTAAACCAACGAGCTGAATTGAAAGTATTTAACGAGTAAAATTTTATTTACAATTTATCTTACAAGGTCGACACTTAGCATTCAAGTTATCATGCACGACAATAAAAACTCGTTGTTCGGTTGTTAGCTGCACCGTTATTAGTTTAGCTGATTTGACCATTGCAGTTGAACAGTACGATTAGAAGCCATTTTAAAATCCCAGGGGCATAAAATCTATTGAGCTTATAAACAATATGAATTTTAGAATATTAAGACCCTGTATACAGGGTGAGTAAAAAAAAACTGACACCTTTGAAATTCAAATTAGCTACAATGTGTCTGTAATCGGCTGTAATGTGAAAGAAGTTGCCTAAAATATCTAATGGGTATACGAAGCATATCAAATAAGTGAACCCATTAATTAACCTTGAACATAAAGTTTGTTCCCTTTGGGAGTTAAAATCATTCTAAGCTCTGGAATAAAAACGAACGTTGAATTAGTTCAATTGGTTTAAACACTTTCGCATTAATTAACCACGTCTTGTTGATTGTACACAATGGGAATTGTCAAATTCAGTCCAGCCATAGGTTCGCAGCTAATTTGAATTTCAAAGGTGTCAGGGGTTTTTTACTCACCCTGTAGTTAGCTAACTGTAGTTTCGCAGCTCTCTTGGGAGTAATTTGTCTTTCTCATTGACAGAAAACGAACGATAATGACCCACCCGATTGCGTTGGAAAGAGTCTATTTTTTGTGAAACACACCAAAGAAGAAAAAAAGATTAAAGGGTCAAACAGCTTTTACAACCCACACGAAATTGAGGTAGTGTTGAATGTCGCTAAGAAATTGATGGAGAACGAATACTGCCCTAACGATGTCACAGTGCTTTGTCCCTACAGTAGCCAGGTATTTTTTATTTATGCATGTCAAGTGATTTATTTTTATTTTGTGTAATCACATGCATATATAATTGGATAATGCGGACGTCGGCTTTATATGATATTTAGCCCGCAGGCAGGGAAGCTATATAGTCATTTTTAGTTAGCAACGAACTGAGGAGCTGAAGCGAAGACGATTCTAAACCATAAAAGCACTTCATAAAATGTTTAATATTTAAGAAATAGAAAACATTTTCCGTATTTCTATACAGTTATAGAAACACGCGTGGGAGTTTGGGAGAACGAGAAATAATCAGTGGGAAAACGAGCCCGTATAGGGCGAGTTTTTCCACGTTATTTCGAGTTCTCCCAAACTCCCACAAGTGTTTCTATAACTGTATAGAAACACCGGAAAAAATGTTTTATATTTCTTTTATAATATAACTCAATAAAAAGATTTTGTACAAATATTATAATTCGATTCAATTACAAATTCTCATTACATCGCTTCGCTTGTCAAGTTCGGCGGGAAAATTCCCGTGTTTCTATACAGTTATAGAAACACGCTTCTCGACCAATCAACACGCGCGTACTATAAATGTTATTTTATAAATACCCTATCGATACTAAATAATTGTTAAATTGCGGAGGATTGATCATTCGATAAACGCAGCGAAAAGCTTGAAATATACAATCATGTCCCAAAAAGTAGGAAAAATAATTATTATAAATATACATCGAAGAACTCTTTGTTTGCGTTATAAACGCCCCACATAAATAAATGCCGCTTATTCCAAAGGAATTGATTAAATATAATATTATTACATTGGAATTGTTCCTTTTCATTAATTGAACAATAAAAAACCCGACGTTACACCTTCTATTTATTAACCGACGTTATATCTTCTACTTATATTCATGAAAAAGTTGTTAATCGTGGCAACTTTAAAAATCCTTTTTAGGCGTGTTTCAGGCTTTTAATTAGCGTTCAAAATTAAGGCAAATTAAAAATGAAATCATTTTATTATGCAGTTACCGTACTGTCCAGAAATAACCTAACAAAAACCGCAGTTAAAGGCCCTGTCACATTGTTGCGTCGCATTATCCCACTAGCGTATGGCAGCGTATTATAAATTATTGTAATAAAAAACATATTATATCATACATTATAAAACAGCGTATTATATCACGCATACGCCGGAATACGCTGAAATATGCTGGGGGTACGTCGTGCGTAATTTATACACGTTCCAAGCACGGTCACATACGCTGGTATAGGCCGAGGCAGAGAATTTTTTAAGCATGCTTAAAAATATTGAGCGATTTTGGACGTATGGTTTATACGGTATAAAGATAAGCTAGTCATACGCTGAATACGGCAGAAGAACGCTAAATGTACTAATAGGTCGAGTACGCTAATCATACGCAAATGAGTAGGTGTGTCGTACAGCTAACGTGTTGATAGCGCATCGGTAACGAAGGTCTAACCTATGTGTGACGTTTGTTTAAGGTCTATAGAAGGCTTAGCGTATGACTGACGATTAAGTAACGCATTTACCCTACAATTAGTGTATAGTTAACGCCTGTTCGTCGTATCCTCAGCGTATTGCAAACGTTATGAGAAAGGGTACATATAGCATGTCATTTATTGTGTATAATTTTATGTTGCATGGATTCTATCATATCATCTTGTACCTTCGAGGATGAAGGATGGAGTTAGCTGTTCTTGAATACCAGTTTGATCTCATAGATTTGGCAATTCGCGACTCATACGTTCCTATCATACGCAACAGTGTGACAGGGTCTTAACCTAGGTCAAATCGGGTGATGATTATGATGTTTTGTGTTAGGTTAAGAAGATGAAAGCTAAATTTGAAGAATCGTCGTCAGACCCCACCCACGAGTATTATACCAAATTAAAAGATATCCATATCACGACTGTGGACAGTTTCCAGGTATGTCGATTCTAGAATGTTCGGCCCATATAATTTGTATAGACAAATACCACATAGCATTGGCTGATGCAATTTGATATAGAAGTTGCCAAACTTTAAAATTAAAGTCGAAGAACGAATGATCCTAGTTCAGGACCGCACAGGGTATTTTTCGGAATTCGACCTCCTCGTGCATTCTCCCCCAGCAAACAACCTAGCTGCTTACAAAAATAGCTGGTTAGTTCATGTTATTCTGCATCAATGTAATGCATTAATGCATCGCCTGAAGTTTGTGTGGTATCCGCAAAGAATTGAAGTTAAACCACTTGAGAGGGTTTAGGGCATACTCTCTCCAAAAATTTAAAGGATAGTGGATTCGATCTGCTTCGTTTTATGGTAGTGAGATTTTTCAGTTAATATATACTGCATGTATATTATTGCATTACCTGCCTGAACTATGAGTACAATTTAGTGGAAGATGACTATATATTGCACTTTTTCATGCGGGTTATTCAAATGTGTACATGTTTCAGGGCGAAGAGAACAACGTGATCCTCCTCTCTCTGGTTCGCAGCAATGATGATGGCAGCATCGGTTTCTTTAAGCAAACAAACCGCATATGCGTGGCAATTTCGAGGGCAAAATGTGCATTGTATATCTTTGGAAACGCCAGCACCTACAGGCGCACGTCAAATAAATGGGAGGTCAGCTTCATAAATTTCAGTCATAACGTTATATGTTTAGAATATTCATATGAGCGCAATTCGTCAATATTCATAACTTTCTTTCCGTTACCATCTTGTGGGAGGACACCTGCATGGGTGAAAACGCCTGTTTTATGTTGCTTTCATTTTTTTCCCGAGCCTAAGGACATAAGTTATATATGGAACCGTTTAAATTTTTAATGAACCCTTTTGGTCTAAGGTGAGTTGACTTGGTTTATACCATATTAATTTGCATAATAATTACATAATATGTTAAAGTTGATCAGAGAAATGTGTTATAGTACTTAAAGAAGGGTTTAATTAAACACGCGCGACTAATATTATTGCGCTTAATTATTTATAAAAAAATCTTGCGCTTCAAGTTCAAATGAAAACTTCAAGTTCATGCCCTAGCTGCATCAAGGTAAAATTATATACTTGCCCTTATTCGCTTCAGGCCGATTTACTTTTTTTTTTATTTGTAGACGATTATATCACATTTGGAGAAAAAGCATTTGGTTAAATATAAGTTCCCGTTTAAAGAAGAATCTGCCAGGGTTAGATTTATTTGCATATAATTATACTTTGAACACTCGCATATTTACTTAGATATTTACTCTTATAGGTTATGTGCATTTTTACATTCTTTCTTATCCGAAAACCGTTTCAAAAACCGCATCGTGTGCGCCTGCATGGCTTAAACGATACGTGAAATGATTTGCTGTGTTAAAATAAGGGGCTGTTCACATAAGCTCGCGGTTACCGAGATTTGACAAAGCGTATATAATGGATATTGGGGTATTGAAAAAGTCTTATGAAAACAAAATAATCACATGCTCTTGTTATAAGATGATTATAAAATTATTGGCCCAATCTATATCCTGGAGACGGATCATCCGTCTGGACGAGTTTGGGCAAGTGAATTTAAATACGGGGTTGGTTTCCAATCCCCGTGCACTTTCTAAACAATTCCCGCGCACTTTCTTCATGTGTTTCGTCTGACGACATATTCGTCTACATAGTTCGTCTAGATATAGTTTGTCGTGTGTTTATACTCAGACGAATGATTTGTCAGAGGGATCATTCAAATGCAATTCCCCTGTTCTTTAAATATATACTTCACCTGTGCCTTTTCCCTAAACAAATCTCCAATCCTGAACTAATCCCAAAACCCGAAGCGGCTAAGTCTAAAAGCTGGCCCTAAAATACGTCTCATATAGCGTTAGTAAATTCACCTAAACACGAAACAGATGAAAAACTATGATTTTTTTTTCAGAATTGCAGGTCAAAAGAAGGTAAGAAATTTATGGTTTTTAAAGCAATTCTCTGAAAACACCTTACATAGGATGTGCAGTAAAGCCCGTTTTCCACTGGGCGAATTTATTCGCACGAACAGATAAAAAGTAGGAAGCGATTCTACCAATCACATCACCGGATTTCAGATATCGCTTCGCGTCGCGCAAATAAAATCGCCTAGTGGAAAACGGGCTTAAGAGACTATAAGGGTACTAATAACAGGAACAGTTATGTGATGAAGATCTTTATCATATAGTTATATAATTCTACACATATATAGATGAAGCTATGGATAAACACTTGTTACTTTTGGCTAAGGAAATCCCTGCAGATCGGAAAATTTTAGCAAAATTTCTCGGCATTGGTGATTCTAAAGTACAGGAGATTTCCTCGAATAGCCCTTGTGATACGTCATGGCAAGCATATGAGCTACTTAAACATTGGTGGAATAATCGTAATAGCGGGAATTCATGGCTTGTTGAACTTCGCAAGGCTCTGGATGAAATGGGAAGACACGATTTATCTAAAACTTTCGCCGGTGATGATCTCCAAACTGGCACATAAGATGTGTACAAGTCTATAATAATTATAATCGCTTGTTTTTTCAGTCCTGGGATGTATAGATCCGAGGCAATGTATTTACACGACGTACCCAAATTTAATTTCCTAGACATAATGTAGTTTTTTGGTTTTTTCAATATAACAAGTCCGAGTTTAAATTTTACTTCTTTTAATATAAACTCATCCATGCAATTGTGCTGAACAAAATTTCCGCGGAGCGATCTTAATCTTATAGTAATCTTAAAACGGTTTTAGCTGCTACTTTAAGTTTCATGCATCTTGCGAGTTGCGATCTTCTTCGTGGGTTGTTCGTATAACTCTCTTTGAATCAGTTGGCCTTCATTCAAATGTACTTTCTCGTTTCGTTATTATCCTTTGTTGTTATCATGCACAGCCTTGTAAACAATACTTTTCGTTCCCCGCTTTTCTTTGAGTGGATATTCCCTGCCCGGCTGCCCCTGGTACTTTGCATTTACACTAATTCTCGAAACTTTCAGCTTTCAAAAGGTACACAGGGTCATTTAAACGCAATAAATTAAAATACTTCTAATCGTTCAGGGGCCGGTTGTTCGAAGGACGTTAAGCTTAAACGGTGGCTAAGTTTAAAATGGAAAACAAAACGATCGATTTATTGAACAACTGAGCTGAAATATTTCGATGTAAATAGTTTAATTTTCAACGAAAGAACATATTTAATGCAGAACTGCTAATATAGTCATATCAGCTAAACTGCATGGTGATAATGCAGCTCACAACAGAACAACGAGTTCTTATTGTTCATTACATGCACCCAAACTCAAGGTACGACCCAAGTGCAAAACGCAATACACCGTTGGTTTACATACCCGAATTGTTTATAGACGATCAAATATCAGTTAGACAAATTATCATGACTTCAATTCCGGCAATTCCGCTTTGGCTATTCGGCCTATATGAAGCTAAGTGCTGTTTTGTGAAATATAAAGCTAAGTATTTTCAATAAATTTCAATACAAAGAAGTGAAGTTCGCGATCGATTGTTTTGAGTAGCTTATTTTCTCTTAGAGATATCATCGCTCAGTTATATGTTACATTTTAACTTTTATTCCATAAGTTGTGCTGGTCTAGTGGTGAGGCAATGCCCTCCCGGGTTCCAAACCGGGGGTTCGAATCCTACCATAACCGTTTTTCACTATGTCTTCCGAGAAAAAGATAAAGTAAATCAAATAATCATAGCCGTTCAGCACATGATCTCGTAGTCTGGTGGCGAGGACAATGGTCTCCCAAGTGGTACATCGATAGTTCGAATCCTACCATAACCGTTTTGCATTATGAACTTCGTGAAAAGGATAAAATAAATTAAATAATCATAGCCGATCAGCAGAAAATTTGGACGTCTTGTAGTCAAGTTGTTGGTCTCATGTATCGACAGTCGAAGGTTCGAATCTCGTTTTAGATGGAAATTTTCGTTATTAATATTACATGGTAAGGTTATGGAGAATAAGTTTGTGTAGGCTTCCAACAATCACCAGTTAGCCTTGTGGTAAAGTCGTGGACTATCAAGTACAAGACTGAGGTATCAAGAATGGGATGGTACGTTTCTCATGGCGGTAAAAGAAAAAAAAATGGTAGGTATGTTGCTCCGGGGAGGTTTATACTCGGTTAATCTTTGGAAATTAAAATTATCTTTAGGGAAATCATTGGATAGATAGGGTGAATGAGGGGTATATGGGTACAAAAAGACTTAGTAATTGGGCGGCCTCGGCCCCCGGAGCAAGGGGCGGCCTCGGCCCCCGGAGCAAGGGGCGGCCTCGGCCCCCGGAGCAAGGGGGAAGGGTATAGGTGAGAAAACAGTATATAAAATGTTTAAGTCTTTTTGTACTCATTTAAACCTCTTTACCCCTATTTACTCCTATCTTATCCCTAATTTTTCCTATCCTCACATATCCCTAACTATCCCCTAACACAATTAAATGTTTGAAGAAAGCTCGTTTTGAAAGTCGGGAGAGGCGGGGGAAAGAGAACCCCCCTCAGTCTACTCCTCGCCCAAGGCGAGGGCATATTCGCCCTCTCGCTCTACTCCTCTCACACTCACAAATTCTCGCTTTATTACCTTGTTCTTTTTCGGTTTATCCAGGACTTGAACCATCGACTGTATACTTGGTAGATCAACGTCTTCACCACTACACCATCAGTTCTTGTGGTGAAAGTCTACAGTTTTTTTATTTTACTTAATCCTTTTTTGAAAGGATCCTTGACGAAACTTATAATACCTTTTGGTAGGATTTCAAATGAAATAATAATTTAAATTAGTTCACTTTAATGTTCATGATTTATTTTCTCAAATTTCAAACACTGTGTCTTTACCACTTATTCGTAGCGTGTAACCAAATATTAGCCATTTGTGTTGTCGCTATAATATATCACATAGAGGTATGCGGCGTCTTAAAACCCCATCTTTCCATAAGTTGGTTATATGCGGCCCAAGTGAAGCTAATGGTTACGGTGCGATTGTTTTGTATTTTTAATGAAGTGAAGTCAAGCGGAATTTTCCCGTCTAACTTTTCCGTCTAAATTAAGAGTCGGGTAAGTTGGAAAGGAATCCCGTCTGGAAGAGAAACTCGTCTTAAATTCGCATTTAGACGGATAAATCAGACGAGTTTGTAAAATATCAGCACGGTCAAGGACGGAACAAGGCTACGGGAAATAAACCCAATTGTTATCGTAATGACTACGCGTTACCCGACTAATCATACGTAGAAATTTTCCATACTGATCTAATTCACATTCAGACGGGTTTTTACGGCTATCAACTTTCCCGTCTCAGTAGGATGGGTGTTCGGCTATTTTAAATACTTGTACTTTTTTTCCTTTAAACCTATTTTGAAATACATTATTAATTCTTGTACTTTACTTTGACTTCACTTCATTAAAAATACAAAACGATCGCACCGTAACCAAGGGCTTCACTTGGGCCGCATATAACCAACTTACGGAAAGATGGTGCTTTAAGACACTTCATTTATCTGCATATATATGTTATTTTAGCGATAACACAAATGGCTAATATTAGGTAACAAGCTAAGAATAAGATACAGTTGTGTGCGTTTTAGACGAGAAAATTCATCATGAACATTAAAGTGAGCTTTTTTAATTTGTTATTTCATTTGAGATCCTGCCAAAAGGTACTATACGTTTCGTCAAAAATCCTTCCAAAAAAGGATTAAGTGCAATAAAAGAGTGTAGGCTTTCACCACAAGAACTGGTGGTGTAGTGGTTAAGACGATGATCTGCCAAGTACACAGCCGATGGTTCAAGCCCTGGATAAACCGAAAAAGAACAAGGTAATAAAGTGAGAATTTGTGAGTGTGAGAGGAGTAGAGCGAGAGGGCGAATATGCCCTCGCCTTGGGCGAGGAGTAGACTGAGGGGGGTTCTCTTTCCCCCGGCTTTCCTGACTTTCAAAGCAAGCTTTCTTCAAACATTTAATTGTGTTAGGGGATAGTTGGGGGTATGTGAGGATAGGAAAAAGTAGGGATAGATAGGAGTAAATAGGAGGATGAATAGGGGTAAAGAGGTTTAAATGAGTACAAAAAGACTTAAACATTTTATATACTGTTTTCTCACCTATACCCTTTTCCTTGCCCCGGAAGCCGAGGCCGTCCAATTACTAAGTTTTTTTGTACTCATATACCCCTCATTCACCCTATCTATCCCCTGATTTCCCTAAAGATTAACTTTGATTCGCAAAGGTTAACCGGATACAAACCTCCAGCATGCCTACCATTGTTTTTTTTTTCTTTTCTTTTTTTTCTTCTTTTCCCTACCGCCATGAGGAACATACCATTTCTCCTCGTGCACAATTAAGTGGCCAGTGCGTTAATTTCGTAAAATCAAGCCATTTCGAATCAAAAGTTGAATTAAGGCCCACACTGCAGACCGGACGCGTTTTGGCAACGCGGCGCGATCATCGACTTTTCATTTTCCAAAAGCAAATAAATTTTAATATTCTTGTAGATTACTTCACGATAATACATTTTGACTGCTAATACATATTGAGGATGATACATATCGACGGATAAAATATCAAACGATAATACGGCATATCGACGGATACAATATCGACCGATAATACATATCGACGGAATACAATATCGACCGATAATACATATCGATGGATACAATATCGACCGATAATACATATCGATGGATACAATATCGACCGATAATACATATCGACGGATACAATATCGACCGATAATACATATCGACGGATACAATATCGACCGATAATACATATCGATGGATACAATATCGACCGATAATACAAATCGACGGATACAATATCGACCGATAATACATATCGACGCCCTTCATGAAAACCAGCAAATGTTGATGGAAGGTTACATATATACATACATGCATACGATAAATACATTTTGACTGCTCTGGTGTCCATGGATTCCAAATTTTGCTTCCAGAAATCAATTTATGTGCTTCTGAAAAGTGAAAATTCGCGTCGCGTTGCCGCATCGTGTCCGGTGCATGGTCACCCTTTTCAGGGTGAGTAAAAAAAACTGACATCTTTGAAATTCAAATTAGCCGGGAACTTATGGCTGGAATTTGACAATTCCCATCACAGACCCATGTGTACAATCAACAGGACGCGGTTAATTAATGCGAAAGTGTTTAAAACCAATTGAACTAATTCAACGTGGCGCGTGTGCTAGAAAAACGATTTGATAAAACTGTTGTTTTTTTATTTATAGTGCTTAGAATGCATTTTAACTTCCAAAAGGAACAAACTTTATGTTTTAGTCTTTGAGGTTAATTAATGAGTTAACTTATTTGATATGCTTCTGTCACATTACAGCCGCTATGCGGCTAATTTGAATTTCAAAGGCGTCAGTTTTTTTGGCTCACCATGTGGGCCTTTAGCTAGAATTTAACAAATCATTCGAAATGCATGCATGCAGCAACCCCTTGCAAAGCCGAAATAATTTTCTGAGCTGGCAAAACCAAGCTTAATTTTATATCATTAAAATTGGATTATATACGTCACGTTTTTCAACCGGAAACCCTTGACCTGGAACCTCGACCTAAAAGCCCCAGCTGTGAACACAAAAAGATGTTCATACGTAGTCATGGCTGTCATGCGCCATATACGAATAAGCTCATAACATTCTTGAACTGAGCTTAGCAGTGTACAACAGCGGAACACGACAGCAGTGTCGTGCCAAAACCAACCAACAATCAAATTACCAAAAGGAAATATCTCCAGGACAATTGAGAAGGTATACCATTTATAATAGGTTTATACAGCGGGCGGAGTTATAAATGTGATATACAGTATAAGCTTAAATACTAGCCTAATGCGCTATGTGAATTCTCATTCAAAAATTATCTTCATATTAATAGACATATAAAAGCTCCTGATCAGTAGTATATTCATCTAGATGTACGCTAAACTGTAGAACACAGAGGCCTCCGCATGCAGCCTAATATAGCTTAATTAATTAATAAGATGCATCTAATCTACGACGCGCGCTATGTTAATGTAAACAAAACCACTATTGTTAAAAATCCGATTTTACTTCGCTTTTAAAACCCTCTGACTTTGTTAACTATAGATCGTGACGATTATACCTGTTGAATTTTCTAATAAGATTGTTTTTGTTAGCGTCCATCTGGAAGCTTTTATGAATTTCACGTCGGATTTTCATTCTGTGCAAAATGTCGCGCGATCGACTCTTTATAAGCGTGGTTTTCATACGTCGTAATTCATCGGTGATGGTCTACGATCTATTGTCTGTGATCAATGAAGTATATAATTTTCTTCGATGGACAAAAAATTGAAATACGATGAATGAAAACCAGGCTTTATGATCGCTTTCTTTCACAATATATATATATACGGACAATAAGGTGGAACTGCATGATACCACTAGATGACCTTCGCGCGTACCCTTTTAGAACTGGCGGCAATAGAGCTAAGCCTTAGCCAACCTCCGTCCCAGAGTTTTATTACCTACGAGGTTGGGCCTTGGGAAGAATGTGCAAGCTGCGTTCACTGTCATACAACTGTATAATATTATTATAATTAATTGAAATTAAACGAGACTTACCTGTAAGTTGAAGTTTAAGTATGATTCTATGAGTTACTGGTGGGAGTGCGGAGTCACATGAGATAGCACGCGCCTGCTCACATCAGGTTTGAAAAACTGAAGAATGGCCACCAAAAGGGGTGGGCAAGAATTAGATAATCATTGAAGATTGGGTTTGGGCATGTGACTCCGCACTCCCACCAGTAACTCATAGAATCATACTTAAACTTCAACTTACAGGTAAGTCTCGTTTAATTTCAATTCTATTTCGTCACTGGTGACGTCGTGACAGAGTCACATGAGATTTTAAAGCAGTGGCCATGATTCAGAATCCACTACGTACATAGGAAAAACAACAATAACTTTAACCCATGTATTTCGAATTACATAATGTAATTACATTACATGAATAACAATAATAAGAACAACCAAACAATTAGCCGCAAGCGCGACACATGGTAAACCACGATTTGTTCAACTACAGGTTTAGTAGTTTGTCACCAAAATTGTCATTCACAATATGCTTATCATAGAATTTCGCAAAGGTCATCTCTGATTGCCAATCTGCGGCCTTCATAATTGTATCGGCGCAAATTCCTTTCGCTTTGGCATAAGACGTTGATGCAGTTCGAGTGCTGTGTGCTTTAAATATTGTAGTATCAATCCCTGCCATTTCCAAAACTGATTTCAGCCATCGCGATATTGTGTCCCGAGACACAGCCTGAAAGGGTTTCTGAATACTCAGAAGCAGTTGAGATGAATTAGAACGATGTGATTTAGTTCTTTCCAAATAGGTTTTCAAACAGTTTATCACACAAAGCCGTGGATCCTGTGGATAAGCCAAGAATTCCACATGCGTCAAATGATGATTAGGTGCAGAAGTTTTCAGCAATTTTGTAAGCAGAAAAACACATTTAGACTCTTCCATGAACATATCATGAATGTTCAAGCAATGCAATGTCTGGCTACGTTGACCAGACAGAAGTCCAAGCAACATAACTAATTTTAGAGTTAAGTTTTTTAACGTAAGTTCGTTATTGGGTCCAAGATTCTTTAAATAATTTAATACAACTCCAACATCCCAAACCACAGAGTATCGGGGAAGCGCAGGCTTGGTTTCGAAAACGCCTTTCAACAATCGTCTGACATATGGATGTTGTCCAAAACTGTTTCCATTGGGTAATACTAACACTGAAGATAGCGCACTACGAGCAGTGTTCACAGCACTATATCCTAGACCACGATCAGCCAACTGTGCCAGAAATTCCAGGGCATATTTCAGAGGAGCTGAAATTGGATGTATCCTTCTGGTATTACAGAAAATCTCCCACTGTTTGAAATAAGTGTTGTACTGTTTCTGTGTGGCTGTTCGCCATGATTTAAGGATGTATTTGGAAGCTGTTGTTGGAATATTTTCGTCTTGCAGACATCTCCTGACAAGTGGCAAGCCAGCAGCCATATCGTTTTGTGGAGAGGATGAATCTTTTGTAAGTTGTAAGGCAGGTAAAGTAACTTCTGTTGTGGGGGAATGAGCACAGGCTGACCGATCAACATTCTCATCAACTTCGGATACCAGATTTGTGTGGGCCAGTCTGGAACAATCAACAGCCCTGTAGCACATTGGTCTTGTATTTGTTGCAGAACTTGTGTGATTAAACTAAAAGGTGGAAAGGCGTAGAAAACGTCATAATTTCCCCAATTAAGTGAAAAGGCATCTACAGCTATGGCCTGGGGGTCAGGCTGGTATGACACATACTGTTCCACCTGATGGTTAAGTCTGGATGCAAAAAGATCGACACAGGGATTTAGGTGCATCCTTGCAACAATAGTATTAAAGACAGATTTGTCAAGCATCCACTCAGTTTCATCTCTGAGTTTTCGTGACTCCCTGTCAGCTGCATTATTCTCACAACCAGGGATATGGGCAGCTGATAACCAGACATGGTGGTTGATACACCACTCCCAAATACGTTTGGTGATATTATTACACAACTCTGAATGACTAGTTCCCATATGGGTAACACATGCTACAGCTGTAGTGTTATCAATCAAGGCTTTGACATGTTTATGTTCTACAATTGTCTTAAAGGATTGTAAGGTATTAAATACAGCAAGCAACTCCAAACAATTAATATGGAGAGTTTGCTCCGATAGAGACCAATGGCCCCCACATGTAATGTCCTGGAAGACCCCTCCCCAACCTATAAGTGAGGCATCAGTATTAATTATGATATCTGGGATGCCATGGCTAATTACATTATAGGATGTGGGAAGGAATTTGACCCACCATTGTAGTTCTGCAATGGCAGCTTGAGATAACTGCATATGGCAGTCAAAATTACCATGAGCTAACCTGAGAGCTTGAGTCTTTTCATGTTCTAAGCCTCGATAGTATAGGGGCCCAAACATGACACCTGGGAAGGTAGCAACAATGAGGCCAATAACACGGGACACCTCTCTAATTATCACTTTATTTGCTTTGTGTAAAAGTGAAATACAAGCTTTCTGAACCTTATCTATTTTTTGAGGGGTAAGAGATACTCTCATGAGAGTGGAGTTCAATAGAAACCCCAAAAATTCTAAGGTCTGTGTGGGTTCAAACACAGATTTTTCTGGGTGTATAACCAACCCTAATTTTGTGAACAATTCAACTGTGTCTACGACATTACGGGCACAGTCAAGGAAGGTAGTACCCTGTAAATAGGAATCGTCTATGTAACCAGAGGATATGTGCCCCTTTTTTCGTAAAGCTGTATAAACAGGTTTAAGCAATTTTGTGAACTTTCTGGGACAACTGGAGAGACCATTGGGAAGGCATGTGTATTGATATAATTGACCTTTCCAACAAAATTTTAGATATTTTTGACTTGAGTATGCCACAGGTACAGAGTAATAGGCATCTTTAAGGTCTATGCAGGCCATAAAACAAAATGGAGTCATCAATTTTATAACAGACCACAAGGTATCCATCTTAAAATGGTAATTATCAACAAAGGCATTTAAATGCTTTAAATTTAAAATCATGCGATGTGTACCATCCTTTTTTGGACATAGAAAAATTGGTGACATGAATTCACCCACCTCATGTTGAGAAGGGATTATAACCCTCTTTGTAACAAGTTTGGATATCTCAAGTTCAATAACTTGTTCCTCAGTGGTACTAAATTGATAATTTGATCGAGTGCCATTAGGAGGAGGTTCCTCAAGCAACTCAATAGTATATCCTTTAACCATATTCAAAATCTCTTTGTCAGATGTAAGTTTTGTCCATTCGGACAGACAAAAGGAAATTTGTCCCGCCTGAAAACAACTAACCTGTTTATGTAAATCAGATATCAGCTTGCTTATGTATTGTTTGTGAGAACTCACCGTAAAATGTGAATTATTTTCCAGGCTTACTGTTGCTGTTTTTGGCCTTTGGATGCTGACTTTGGAAACCATGGCTTGTTGTTTCGCCATGGTTTCCTTTGGGATAAAAAAGGCTGCCGTGGAGATTCGCTGGTATTGCGTGAAGGATATGGAGTAGCGGTATATCTTCGTCTATCCATTTTATCTCGGCCTTTGCTAGCTGATTGGCTGAGTTTATGTGAGGTTTTAATATTGTTGCACTCAGCTTGTAGGTCATCGCCAAATAAATTGGCGGTGACCGGCACTTTTTCAGAACAAAGGGCCACAAACTCCTTGTTGAGATTTGGCTTTATGGCATCTCTCCTATGATGGGATAGTTCGACGAAGGCATGGCCAAGAATGGCAATAATATCCATGTTGGATTTAATAATCTCAGTGGGGTCCACCTCAATGGTCTGCTGCCGAGCGGCAAGAAGCTTATTTGTGGTACAGATTAAGGAGCTGCCGGCTTTCGACAAATTCCGCTGAATATTCGCAGTACGAAGGTCCTTCCGTTTAACAAATTTGGGAAGGTTTGACCAAATTTCTGGATTTACACGAGGCACCACCAGAGCCGAGCAATTATCAGGGCGATGAATTGAATCAAGTTTCCCGGTTAGTTTCTTGTCGGACAATTTCTCCGCCCAACGCTTGTTTAGCATTGCCGCTAAATCGTCATTCACCGCAGGAGAAGTAGGTTCCTGTTCGGTAAGTTCTTGAGCAAGGTCTGACAACAACGTATCAGCGTCTCCCAAATTTTTGGGATCGTTAGAGCTTGTATTTGATGCTTTTTCTGCTGGGTCAGCAGTGTCAGCTAAAACTTTAGATAGTAACGCATCCTCATCATCTGAGTCGATGGTTTCCTGGTGCAAAACACTCAGGCTTTTGGTCGCCTTCCGTTTACGACTGCCATGGTCAGAGCCATGTTTTGGCGCCAAATTCGCCACGTTTATATTTTCAACTTGCTCAAGACGGGAATCTATGTTCTGCATATTAACATGCATCATTTTTAAGAAGGCAAGGATCTCGTCATTGGTAGTATTGACCTCGTCACCTGGTGTGTCCTCAAGTAGTCGCTTTGCATATTCGTCAGAGACGTCAACCGCATCGTCGTGCGCTTCGTCTACATGTCCATCTCGCTCAAAATCATTTCCGATGGCGATGTTGCCCTCAGACATGGCAATTATGAAGTTTGTAATTCGTCTACGGTCTTGTGCACCACAAAAGCGTCTTTTGTGGAATAACTGCCGTATCAAAGTGTAGATATACTTATATATCTAATCTTTGCCGTTATTGAACAACCGACGTGAAACAAAAGCTGGCGTACACTGATGTGAGCAGGCGCGTGCTATCTCATGTGACTCTGTCACGACGTCACCAGTGACGAAATAGAATGCATTTTATACTCCTAAACTCAAATGGCAATACATTATATGCTCCACTTTAACTTCAGGATAATTGAAAATACTGTCTAAGTTTCTCTATCCCCTCCACTGATATTAAAAAACGTTTAAAGTTTGACTGATCCCAAATATTCACTGATTTAATTTCTAAGCATCAAATGTGGTATAACAACTGCGTAAAATAGACAAAACGCCTCTCGACGTTTCGACCTGAGGGCCTTCGTCAGGAGAGTTAGTATGAAAATAAATAGGGGAGAATACATGTTTTGTATGGGGGCAAAACACTTGATGAAAATGGGCCAATGGAAAACAAAAATAAAAACAAATTGGAATACATGCATTTCATTGCCAAAGAGACGTCTCATTGTGGGCTGAGAATAGCCCGCAATGAGGGAAGCCTGATCAGCAACGAAAACGTATTACAACCAGTTTTAATGTAAACAAAGAAATGGGAGTCATATTACTATGGGTGAAGTAAAGAAGAAGTCTTAAATGAAAGAGAGTCTTTCATAATTATGCCAGAGGGATGGAAAGACTGTGCCAAGACTATGGACGAGTCGCATTTCTTGTCGTTTACGGCTTTCGTTAGTACCGGAAATGGGACAGAGGGCTCTAATTTTCATGTCCCTGACACAATGATTACCAGAGGTAAAGTGTCTGGCAACAGGCTTGGTGTTATCGTGGTTGTTAACCGACCTACGGTGTTCACCAAATCTTATCCTTAGAGATCTTCCAGTTTCGCAGATATATAGTAAACTACATTTGTTAAATGCATGAGATGCAATAAATAAGGTTGAAGGAGGGGCATGTGAAATGGTGCCTGATGAAAAACTGTGAATTGGGAGCCGAAATAACAGTGCTGGAATCGGTGAATGAGCATGTTTTACATTGGCAAATGCCACATGGGAATGTGCCATTGGGCTTTGAACAGTTTTGCTGTGGAGAGGTGTGAACCAATGTGTCCCGGATATCCCAAGATATCCCTAACAGCAAAATTGAAGGGATGATGTGTTAGAACTAAGGGAGTTGAATTAGTAGAAAGCGAGAGTCTATAATTCGATCATTTTTTTTTCGCGCAAGACTTACGCCTGTTTTCTAACAGCTCACTCACACTAAAACGTATTAAGTAAGAGATCTTAACTTTCTCATAACGTTTCCATGGCGGTATTTCCAATCGAATAAGGGCTTGATTTTCAGTGTTCTTTCTCATTGACAAGCATTAACAAAATTTTTATGCCGTCACTCGATCGCAATGAGTGTGAGTATGAGTGAGCTTTTTGAATGCAGGCTTTATTCTCCCACACGGCCAATCTTCATTTTGGCCAATCAAAATAAATCGTTGTCGCAGCTCCTTTAAACGCTAAGCAAGCGTCTTGTTTTATTACAAATCAGCAGCGAGCGGAATTCTAGCTTTCCTGCAATCTGATTGGCTGTCCGGAATCCTATATTTTATTCTCGAGCGAAAGCGTAATTGTTCTGTTTTTCTAAAGATTTACTCGCCAACTTTTGACTTATTTATATTAAACACGGACTAAATGATTATCATGATAAATGGAAGTGAATTATAATAAATATATCTAAGTTAAACGAATGAGGTTTTGATTGTTTTTTTTGTCGCTGTTGTTGAGTCTACGAGTTAAGAGTTTAGTTGGTCCGTATAGGGAAATATTTCCCTCGGTCTCAAAAACGTCCCTCGGGAAATATTTCCCTATACGGACCACCAGTCTGGTAAATAACATATTGACATATTGTGTAACCGTATTTTCCCCAAATATTTTCAGGCTCGAATCTATCATGACCGTAACGATTGATGAAGTGTTCAAAAAGATCGGCGAATTTCGCCGGTATCAATGGTACATCATCACTTTGATTGGATATTGTACCTTTGCTGCTACCGCTATTAATGGTTCGATAGTGGCGTTTATTGCAGCCGAACCTGATTGGAAATGTGTTGAGGGTTACATGAACAACACGGTGTGTAGATTTAACACATCCATAACATTAACTAGCAAAGATTACAAAGCCAGGTGTAAAATGCCGAGGGAAGCGTGGACGTTTGTAGACGATTTTACATCCATCGTTACCGAGGTAAGCTGTTAGATGTCCTAGTGGCTAATATAACAAAAAGGCAAAAACGAAAGTTCTATACACGTGTTGGTGTTTCTGATTTCATTTCATTTTCGTATTGGGAAAATTAAAATGGGAAAACATTTACAAGGTATCCCCGAGCAGGGAACAAATCCGTGTTTAACAAAATTAATATTAAATCAAGGGTATATATAGGAAGCTTGGGGAGAGCACCAGCTTCCTGGGTCACTTTTAGTTAATGAAAAGGCAGTTAAAAATACCGTATGTATAGGGACGGTTTGATTGCCAAAGCTGCTACGAATAAGTGGGAACACGTAGGGCATTCTTGGTCCCTTCACGCACGTGCCTTCCGGCTCCTACGCCTCTGTTAATTAAAATATTGTTAACAAATGAAGCAGAAACTTGGTGTAAACAGACGAAGGATGGGGTCATTGGAGATACTTTTCCTCCGAAAAAGTGGATGTGCATGCTGATGAGAAGAGTACAAGCATAAATTGAAGTGTTTACTTGCGCTGTTGTGAAGCAAAGTTTAACTCCTGTATTTTTCCATTCAGTATGACCTGGTATGCGATGATTCAATTCTTTTGTCATTTGCTCAGTCAGCCTCATGGGTTGGAATGCTGATTGGTCTACCGATTGGTGGGCTCTTGTCTGATAAATTTGGAAGACGAAAACTGGTTTTCGCGGGATTTCTGGCCAATGTCGTTGCAGCCATTGTTGTGGTCTACCCCAAACATTTCCTGGTCTTTATATTTTGTCGACTATTGTTTGGATTTGGTTACGGTAGCTATTTAAACCTGGTTTTCATCACTCGCAGATAGTCGGCGATGCTCGCCGATATCAAAATTACGACAGATGCATGCCGAGCATCGTAATTGGTGAAAACTGCTCATCGTAATGCATCTGCGACTGTCCCCGACGATGGTCACAAAAGAAAAAAAAAAGTTTTCTTACAACGATCGGCGTTTGTCGCAGATAGGCTGCGACTGATAAAACCATGAAAACCGCATTTACGGACTTCGCCGACAATTGTAAAATGCTAATGATCCTAATTTCGAGCCCAGTGTTCTAATTTCCGCCTTCTTGTCCAAAATACACGAAGAACCGACAGATTGCGTTGATGAAAACCGCCTTTCTGCGATACTCGCCGACTGCTACCAAGTCAGCATCTCCGAGCATCGGCGTCTATCTGCGAGTGGTGAAAATCAGGCTTTAGAGTTACATGATATGTTTTACATGCACTGTAACATTTTTTTTTACTTTGAGGTATTGAGATGAGAAAATAACATGATCCTGCATGGTGGTCGTGTAATAACCTAAAAATAGCATGTGCTTGTTTTGTTTCAAAAACACTTATTTTAATACCTCAAAATTATCTAAAGCCTCGCTGAATTAATCTCGGGTACAACCTCTAAATTTGGCAAACATTCATGATATAAAACAATAGAAACTCCGTAAAAATTAAGCATTTTGAAATATATAATTTTCGACGTTTGGACTAAAATATAATCATCATCAGGAAAAGAATGACGATGACATTATATATGTACATGCAAGTATATATATAGTGAAGTGATTAGATATGTTTAGTTAAATATCAATAAATCTTTAGAAGCTTTTGTTCCGTGGTTAAGGATAGGTTTCTTTCTAAAAAACCTATCCTTAACCACGGAACAAAGGCTTCTAAAGATCTATTGATGTTTAATTGAACATCTCTAGTTGCTTTACTATATAGTCTTTTACTATATAGTCTTCTATAAAGACCTATTCGAAAAAGAGCAAGAGACCTGTAGCGAGTTATACAAAAACGAGGCTAGTCAGGTTTTTTTCAGCCAAAATAAGTCCAAAATTATTTGCTTTTTTTCTGGATTTTGATTGAAACATCGTTTTTGTAGCTTCTGACAGGTCCAGCTAGCGGAAATGTGAAAGTAAACATGAGTTTCAAATTCCGAAAATGAAAATCTGAGTAGCCTTGCTTTGGTGTACCTCGCCACAGGTCTCTTGCTCTTTTTCGAATAGGTCTATACATGCACTTGTACTTATGTAATACCATCGTCATTCTTTTCCTGATGATGGCTATATTCAGTTAGTCGTATAACGTCGAAAACTATATTCAGTTTCAAAATGTTTACTTTTTACGGAGTTTCTATTGTTTTATATTTTATTAAAATGCTCAGTGGTTCCCATAATTCATGACATAACCTTTCTGTTCTTTGTTTAAAGCAAAGAAATCAATTGCCTGCCGGTTTCAACTTAACATATGGTTGCAACTTGATAACAACCCATGTTCGTGAGATCTATAGTGCAACATTCTTTTGTCCTATTTTTATTAATTGGGCATTTCTAGAGCGTTTTGAGTTGTTTACTTCGGGGTCATCATTAGTGCATAGAATTGCTGAACTTCAATCGCAGTCATTTTCATTTTCTATATCTTGAGACTGCTATAGTTTGTTAGCAAGAATTAACTAGTACAGGATTCATGTAGCTAACAGCATAGGAACGCATGCAGCACAAATTTCAAATTTTTTGATTATACGTCTTTGAAAGGTTTTCAAAATTGCTCTTCGTATCCGTTAATGATGGAATATACGACGGCGAAATATCGCTCATGGCTTAGCTTTGTTCTCTTCACGTTTTTCACGCTTGGTGTCGCAACGTTACCCCTGATTGCATTCTTCGCCCGGGAATGGAGAACGTTCGCACTAATAACTGCTGCGTGTGCTGCACCTGTCTTGGTGATAATCTGGTAAGTTGCGTAATGCATGGGTAAAAGAGGCTTGAATAAAATTACGATAGTTTTTAATATTTTTGATAGATGTGAATTAGGAGTTATTCGTTACGGATGCTCTCATGTAGCTATAAGATTCCTTATTTGAACAGCAGTAACTAATTCACCCGTTCACATCTATATAATCGCGGAAAAATTACAAGTGTAAGTATTGAATATTGCCCCCCAAATTATCGTTCTTGCGGCGCCAGTCAACTGATTGGCAAAAGTATCGTGAAATTCGTAGACAAGTGAAATCCAAACTGAGAAATGCTGAAAGAGAACATGTAAAGAAAGCACTAGAAAATAGTCATGATATATTATAGTCCCAAGTGGAAAATATAATAAGAAATTGTATTCCACGTCAAGAAAGTACTCGGCAAGTTACACAAAGGACATCGATGAGATTGCAAATTAATAATTTCAATAACTTCTTCACCCCATGCACATGGATCCATGGCATCTAAAGAATCTTTATCTTTAATAGAATTACACACCCTGCCTGCACCACTGGAAAGCGTCTCTTTAAATGTTTCAGAGTCTGATAAGTTTCATTTTACACCTACTACACCTAGATATGTACGAAAAGTGGTAATATATAGAGTTTCATGAACATATATTAAACGCTGTTTCAACTTATGTCAGATAAATAGCGTTAAACACCTATTTGATTTTGGAAGACTTTGGAAAGTACCATGTCATCCTTAGTATATTTTCAAAACTGTATTACTGTTCAACTGTTTGGTCTAGTACTACAAAGAAAAATATTGAAAAGTTACAAAGAGTTCAAAATTTTGCAGCGAGAATAATGACAGGAAGAGGAAAATATGATCATATCTCACCAGTACTCAAACAATTAAACTGGTTACCTATTGCTAGCATGTTGCAATACCTTCAACTTCAAACGTCTATATGGACTAGCGCTTGATTATCTTGCTGGACTATTTCAAAAACGATTATAAGTAGTACATGAAAGAAATACTAGGAACGTACAAAAATTAAATATACCAGGCTATTCCAGGCTATAGATCTGCTGCTGGACAACGATCATTTGAATATCGAGCAGTATCACTATGCCTATATGGAGCTCCTTGTCAAATAGCATAATCGAAATTGACAATCTTAATATTTTAGTAAATAAGTAAATTGACTATATTGCGATTACGATTGCGAAACGAACTGCGGTGCTGAAGCACATGATAAACCAAAACAGCGGAGTAAAATATTATAACCCATGGGGTTAGTGATAACCACAGTGATAACCTAGGTTTGAACAACCGACCCCTATAGCTGATAATTAAACGGATAAAAACTAATGCGATGCCAACAATGTATACTGCATGAGCATTTCCACTTTGCATAAACCGTTGTTCGAAATGCATGCCTTCTACTTTTTCACGTCAGGTTCATACCAGAATCACCGCGATGGTTGTTGTTAAGCGATAGCGAAGACAAAGCAAGAAAGCAACTTTTGAAGGTCGCCAATATGAACAAAAGGACTTTACCCGACGATGCCCTTGAAAAACCCATCAATTTACAACGAGCTAGCTTTAGGCAACTGTTCTCGTCATGGAAAGTGGCGAAAATTACTTTAATTTGCTGGAATCTGTGGTACGTTTATTCATATTTATCACATGTATAAAAAACGATATATCTAACTACATATATAACTGAATAAACGATAATATATATTGCCCTAGAGTCAATTGAAAAGAGCAATAGAATTTACCCATTTTGAGCTTTCGTAGCATTTTTTGACTATCTTTAAAACCACGATGCTTTGCAAGAATTATTGTTATTATTTTTATTATAACTAACTACATATATAACTACATGTATAGTTACATGTAGTTATAAAATCAGTTCAGTTACGTTGTTTAATTGTTCAGATAATGTATAGGCTTTGCCATGTCATCGAGCTCCGTTCCCAAAATATTTCTTGAACTGTGTGGTAGGCTACATACGAACTGTCAGAACAACAGCTGCATGGGACAGTCTTTATTCGTGTTATGTTTTACACGTTTTCGCTTTATAGTGCGGCGCTATATTCCATGCACCCAATTTTTTTCTCTCCAATGAAACGTACATATACTATAGTTAATCCTGATTCCTGCACACCTGTTTTTTGAACGCACCAGATTCTCAGCCTTATGCGATATATGCATGCATGTGCAGGTCTTACACTCCGATACTATATGCAACATCATCAATTATCTGACTACATTTTAAATGACGGTTCTCTCTGTCGCTTCGATTGAAGTGCAAGCTAGGTTCTTTCCCATTAGAAAAACTGTTGTGCATGTTTAATGCAACATGCAAGTATGAACGCCAAGCAGCTTTGAATGAACTCTAAAGTTTGACACGTGCTCATCAGCTTCGCATCAACTCGTATTTCGTTTCGTCACTTATATACAGGTTTACTGTTGCTCATGTGTACTACGGTGTGTCTTGGGGTTCAGTTGATCTTGGTGGGAATAGGTACCTGAATTTTTTCCTGCTCATGGCTGTGGGTTTGCCGGCAAATTTTCTTGTTATTTGGACTGTTGACAGGTTAATAAAAAAATTTGTACTACCCATTGATTTTATCACTTGCATGTGTATGTATTTGACTCTATGAAGTTTGTATAAGAATTTCTCGTGTCATACATGTTCATAGCCCCGCTTATCGCTGTTTATCTCAAAAAGGCGATATACGACTCGAGTTCATGGTATGATTATTAAAAATATGCACCGGCCTTCCAATTATATGTCCAGCAAAGGCCCTGTATGCTGGCCATCGTATAGATAAATATATACTCAGACAATTATTTATATCTTTATCGTAGATTTGGTCGTAAACTATGTACTATTTCTAGTCTGGTAACGACAATGGTGGCGTCCGCGATTTCGGCTTCAATTCCAGCGGATCCGACTCCTGGTTAGTAAATTATTTCTATCGAATGGCATTAGATATTCCGTGCCCAAATTTCAGTTTTGCCCACAAGTGCGATACGTCTCTCAATGTTCTGAAATCAAACTATCAAAGTGTCTGTAACTGGGTTGCTTCGATTGAAAAATCACGGTAGGAATATGCGCTTTTCACATGTTTTCGAAATTGGAAAGGAAATTTTCTATTGCTTGTGTTGCTTTATGCAGCTTTTACAAGGATATGCTTGCATGCAGACTATGATGGCGAGCGGTATGCGGTTAATATTGCCGCAATGATCGGTTTGAAAGGAATCGTATTACGTTGTAGGCGATATCAAATATATGCGCAACGGAACCCAGGGAACATACATAACCCATCATGCCTTTCACGCTCAGTGTTTCATATTGCGCAGCGCAGTGTAAAGTTAATTTAAATTGACAATTAATCTCAAATGACTGATCTTTCTTCTTCAGCTAATGTTGGTATTCGTGTTACGGCGGCTATCATAGCTAAATTTTCCATTGGTTTCTGCTTCGTTATCTGTTATTTATGGACATCAGAACTTTACCCGACAGTGATTAGGTAAATCTTTCTTTCACACACAACCTCGTTCCCAGGACCTTTTGGGCCTTTATATTTCACACAGTGTTAACAAACATGCACTCACGTATATAACCAAGGGCTAATATATACTACAAAATGCTACTTGTTTGTTACGCCGTTTACTTTTACTTATTGAAAATTATTAACTGTAAAGACGTTCTATTTACAGATCAACTGGAATGTCTACATCCTCAGCTGTGGCAAGAATTGGTTCATTTGCTTCCAGTTACGTCATTTGGCTTGTAAGAAATCAGTATACTGAAATTACTTCAATACAGCTAACTTTTTTCAGACAGTTTAGTAACCGGTTAATTGAAAAAGAGATCGTTTTCTTGCCGAATTTCATGGATTAAAAGTTAAAATGTTGCGTTTCCAAAAGGCCATTATGCGATGGATTTCATTCTGACGTAGGAAGCAGTTTACTATAATCTGTCATGAAAAAATGTAATTAAATCTATCTTATACAGTTATAAAAATTCGTCGCATATAAGAAATCTTATGTTTGTAGGGAATGATAGCGATATGTTATTGACACGTTATGCGAGGCGAAATCTCACTCTGAAATGCACCTGCATGAATTATGACCGCAATGATAAGTGCAAAGCAGTAACATTGACCGGTTGAAACATTCCAAGCAATCAATCAAATTCAAATGAGGCAACCTTTTCACACACGGAAATTTTCCTGTTCAGCCAAATATACTTGTTTCAATTACTTTCCCGCACTGATTTCCTAGGATATTTGTAAAGATGGTAGATATATACAATCCATGCATACATTAGCCGCGCATGCGTGCATTACTCGGACAGGCCTAAATTTGGGGATCGCCTTAAGTCTGCTAAACCCCATGTTAGATACTAAATACTTTTGCCTGAGAATTTGAGCGATACGGCATACAGCTTCGTTGCGAGGCAGATCGACACAAACACTTTGAAATCTCATCATATATAAAGCGTAAAAAGATTCGAAGATTTAGTGCCAATTTTTGTTTAATATGCACATAAATTATGTTGAACTATCCGTATTATTCCATAATAAAAGCGTGCACTGCTGACAATTACACTGACTCCCGGCCCTGATTATTTTATTATACATTACTTTATTTTATCTAAAATTTTGTTGTGACGTCATCGACTCATTCAAGGGTACTTCCCACCAGTGGGCATGGGCAGTGCATGCTAACCTATAAGTATAGCCCCATGGCATGGTATTCTCACAGATCACCAATCACCCGTGTAAATGTTCTTTTCAGATTCGTGTGCATTCTGCACTGCCGTACAGTATATTCGCTGTAATATGCCTTCAGGCAGCAGTATTTGCATTATTCCTACCAGAAAGCAAAGGAAAAGCGACTATGGAGACAATGAGAGATTTAAAGGCAACGGGGAAAGAAAAGGAAATCGATTTGTTGGTACCAACCGGAAACGAGAAAAGTAACTGCGTTGAAAAAGAAGTGACGAGAAACTAAATATTGACTACGATTTTACGATTTAAATCAAATTAACCAATTAGTAGTGCTTAGTTGTATTTTGTATTTACCGATTGCATAAAGAGGAATTAAGGTTTGGGCCAGATGCTCAGGAGCGTTTCATGTCAAGGAGAGTTTTAGGGTGGTGAAACTCTACTTTTTAAAAATATCATCGTAAATTAATAAATAACGAAGCAACGTCAGACAAGTTTGTCATAATTTTTAAAATCTACAGAAATAAAGCGTGTGTGAAATAAATAATCAAACAGTAAAGCGTGTGTTTGAATTATTCTGCACAACATTGACAGTTTATGTAGTATGGATGCAAAAAAACCCGGTCTGATATTTCAATGTTCAGACCGAACAAGCTGGGGCCGGTTGTATAAAACTATTTAACTACATTTTGCGTAGATAAATCCTAGTTAACTCAGAAATACACAACTCTGGTTGGCCAATTATGTCCTTAACTATATACAGTTAAAAGCTAACTAGTCTTTTATACAACTGGCCCCTGGTCAATAATCTGTTTATTAGATGGCTGAACTGCATGAGACATCTCCGGAATACTGGTCCAAATACGGACCACTCGTCAACCAATCACAATAGAGGATTTTGAAAAGCCATAATTTATAATAAATATATTTAAGCAGTTGCCACCTCAAATAACATTGAAATTAATTGTTTTTACAATGCGAGCCCAAACGTTTGTGTTCATTTTGTAAAATGATTTTTTACCTTCTGTACAGGGCATAATTTTGAAAATGCTTGGTGTAATTAAAAAGCATCGATATAGTTGTCTCAATAGTACCGATAATATGGTATCGGCACATTCCTAATAATTGTGTTTTAGTGCATGGTACAGGCGATGGCTTTCCCAGTTGTAGTGGGAGGTTTAAATCCAAGTTGTAGTTCTAAAGTTTGCGTCCCTTAAGGGAATGTCTTTCATATTGCAAATGATCTTATTGCAACTAATATTATTCCGAAAACGATTTAAATAAAATTTCCATTGTGACCTGCACGACCACAGTTGAAACACATGATAGTCGCTTCACTGTTTTTCTTTGATCACTCCAGTGGTTTTTATGTCCACAAAAAACACAGTGAGGTCTGGGGGGTCCCGATGACTTTTGGTACCAGTGTCCTTCCGGTTTTTATTATTCTTTGTCGCTTTGTCGTCCACTTTATTTTGTCGAATCCATTTTTGCAAATCCTCCATTCAGTCCATTGACCATTCTTCTGAGTCGTCGTCTGATCGCACTAAGTCAGATTTGAGTCATTTGACACGTGGTAATTTGCTAATTGTTGTCATAACAAATCCAGAAAGTTTTCCACTTTGATCTAGAGTTTAAAGTGCATCGAAATTTCTGTTTAATTTGTCGTAGAAATCTAGAACTTTATTATGATTGTTTCCTCTTACAGGAGTCAAGTCAGTGATTATAGTCCATGTGAGTTTATCAAATGTTTGGGGTAACCATACTCGCTCTTCAATCTCTCTCAAGCAATCTTGTATCCTATTTCACTGTTTTTTCTCTTACTTTAGGACTAACCATTTCCAATATATACCCGTATTTTCTTCGGCTGTCGACGCTTTTTCGTGAACATTTTCTCAAACCGCACCCAATCTGCGGGGGTTCCGTTTAGGGAGGTTATTTTGATTTTGGGTGGTTTTGCTGCTGTTTAACGAGAGCCTAAGAGGTTCTTTCCATTTTGAGACTGAAGTTCTTTCCACTTCTGCGTCATGCGTGATTCTGCCTCGTGTCTTTCTTGCATTAATCGTGGTTCGTGTTGTACTTGTACTTCGCGAAGTTCTTCCTGTCGCCGTTTGGTTTGCTGAAGCTGTTTAACTTCCATTTCCAGACGCTGTAATTCCGCCTCTTGATCAACCTTTTCTTGTTTTCCCTTTAGTTGCTGTACAAGCTTTTCTTTATCTTCTATAGGCGATGAATATTTAGATTTTGTTTCCTTCCTCCATTGTCTAACAACTGCATGCACGCGGTGTTTTCCGTTGTCGATTCTTAATTCTTCTGGATACATGAGCGTTAGTTCCCCGCGCGATTGTTTATTATCTACATCTCATCGTAACTTTTCGCTTTCATAATCCTATTTGTTTCCTCTAAGAAATACCTTAACTTTGAAATTTCCTTCTTAATAGTCAATATCCTCTTCGAGTTTCTGCTCATCTGTATTTAGTTTGCTCACCTGCATATAAAGTGTCGCCCCTCGCATGTATGTTGCAGTTCCGGTTTAGTAATATTCGTACAGCTGTATTCAACTAATTCAGCCTGAGACAACGATAATGAAATTGATCACCAGTTGAACGAAGAGACATAATATAGATAATATAGATATGTAAGAGAGCGAACGAAAGTAAAACATGCCGTGTTAAATATCGTGTAAAGGAATAAAAAAATACAGTTTGAATCGGATGTCGGAACAGAATGAGAATATTATAGATGGTTGTATTATAAACGATTAAGTTCCACATGATGCTTTAGAATACAGGTTGTCAACACAGGGGGTCTAAGTTAAATTGTTGTGAAGGATAACTCAAAGATATTTGAAAAAACCGACTTTCTTGAATTTATGTTCGGCGAAGCCTTTGATGCGTACCGATTACTATAAACTCTGTTTTTTTTATTTATGACAAGGCCGTTTTCTTCAAGCTATTGGGAGATTCATTTTAAATCCGTATTTAGATTGTGATCGATTTAGACGCTATCTTTTCCAGCGATAAAAAGTGCGGTATCATCAGCAAACACGTTAATTTCGCGATGCTTAAAAACGCAGTCTGGCGACAAGTTCACGAAAATTAGAATCCAATTTACGTGAAATGGTCCGAAAGCCGTGTTGCTTTTCATTTAATAACCTAATTATGTTCCAACAGGAATGCATAAACCTGGTTGTAATAATAAAAAGAATTGATATTGGTCTGTGGTTCCCCAAAAGATTTCCACATCGACTATGTTGTATAAGTCGCATCACAAGCTTCAATCACATGAAATGGGAGCATTGGTCAGCTCTTAAACAAATTTATTTTTATCAAATGTACGTGGGGGTTTCTATACAACTCTGGTTTGTCTTAAAACGTAAACAAATTAAGAATGATCGCTTATGCTCAAATAAACACCCCTGACCAATTTCTTCCAAATTAGTTGTATAAATATGATCAATCATCAGCGATTCCAACTTGTCATTCTCTTTTTCACTTTTATAATATTATCAAGTAAAGCATAGTAAAAGTGAATGAATAGTAAAAGGTTGATTGAATACAACACCCTGACACTTCACCCATATTTCAAAAATGGCTAGACCATGCATAAGTCAAAATAGAAATATTCATACCTACAAGTTGAGCAAGACCCTGGGTACGAGGTTGCAAAGTCGAGTTGAATAATGGGGACTTATATAAAAAAATTTAAAAGTTTAAATTTCACCTAAATTTCACCTAAATTTCACCTGAACGCTCTTATCACGTCTCTGTTCATATTTTGGGTACTGCCATGGTTCACAATATTCTAAATAGATCTATTAATATCTTAACAGTAAAAATATTATTTTAATTATCAATACACAATCCTCCATCTTGTTGGTTGCTCGCACCTACCGATCTCCTTATCAGAACACAAGCAGTTGAATGTTGTGTCCGCATTAAAGCCTAAAATATCTCTCTCCTCCTGAATTCTAAACGAAAAAGTCGACTCCTTGGTCCCAACAAAATACTTGGCATGTGCACATATCCATTGGTCAATAATTGCTACTCCTCCATCGCCATATTTTTTTATAATCGCCCTCGTAGGTTCATATTTAACAATAGGAAGTCTATCTTTTAGGTATTGTATTTCTAGAAGATAGAATGGTGTAACCGGCATTATAACACATTATAACTTATGTGTCTATTTTTGCAAAATATTTTTTTAAATCTCTTGCAGCATTGTTTTAAAATCATAAAATATATAGCTATTTTATACACCCGAGTAACTCTGGCTGCATGAGATTATGTTCAGTTATATGAAGTATACCTCTGTCATAAATTTGAAACCGAAATAAAGTTTATTTCAAGAGATGTTAATTTCAAGAGATGTTTCAACCGAGAAATGTGTTTTTATTTGACAACTAGTCCCAGTCCTTTCCCGCCATTTCAGATCACCTGAATAGCAATATATGAAAATCGGTAAAGAAATGCTAAATGAATGATCAAGAGTTCTTTACTCTTAAAAAGGCGATTGTGTCGATTTTGAGTTTTTACTATTCATATCCTATATATAGTTAACACAAAGAACGGGCTCAGAGCCGAAAAATATCAATTTTACTAATCATTTTACTAAAGCGATAAAATCTTACCTTCTTCTGGTGCGTCAGTGGCGAGGAAAACTTTATCCAGTTTTTGTTTCTCCATAATCGTCTGGATCTGCTTAACAGCGCCATCTAAACTTGGAACAAAGTTTTTTCTTGCATAGAGAAAGTCTGCGCGTCTAAGATGAACACCAAGATACGGCCCCCCAATTGCGCTGCCTTCTTTTTTCTTGTTTTTACGCCAATCCGTTTTCCTCACCGTAGAATCAGCTTCGTCGTTTGAATTTAGAAACTCCTTTCTGAATTTGTCTCCAATTTTCCGCAAATGTTTTGCGAACACCAAACTCCGCCGGGCCTAACAGAATTAAGAAGAGGCAATTACCGTTATACTCGAACAAAATGCTGCTGTGTAACGGCAAAATTGCCCGTGTTTTGGTACAGTTTGAACTGAACCTGATTCCTATTCTTAAAGTTATGACGCTAAAGTTGTACGCTCATTACTAGGGTGATCGTACCCAGCCGAAAAAACGTGATTTTGTTCGATTAAATTAGTCACCTTCGTTTAAACTGGTTTAAACTTTGTTATGTGAACCTTAGATTTAGGGGATTTTTAGATTATGACATATTGATTTGGTTCGACAATTTCCTTTCCTGTAATGTCTGGTTTCCGTTTAGTCGTATGTGTCGTTGAAAATGCCAAGGTGGTTGATGTGATAGAATATTTCTATGTGTGTGCTGTCAACAATGACCGATTTGGATACAGAAAAAAAGTAGGGTGTAAGAGCTTCACAGGCGTTTTAATCTTACAAAGTCAAAGTAATTATTTAAAATAATTATTATTCAATGAAAATTATTATCCAGTCTACCTTCCAGTATTCAATTTGGCCGTATTCAATGTGTAGAACCTCTTCAAATCGATCTATAAAAACTGACCTATGAAAAATTCAGTCTAATTTAATCCATAACGCAACTAGATGCCAATACACAATATGCTGTCGTTGCTTCATTTTAAAAAATAGGAAGTCTTTTTCTGGATGTTTTATGGTGGGTAATAGGTTTCTTCCTAGCTCCATGGGTCAGGAAGTGCTTTTGTGGATTACCTTCTGTATTAAGGTGGATTGCCCATATCTGACCTCAAAATCTCTCGCTTCGAAACCAGGCTGTTTTTAAAAATCATGGCAATGAGCCAAAATGACCTAACTAGAAATCGGTAATTAAAGATGGGCAGTTGTAGGGGATCTGGGGCAAAATTTGTCGTATTTCGAGTCTTTATGGCTTAATTTCCTGCATTACGAGGTTAACACTTGCTAACAAATCTTCCTCAATAGAGTAAAGTTTATTGAGAGAATATCTTTACTTTTTTCTGTGCATTGTTATTTAGGTAATATTTACACTCAAAGGGACTTAGGGGGGGGGGGCAAAAGCCATTACTTGGGGAAGAAAAGAATCTAGGGCCTGTACAATACAGTTTAAAAAAGCCCTGTTACAAAAATTACAACTCATAGAACTTTACCGCCTCAATGTTTGTCAGGAATGAATACAGGCATTCTCTGAAATCATTCCTGTTAGGAGACCACATTGAAAATATGTATAGCAACATAAAGTAAAACCAACTAACTGAACTAACGGTTTTAGTAATTTGGAGCAAAAAACCACTCACTTTGCGCTGGTCTCCATTAGCAATGGTTTTAATACTGTAGCTAAACCTTGCACAGACATACATTTGAACTCCCACGTGAACACTTGCTCAAGTCCCCAGAAATACCCCCTGTATTTGCCATCTTCCATTTTTCTGTAAAAGATGCAAGATGTATCATTGTACATAGCAGCAACAAGGAAAATTGTGAAATCTGAAATTTCATATTAATGCATTTTTTCATGCTATTAATGCTGAAATTTAATGCTTACTGGTGTAAATGCTCTGTTGCATGCTCAACCTACCAAGTGCAACTGGTATATCTGTTTGCATACTTGTGCATGACTAGTATGCAAGCTAGGTTTATCATTATATCATTATACCTTAGCCAGAGGGAGTCATTATACTGTATGCCTCATATGCAAGTAATAAACAATAACCATATGTTAGAGAAACACTTAATGGTAGTAAAGAAGAAAGATAATTTATAAGTTATAAGTTATTTGAAAATTTGTAATGATTTGCACTGATGATGGTGAGGGCTTACAGGTTGAAAGCTCTGCAAAACTAACTTCACATGGTGTTTCCACAAACAAACATTCCAAATTTTATAAATTAATTCCTATATATGGTTAGCTGTTTAGGAAGCTTTCTTCCTTTATTCAATGTTTTCACACTGTCTGATTTGCATCGCTACTTCCTTTGTTAGTGCTCTATTAACTGACGTCGTTATATGGTTTGGCATAGTTGGGTTTGAGAAGATTTGGATAATAAAATTAGCCATGTTTAATTAAATAGAGGAATAATTATGGCAAATTTGAAAAAGGATCATGAGGCTGTTTGCATCATAAAAACAGGCTCTTGTTGCACTGTAAATCTCCAACCAGTCAGCAACAGAATGAGCAATAAGGTTAACAACTCATACTATTACACTCAGTTCAACTTATGGCATATTTAGACTACACAATAAGTTGTATGCAATTATCATTCTGACGAATGCAAAAGGGGAAGAATCGTATATGAAGAAGTGTAAATGGACCTATAGACATCCAGGAGTAAAAAATTAACTCATATCTTGAGCACACAGTGTTATATTAATAGTATATATTTGTGCCAAGATGGGCAATATATTATTCATTATTTCATTCACTTTAAGACAAGACAATTTGCTTCTTAGCAGAGTAACCAGTTGATTAACAAAATATCCGATTATTCTCTTGTTACCTCATGACCTAGCCAGTGGCCACCTGGATGCAAATTTGTATGCAAGTTCTACTTGTGAGTACTGTGTGTATATTTGGCAACAACAAAATGTTTGTGTTTATTACACACTCCATGTGCATTACTTACACTCACATTTTGAAAACTCTTCACTCATTTATATTTCTCAAAAGTAGAATTGCATTACAAGCTGCAAGTACAATTGCACTGTATAAGCGGACTTCAACTAAAAAGATTGAGATTGGATTCCCAGGATATCAGATGCAGGATTTCATACAACCTTCCCCCCACCCCAACCTTTCTCTAATCGGTCGACATTTGTGCACAGTCATGGAATTGCAAAATAAATACACAATATTTTCCTCACATGTAAATAGGTCTTTCAAGGCATTCACGTTCGTCAATTTTTTCTTCCCATTCTCCATTTTTCCATCCCTCTTTATATCGTTGCAAATAGATTGTTAGATCAATGCCTGGGCTACCTGTTTCATTGATAAAGTCCTCGAACTCAATAACGGGTATGTAACGGTTCAAACTTTTGAGATCAAAAAAAGTTCTCCATGGCATAGCGTTTTGCTCAATATCGTGCGTTTTCCAATGGTACAAGCGTCTCCACGGAGGTACGACAAGCGTCCAATTGCTTTTTTCGTTCAATATTTTCACCAAATTTGCTGCCCTCAGGTACACGTCGCGTCGTAAATTAAAGCCTTCGCCCGGGTTAACGTCGTAAATCAAATACCGTTTTCCTGAAACTACTTGGCCAACGTTAAGTGCATTTCCGTTGCCTGCTTCGTACGCGGATAAATAATCATTTCCGTGGCTGGAAACGCACAAAATCTGGAGCAAAACAGAGAAAATGAACTCCAATTTTGCCATGTATGCAATTTGTATAAATTTTGTATACCTAATAAATTGTAATCGCCTTTCACAGGTCTCGGAACAGCCCGGCGCAACTCCGTGGCGCATTCGGATTTGCGTGCTTCCAATCGCTGCTTCCAAAATTTGCTTCCAAGGCATTCGAAATAAAAGTGATTAATGAGAATTACAACGTTTCTTCAAGATTGCCTTCGGTAAAAAGCCTTGGATTATTCATTGCCTATACCAAATTCTAGTACTTGTACACCAAACACTAAATTTAATCTGGTTTGAAAAAAATTGCCCGTGCGAAAATTTTCTTATATTCCCCAGACATTCTCACTTCATGAAATTTTTACATTTCAGGAAATACCATTTTCACAACTTCCTTAAAACAATTGTTGGGCCTGCGGCATGGCAGCGGATGTCTGCACAAGAGTTGACAATTGAAGAAAAGTCGCAGTTTTGGCTTATCATTATCTCACGGTGAGATTTCAAATTGTTATCAAGTAACTATATTCTTTGCATTCACCTTTTTTTTAGGTAACCGAAAATGCCTTTAGTAAGAACTGAAGATGTGTTAAGTTCCTGCAATTCTCTTTCGTCGAAATTCACACAGGTGAGCTATCTGCGGTTTTGAAACACAACATTGCACTTCAGTGACTGCACAGGTAGTCTGACAGACTGACACTTGTAACAACTATTTCGGGGGTATCAAGACGAATAAGACATTCCCGCTATTACTGACCTAAGCTAATCTCTCGATCTTAGTGAAATTTTGAAAAAAAGTTGCCTACAGGATTCACAAGGCACTTGAATATTTACTAACCCATATTTTCCTGGAATGTCAGTCAAAGAAATTTATACGATCCCTCAATAAACAGAATTTAATTCTTACTTCGATTAAAAATTTTGTCCATGCACGTTCTTAATTTTTTTTCCCGTTTTGCCAACGATATGATCTTAAATTTACTCGATTTAAGTTCAATCTGTTCTAACTAACCTCCCCCCCTGTTCAATCTTCGCCTGATTATTTTAAAATTGAAACATTTAAAGTGGAGCGACATAAAGATTTCTCACGTAAAGCCAAAATTTTCGCTTCAGGTAATAGAATATTCTGATTCTTCGGGAATCATCTGGCATTACAAAAAAAATTCCAAAAGAATATATGTCTCAGACAACAAATACGGTCGCCATTTTGTTTCCCAGTTGGTGCATAATATTGCACGGTATTTTTCAGAAAATGCTGTGATCGCTACTTTCGACAACTATAGATGCCCCTAATTGTTCGTATTTTTTATTTTTACTTTTAGCTGCGAAGATTTTGGGTTTGGAATGAAAGAATTATCAAATTTGTTCCGAATTTTTGTGATGTGCATCTGATTGGCAGATATCTTCTCACAACATACACTCGAATTACTTATCTGACGTCATTTTGGACCAATCAGACCGCAGTATTGGAGGGTGGTTGCTTGTATTGAAACAACCGGCCATGTGATTGTGAAAATCGAGACGAAGCGAAAATATTTCAGCCGCCATATTTTTAACAATTTGCTCGAATTTGTTTTCGCTCGGAAGGGCCAAGAACCGGCGTGCTTTGTCAATTAAACACTTGGGAAAGTTGATAAAGGCTTTCATCTATATATTTCAAGTATCTATTTGGTTCATCGAGTTAGTTTTGGTGGTGTACTGTTCGAGTAAAATTTGTGTTTTGCAATAGGCGACATACGGCGTGTTTCGTCAGAAGAATTATAGAATCTACGCCAAAAGGACGTGGCGGTCACGTGCTCGGTGTTTGAAATTTTTTGATCGGTATTTAGTGCAAAGAGGACATAATTTGGTATCGTAACGAAACATTATTACTTGGAAGGATTTATTCTGCTTCTCGTGTTGTCATGAGAGGCTGTGGATTTGGTCGACGATATTATATAATTCCCTATCGTAAGGCATGGTGAATGGCGCAAATGGCTCCCGCGCTTGCCGAAGCAGCAGGGTCCCCAAGTACGAACGGCAATATTTCGTCTTCGAGTTCGCAAAACCCCTTGAGAGAACCTTACGTGGAAGAAGGAATAACGAGAGACAACTCAAAGCTGCAGATCAACTCGACGACGCCAAAGCAAAACGGATTTTGTCGATCTATGGCGAATAGTAATATAAACTCTACTGTTGGCAAGCGTGTATTGGACGAAGTTCACAAGTTGAACAACTTGCCTCGTGCGTTCAGTAATGCTTCAGAGTCGACAAAATCAGGCAAAATTAATAGCCAGGATGTTCCCTTAGCTTCAGCGGCTGAAAATACGTCCAAGAAGGAACAAACTCGCCCTATTTCAGCCCAAAAAGAATCGCTGAATTCTACGCCCACCCGGATCCGAATAACAACAACAAAAACATGTGGTTCGAACTCGCTCGAAAACCGAAGTAGCTGTCAGGCTTTGGACAATAAAACAAATCATGAAACGCAACAGAGGTATTTGTTTCCTTGTCCAGAGCCCTCGCCGCGACTTTTGTTTGAGAAAAAAGTAAAAAAAGCTGGCCTAAATCAAGTTCGGCTTTCCACTCGTGCCCGCAAGCTAGAACGAAGGCTTCGTTCATTACAATCGCGGCAGCTTGAAACTCACGTCACTGACCAACTACAAACATTCGCTGTTAACCGGAGAAAGGCGCATCTGAGTCTTTCTCAACAGAAATATGATCAAACAAAACCGGATTTGACCCTGCGACAGCCTTCGAGGCAACTCAAGGAAGAAACGTCGTGCGAATCTACAAGCAAGGCAGTGGGTCGTGTCGGGGAAGAACAGCCTCCGAAAGCTTCGTTAGGAAAGAATAAGGATAATAATCATAACGAAATGGGTGGAAATAATATTCGGGCTGGTTGTGGGGATGTTTTAAACCCTGTAAATGACAAGGAAACTGAAGGGATTGCCGCAAAGTCTTTGGTCTGTCAGCTCGAACTAGCTGAACATGTGGGCGACTCGGACGCTACTGAATGTAGTTCGGGCGCCGAGAGTTGCGACGAAATGGATTGTAATCCTCCGAGTAATGAAGCCAAAACTAAGGGGTAAGTCCAAAATAATAATACAATTCGGGTTTCTTGCTTAAAAGTTCAATCTTGGTATATGCCAAACTTTAAACCGGAAATGAACGAGTCCGACAGCGTGGTCTCTCAAACTCCACGTACAGAAAAGGACAGATATGATTTTGGCACATTTGCCAGTGTATAAGAAAGTCCTTTAAACCTAATTTTAGACTCTTTCATTTGTGGTCTGGTCGTCGTTTAGTATATCTAATTTTGGTTAGAAATGATAATGAAAAAAATTGTGCAATTTTCAAGGCATTGCAATGCTAATGTATTACATCACACATTCACATTACATTATTGTCACTTCCCTATAATATCTAATAATGGACTGGCTTATGCATATACTTGTCAGAATTCAACGAAACCTGTTGTTATGCAGATTATGTATACTTCAAATGTCCAAACCCAGTTGATCTAATTTGCTCTTGCTCGGCTAACCAGCTTGTAAATTATCCAAATGATAGACATTTGAATTTGGCAACCAATTTGAAGAGTTTCAATCATATAGGCAAAGGGTAATGCTTGATTCAATATTATGTCAACCATAAGTCTTGTTTAAATTAAGAAATTCTTGAAAACAGCTTTAGTTGTGACTTTCGTCTATGCATATTTACTTGAAATATTCTTCACATGTTTGTAGAATTAAGTAGAATAACCTTAAGAATAATGATATGAATAATCAAAGTTTGTATTATTATTGCTATACTCATTTGCATTCTGACCAAAATGTTTACAAAACTATCTCCAATTGTCCCTCATCCTATTTGCTTTCAATTTGATCTACCTCATTGTGACATTTACTGAAAACTAATGATTTGACATCTCATTGAAAGAGTATTGCCATTATTCGTAAGAAAATATAAATATTAGCTGTCTGTGGCCTGTATTTTTTAACACCCTTGCAGAAAAGAACGAAAAATATCAAAACATCTATTATGTTTAACAAAATAAATATTAGGGCTTTTATCCATGAACATCAATTCTTATCTTATGTAATTATGATGAATGAAAAATCTTACAGAGGTTTTAAAAACATCCAATTGATTTCACTAATCATCTCTCAAATGCCTTGTAGAAATTAAGATCTTATTCTAGAGTTTAGTTACATGTGACATACAACGTAAAAATTTATGTGAGGAAACAGAATTTAACAGGAACAGATTGTAAGTTAGCTTTAGAACACCAATCAGGAAGCTGTTAGCCTAATGCTAACAGTCTTTGTTTGAGTAACATACCATATTTCAGAAAGTTTTAAATCCTTCATATTCCACCATGCATCTGTCAGCTACACCTTCAGAATACTTCATTTTTTGCTATGAAAGCCTATGTACACTGTCAAATACTTCCATGCAAATGTCAATATTCGTGTTGTAAATAAATCTCATTTACCTGAAATAACCCTGATTGTCGATAAAGACCTAAGTGTTGACTGACAGATAAAAACAGAAGCAATGATGAACCCAGCAAATAATGTTAAGGTTGTATAATTATTGCAGATTGGTTTAAATCAAACCATAGACAATCCGGAAGATGCACTGTCTTCTGGATTGTCTATGATCATACCAATATCTGCTGCTAAACAGATTTCCACAAATAGAAGCTCCTGAAATCAAACTATTATATTTACAACTGTATAAAAACAAGGGGAAAGTTAGAAGGCACTGAATTTTACTCAGTGGTTTGGTAGGAAAGGAAGAGATAGGGTGCACCCCCAGAAGATGGTATCAAACACTTCTGGTAAGAAACTGATCGCAGTATATCAAAGTGACAAAGCATTTTAGACTGAAAAGTTGTTTAGATTTGGAATTTTCCATTTTGGGATAACCTACCACATATTTCCAAATTGAGTGCCAGAATCAATACTATCCATCTTTATTTTTTCCTCAACGTCACGTTAATCCTTTTAAAAATAGCTTACAATAATTCTAAAAGATACTTTAGGGAACTTAAATTTGGCTACATTACCTACTAAAAGTTACCAGAGCTCCATTACTAGAGCTCCATTTCAATGCAGTTCCTTATTTTGGTTTTTAGAAAAAACCCCCCGACTTCCCTGTAATTTTCCAGTACTTACTCGTTGGGGTGCGTCCTTGAAATTCCGGTTACGTAGGTAACACCGCAATATGATATGATTATCAATATCCCAAATATGTTTCCCCCTAAATTTTTAAAATATTAGAAGCCAGTACCCGAAGAGTGGGCTCCTAAGAAAACCTAATATCCAGGTGGTCTGAAATGGCGGGAATAGACTAGTGAAATGGGACTAGTTGTTAAATAAAATTCCGTCTTTCAGTTGAAACAATTTAAAGTCTCTTGAAATATACTTAATTTCGGTTTCATATTTATCTCAGAGCTAACTAAACATAATCACAAATTTTAAGTGGTTCCAAAAAGAATAACTATGGATTAGATACTACAGAATAGATTTGCTGTAACTTTCTGAGTCCTGGTTAGCTAAAATATGAGCGCGCGGTCACCTGAGTATTTTTATTTTGAAAGAGTAATGTATGTGGTGAGCATTTCGATAAAGATTGAAGTTGATCCAGGGTTTTTTTCTTTCAAAAGGTTTCCAAGCCTTATAAACCAGTTCTACTCTGATCGTGGAACCATAGCATCAAAATGGACGTGGCTTCGGTCGCAGGTCATCGACATTGAGCGTCGAATACGCAGATGTGAGGAAACCTACAAAGCAGTTCGCGTGAAGAAGAGGCCAATCAATCTCGAAAAGCAAAGACACGTTCCAGACAACAAAGTTATCGTGTCGATGGCGAACAAAAGCGCCAACGATCTTCTAGTGGACACTGCGAATGTGCTAAACAATCGCAAGGCTCATGCTCAAGGCGGCATAATGACAAGCTCTCTGACGCCCGACACTGCGTTCTCGAAAAACTCTGGAATCCCTTTGCTGTCGGAAAAGAGCAACACGAACCTGCTATTGAATGTCCAGAAATTCGCTGGCCAGCACGATGGCGATCATATCGACTCGTGTACGGCCGCTAGAACTAGATCCGTGCAGCAATGGCAGAAACGAAAACTTTTCGATCTGGCCAAAATCGAAAGGCCGAGTTCGTGCATGCTCTGTTCTTGCGGCGATTCGTGGACGCCGTGCGTGCTTTGCAAGCGGAGTTCGCCGAAGTTGCCGAGATTGACGTCCCGACAAGATCTGAGGGATAGGGTTGCAACGATGGATTTGTCCTTTCATCCTGTGCTATCGTTCGAAACAGGTAAGAGGCGAAGTATTTGTTGTATAAATTTGGAGCTATCATGCAGTTATGAAAGAGGATTCCTAATTCAGGAATACTGGGGTTTAATGAAAGTTATACGAAACAATGGGAAATTATATAGAACGATTGAAAAACCGTAGACGAATCGCAAAAGAGAAGAAAAAGCCACCCATTGTTTTTATCTTTTTGTCATTTTTATGGTAGTTGTTTGAAACTTTACAGCCTGGTTCTTTCTGTCTACGAACGGTTTAGTAGTCTCTCCAATACACGTGGGATCTTGTTGCCACTTGTTCGATCTCTTCATCAGTGTCTGCATGTCAATCTCCATAAAATTCCTTTTTTCTGAAAGACGATGAAGTTTCTTAATTCTCATGCTGTGATACTCTTGGAAATTACTATTCTTGTCTCCAAATGAAGTGAAGAGCTATTCTTAACCATTCCTAATCATTTATTACGTGTAGAAGTTCCATTGTCTTTGCATTTTGGTGCCTTGTTGAAGAAAGGAAACTTTCAAAGTAAAATTTTCAAACTCAACGCGCCCGGTGATGCAAAGACTGCGACAAAAAGGTACGATTTTTTGCTGGGAAATACACGATCTTCATTCTACACGTTAGTATTGCGTGTTGGAGTTTAGATAAAATTACATACGCGTGTACTGATTTTAGAGTAAAAAGGAATGCTACCATAACCTAAATTATTTAATCCGTTCTCTAAATCATTTTTAGAAAATATGTTCGATCTTCGAGTTCTCCTGCGGCAATTAAAAAGAAGGAGCGTAAAGAGGCTCTTGAATTGTCGTACAAAAAGCAAGGTACATGTACAAATATTTTCCATATATAGCTACAGCGTAAATTTGCTATACCGAATCTATTCTTATACACCGGAGACGGATTCATGATCGTTTTATACGTTTTCGTGATTCGATCCTTTTGGGTCGCTAGACGTGCAACGAAGTCTTTTAACCTTGTCTTCAGATCCACTGCATATGAAGTGGAAAGTATGTTAACACTGTAGTGAATCCGTATAATGAGAAAGCGAAAGGTCTGTCCATGCTTAAAGGCATTCTTTTGGCTATCATATTCTCTCAGATTTTTTTTAACTTGTCTTGTGATCTGTTGTGTAGGTATTCGAAGCCTAAGAGACAGAAAGAACAGGAAAAAGGCGGGAGGTTCTTCCAAGAACGAACGAACCCTGAGGCAAAAATCCTCAAGAGCGAACAAAAAACGATCCGCTGCTGTAAACGCAGGTTTGAGACTCGGTAAGTTTAAACTGTTTATTAATCATACCCAACAATTGTTTCTTCATATTGATGGGATTTACTATGAGATGCAGACAGTAGCTATGAGGTAAAAGCCAGGCGCCAAATTCCTTCGAACAACTTTACTTGTGATCGTGTCTTAAGTGACATTATATCAACATTGCGCATAGTTGTTCAGAGTTTCCGCGACATCTGATTGCCAAGAACCGCAGCTCTTTGCACCTACACGAAACACGACAAAACGAAGACTGGATGCATGCTGTTTTACACGCGACACGATGTCGGTGTTTTGGGACAACGTGCTCATTTAGACTTTGGCAAATAGTTCTATACGATCTGGGACTTGAACCACTGTTTACGCTATTATCGAATAGCTATCTGTCTTAGCTATAGAAATAGCGGGGAGTCTATGAAGGTTTTCGATCTGCGAGACTCAAATAAATATTACCAAATCTGCCAAAGCAATAAACCTTTGCTACCAACCATTGCTGTGCAACGGCAAACGAAGTTATCATCACAGAATAATGCGAGGACTAGAAGGGCCACTCAGCGTTGCAAAGTGTCCTCATTCTTTATACGAAATATGCAATAAACTGACACAGAGTTCAGCTACAAAGTTCAACGTGCTTACGGTTAAAAGATAACTGGTTAGGAAGATGGCGCACAACAGTTTACGTAAGAAGGTTACGTAACATCGGAAGTTACGACTAGAGTGACCTCATTGTCGTCTCATTATTTTGTTATCGGCGAACCGGTATTGTGTTTTCGGTGCCCGGAACTTCCTTTCTTGATCAAACTTGCGAAGTGAATTTTATCTAATTATCATATTTCTCGCGCGTGGCTTTGAAAGTCAACCCGGGATAGAAGACTTAAGAGACTTAAGTTTGACTCATCCCTCGATGTGCGAACAGGAAACGTTTCCGGTAATTTTTCTACAACTTATATGCATTCATTGTTTTCTAGCCAATCAGTTGCAGAAACGAGCCCGAAGCTTGTCATTACCGTCTGGCAGTAGTAGACCGTCGAGTCCCGTTTCAAACACGCCCAGTCCGACTTCGCTTGGTCATTCCTTTCCCGCGAACGCACTCAGCGCGAAAAAAAAGAAACCGACCAGTAATGCGTTTGACATCAACAATATTGTTATCCCGTACTCGATGGCGTCGACAACTAGAGTCGAGAAGCTTCAGTATAAGGAAATTCTAACACCAGCTTGGCGAGAAACGACTGTTACACCCAAAGAATACCCACCGGTAATGCATTCGCTACATTCTTTGCAGCTAAATGATCGTGTAAATTATTTCCAACAAATTTTGTCCACAATTCTTTTTAAACAATACTACTTTTGATATGCCATTTCGACATACCGACATACTACAAAATACTATTTCGTGCGCTAATGTAAAAAAATGACACGACTTCGAAGGTGAAAATCATGAAAGAATGTTAGTATTTCTTACGAGCTCGTTGTAAATCACAATAAAAATGGGCATACCCATTTTATGTTCATAATTTTTTATCCCCGTCATTGCTTGAATTATAAACGTTTGCTCGTTTTGGACAAAAAGGCAAACGACCGTTGTTCCGAAGACTGCGCAAGTAAAGATTTGTCAGTAGTATTAAGTGAATCTTCTAAAAAGATTTTTTTTCAATTTTGTGTAGGAGGCAGATGAGGAGGATATGGAGGATCTCTCAAATCTTTCGTTTGCCTTGAGACATTTAAAATGCGAAGAAAACGAAAGGAAACGGTTTGTTGGCTTGGCGATAAAAAAGAAGAAACGGCCGACTCGACAGAACAGTGAGGCGACAACCCCTGAACCCGTTTCTCCTGGATCTCTTCTCTTCGACGGTCATTTGACTGCTAGTCATAATTCATCGGGTGTTCCATCGCCAACATCCAACACCCCGTCGCTGAATTCATCTTTGAACATTACTTCGCCTACGGGTCTATCCGGTGCGCTCGTTAACATGCTGTCGTCGGACTCGATGCCCAGCAAGATCGAGCGGTCTGGAAAGAGCTCGAGGAATCACAATCGGAGGAGCTCGTCCATGGACCACAACGAGGACAGCAACGAGGCGTGGCCCGTTGTAACACCGTGGCCATTACGGGAGTTTCCTCTATCGGAAACGGAGATCGATCACTTGAACAACCCGCCGCCGACGCCCCGTGTCTTGTCCGTTCCACCCTCTCCGTCGTCTTCGCGCACGGCTAGTCCAATACTCTCCCCTGTCGACAGCCCTGACAGCACGGCGAATTCAAACTGGACGGTTAAATTGCTGTCGCCTGAAGCGCAAGACAACACTGAATCGGACAACAAACCACCGAGGAAAGGAATCGTCTTGAAGCTGGCGAAAAGATGAAGACCATCTACATCACCTTCGCCAAACGTCGCCATTCCAACACAAAGGTTCTGCAAGACCAGGCACACAACTAATCAAACCCGAGTAGCATTGTTAAAATGATTCCTAAATGCCAAACTTGATTCGGACAACATTGGTACTAAAGCATACGTAGTTTGTCGCAACCTGTGGCAAACAGTTGTTAATTAGCAGCATCACGGCTAAAAGTCTGAGGAGTAAAAGTAGCTAAACCATGTAAAATGTAGTCCTTTGAATATGTTGAAAAGTTTTGCAAAGTTTTTAAAAGAAATAAAATACCAGGGTATGTTGGAGGAATCTGTACTATATAACTGCCCCCCTTACCATTATATTTGTAAATTTTGCACCAAATACCTCGATAGCAAATCAAAGAATGGTGTAAAGTGATTGACTTGACTGTGGATATGTAGGATTTATTTTTCGTCACCTGTCATTTACACCTCGATTGCCGTGTACTAAGTATGCTTTGCCTTTGGTTGTTACTGTAACTTGTTCGGTCCTTAAAATTACAAATGATTTTATATTGTGACAAGATACGTTGGTCGGACAATAATCTTTTGTACCTTCGTCTAGCGTTTAACTACGAATAGTGCAAAGAACCAAAAAAATGACTCGTTTTACGTTTGTTGGTGAATCAATCATAATGTTGTTTAGTCTCCTTGTAAAGCTTTCATAACACCTGTAAATAGCATGAGTTCTGGTTACGGAGTTCATTTTAACGTGAAATATGTATATCGCCGTCAAGATGAATACATGTTTTCTTTTCTATACTTGTTCTGGGATTGTTTTTTTTGTACTTTTACAATATAACCTCCGGTCGATATACACGAAGTCATCATTTCAGCTTGAATGGTCGTGTCGAGCATTTCGCGACCGAAAGTCAGTCTGAACGATTTTTAATTTTGACTTATCCCACCGTTAAAGCTAAACGGGCTCGATACAACCGGCCTCCGTTAAATAGAAAATGCACTTAGTGGAGAGAATTGGGACTAGTTAGCCGTGCAACAACGAACATCATCGCTCCCGGTATATATAACATAAAATTTAATGTCAGTCTCTTGTAATGTGGGTCAGTTGTAAACTTATAAAATTACCCTATGAAACTGCCCACTCGTGTGTTGAACCTTTCAATGGCAACCAATCAAAACAATGCTCGATAAAAGAGAATTAATCAGTGATGTTTAAAATATTAAATGGTTTGGCACCACCTACCTATAACAATGCGGTTTCGGCAATTTCGACGCGTCTACCCAAGCGAAAACAGAATGAGACAGTTCTACACACTACATTTCATCCTCTATTCTGCATACTGCATGTTTGAAGTGCATTTGACTGCTATGAAATATAGATAAAGTAGTAGAGGCCGTAATTCGTTAAAGAAATAAGGCCGTAACTAGTGTCCGCTGTCTCCATGCCAGTTGGTGCAGTTCTTCAAACAGTTTATCATTTGTCCTAGCTAATTAATCCCCGCAGATTTTCCCATGCAGAAAATTCGTAACTTCCTATTAACCAATCAAAATTGCTTAAAATATTCGATTGGTCATTCTTCCTGGATTGATCAAAAGATTGGGTGCGTACTGCAAGTTACAAAATGATTAAGTTAGCCGAATTTTTTTCCGGAATGCTTTCAACAGCACGACTGCATAACATGTGATGACCGAAGACTGTTTCATTAGCTAGGCCAGGCCGGCTATAATCAGATTGTTAAAATCTCGGAAGTCTGTCTTAAGCCGAGACGGATTGCCCGTCAAAAAAATCTACAGCAATTTTACATGCATCTTTACGAACTTCAAGTTGCAATTTCTCTCAGCTTTGTCAGTGAAGATATTACAGTTGCATGCTGTTACATTATTTATTCATATATACTATTTCTATGGTAACTCACAAGATGACAAGATACGAACGATTCGACATCTGCCTAGCCTCGCTTTTAGGGTTTATGAATTATTAAGTCCTATGAGTTATGACCTGCTGTTCTTGATTAAACAATCGTAGTTAATAGCTACTGTGTGTAGTCTTACATTTATTAACATTTACTTAGCTGCGCGGCATGCATGTGCAATTGCAAAACTGTAATTGTTTCAGCGCGCGTCCGAAACGGTTTGCCCGGCAGCTCGATCTGACTGCTCGAGAAAATTCCACGGCCAGTCCTGATAATATGTATTAAACTGAAATCGAACTTAATCGCTAACTGACCTGCCTACGCGTCCACGTATGTGCAAATTATATGCAAGTCCCTCAATGCAGCTCACTTTTGGAAAACTTTGAAAACGGTAAAAATAAATCTATTTTGTGCTAGGTTAATTTAGTCTTTTGTCGACCATGCGAGCTAGACCGCTGAGATTGAAGCAGGTCCTAGTGCGCTCAGTCGGCATGAGATCGTTATTAGCTCGTGTAAAACTAGAAATTTCTAATAGAAAGTGAAGTGCTGCGAAATGTACATATCGATTTTTATTTAATTTTTTCATAACATAATGTGACACATATCTAAATTATATGAAACATATCTAAAATAGGTTTAATATTTATCATGACGTCACACATCATGAAATTTATCATGACGTCACACACTACATACATACCAAAACAGCGAGATCGTATACGCATACAGAATAGAATGCTCCTCGCTTCGCTCGCAGCAATTAACGTGCATAAAGATGAACCATGGTTTGCAATTTCGACATTAATTCAAAAGCAAGTATAAACGCTGAGTTCAGGACAGTGCATGCAGTGCACTGTACATGACCATATTGCCATTGTTGAAAAGTCATAGACAGACTTGCACGGTGAACTAAACAGCGCATAACGCGAGAAAATAAGTACATGCATAAAGTGATTGCATCAATCATGAAAACTGCTCCGGCGGATTAACTTTTGCCCGTCCACAGCCACAGGCATATAGAAACGGCAACTGTCTTAATAAGTGTATCATCCATCGTGCAATTGCATGACGTAGAACATTCTGTTCTGATTATCCGAAACAATTTTGAGATCAGTGTGGACCTCGTGGCTGCTCAAGCTATATGTGAACGACTTCACCCACAGAGACTCACAAACTACACTGGAACAATAACACTGCTTCCACTGCTTCCACTGGAAATCATGTTTGAGACAATGCAACGCCAATGTTGTTCTCTATACTTGCAAGCAAATCTCAAGCATCTCCTTTAGACTAAATTTTATTTCACTACAAATACCCCAACGGATAGAAATTTAACGATGTATCGGTAGAGAGAATCAAAATCAGTCATTTTTTATCATATACTTATCCAATAAACACAGCCGTCTTGCTATTGAAATTACGTATAAAAGAGAATAACTTATTTATATATGAGAGAAGGGCTAGGATATATATTATATATAACAAGTTTATTACAAATATATCAAGCATGCTTATGTATGCAGTATTTCCATGATTGGCGGAGAAGAATTTTCAGCGGTCTATTACTTTCCCATAATGGATCGGCGAGATGAAAAAAAAGGGAAACTCTGAACGAGAATGGCAAAAGCAAATTCAATTTAGCTATATTGTAATCAATATAGGATGTCTGCAAATGCCGCATGCATGGTTTCAGGTGAAAATAATCGCGGCATGCATTTTTAAAGTGCATGCATGCCTTGTGCCATATAATAAACAATTCTCTCAACAAACCTCATGCACTTGCTGGGTTTTTAACACCAAGAAATATTGGACCTCGGTCTTTAAGAACAGTCATGTTTAATAGCATGCAAGAAAACTTATATTATGGTAAGATAAGATATTAATAAAATAAATCATATGATTTGCAATTTATTTTCAGAGATTTATAGATATTCTGCTAAGTTTACTTTCAGTATATAGAAGAATTTTTTTATTTGCACAATCTTTGTGATTATTTGCTGTTTCGTGAAACTAAGTTTAGAATTGGCTGCGAATATTCCTGCGAACTATATAGCTAGCTGAAAAAAAAGTGATCAACGGCAACGCTTAGCCATTTCTCTCTGATATTCGTTAGAATTTTCTGAACAGCGTAAGAGCTATAGTATGCATACGGCATACCTGCAAAATTGTATATAGCTACGTATTCAGAAGCTCGTGCAAGCTAGCTTCAAAATTGGCCACGTATATAATAATAGAATTGTTAATTGGCTTTCATTAATATGGCGGGATGACTTCAGTGAGAGGCTAATTCGCTCTATCTATATATCTATACGCCCTCCAAAATTCTGTCTGCTTGTGTAATTTTGAGCAATTACAACACGACTGTGCACAGCACGAGCTAAATAACATGTCCTTGTGTTTTTTTTCTGTCCGATCCGGTGCTAAACTTATACATTCAATCAACCCTGCCGGAGAGTTTTGCATGAATTCGGCATCATCAAATCATTGATCTCGAAGATTCGAGTCGCTGATATAGATCGCGTTAATATATGCGCCACAAAGAATAAAAAAATATATATTAAAAAATCGCATTACACTCTAGATGGAAAAAAAATGATAACATCCAAAAGCCGCGGGTTAATATATGAACAAGACCAGTCACTCGACTCATTTCTAATTAAAAGGTTCCTATATTGAATGTATATTGCATTTGCCTAAATCCCCACCGTTAGGATATATATAGTGGTGCTGTGAGTCCGTTGATAGTGATCAGCATGCAGTTATTGTGTTTTTAACGAAAAATTGTGGCGACAAAAGTCAACTTTTCATCTTTTTTTATCATAGAGAACGCCGTCCACGCTGTGACAAGGTCTCGCCGTTTCCACTGCCACTACGAAGATCCATGCATGCATGCATGCACATGCACGTGTGTTAAAAAACAGGCAAAAAGAGAACATTGCTATATTAAAAACAATCAACGCACATATTCCAATAGCGGCATTGAAGGCGTTTATATAATTGCCCCCACTTCCATTAATATATTTTGTGTTTTTCGACATGGCGCAAACAAAATTTCAGCCGTGCGTTTATATATAAACACTGTTAAAAACATATCCAATCGGATTAAATGCTCCTGTTTACTCCCATGCTAATATATTGATTATGGTTTCGGCATTAATCAGCTTTCACACGTCGTATTATATTATTGGTCAACTGGCAGCTTTTGTATCGGTATAAATCCGCGATTGCCGTTTTAATTGCAAGCATTAAAAAACACCGCAAACCGTAGCCTATATGTATTCAGGAGAACGTCATACTGGACGAAGTCAGTGTCGGGGCCAAGAAGGAAAGTTCAAGCTAGATTACGTCTTGGTACGTAAGTTGAATTGAAAGTTGATTTACTTAAAATAGAAAATAGATCAATTAACAGTCAGTGTACATGCACTCCGGTCTTTTTTTTCTTATACGTTCCTTTTGGGTTGCATGGATTTTTCATTAAAATGTGTCAGTAGTTTATAAGGTTTAATATAAATAAAAGCACGTCATGCGAACACTATATAAATGTATAGACAGTATAGTCTCCGCCGTCAATGTAATCAGGGAGTAGCGCAACAAATGTGGTATAACAACTGCCTATCTTGAATTATCTATATATGATATTGAGCGTAAAACATACAAAAAATCTATAACTGACTGACGGAATGCGTCTCCATTTTAACAGCTGTAAACTAAACGCTAATGCCTGGTTCGCACTACGTCCTAACACGCGTTTTATACGAATGCTCAAATGCTTTGAAACAATACCATGGATTCCCGATGCTTCTATAGGAGCTTGGGTGAACCAGTTCTCAAGTCTCAAGACCAATTTGTTGTCATGCATGCATATGAAGCCCATGTCAGCAAGTTCCATTGTCCATGAGCTGAGCAACTTTTGGATTGAGGGGGCGGGAGGAAGGGCTACTTTTAGAGGGACCGGGGAGCATGAATGAAACTTTTTGAAACATTTAATCCGTCAGAGCAGAAAAACAAATATATTGATAGGGGGTGGGTGGCAACTGCTCTGCGCATGCAGACCTTATCATAGGTGTATTTCAAAATACCCATGCCTGTGGAATACCAAGCTCTTTTTTGTAAGTGCAATGTATGTGAACAGACATTTTAATTTACAGATATAAGGTTGATATTTTCATATGTTCGAACTTTTCTAGTATAGTGAGCTTGATATGTGTATCCGTCGCTATGACGTATATAAATGGATTTCAACCAGCACATTGGCGTCAATCAAACTTTAATGGAGGGGGGCCATATTCATATATTCTGCTATTCCTAGCAAATTTTCTTTTGAAAACAATTTCACTTTCAATAGAAATCAGCCTGGCATAATACGCTCCCCTTCAATCAACGTTCGATTGACCGGCGCCCACGAACCAGCATTTTCTTCTCGAGAAGTATCAAGCAACATTACGATCTAAGGTAAGCTTAGAAAACAAAGTCATATGCGGTCATGTGTGACTGAAGGAACAAATAATTTGTTTCTTTAAGGATTCCAAAAAAATCCCATAGCAACATAGCCGTCATGATTCAGTGTGGACATTTAAAGTGTCTTGGGATGATTTAAAAGCAGGCTTCAGCGCAAAAGCTGTTGCCGTGAAACGAAAAGTCAACATCACCGAAACGTTATACATATCTTTTGATTTTAGCATAATTGAACGTTTGCACCATTGTTTGATGATGCATTAGATAATTATACATTATAATTCTTGTAGCTTATTTCGACATTATAACGATGCAAACAGAGCCATCGTGAATAGCGTCGACTCCGTGTTTTGCTACAGTTGCGAACAATTTTTTTATTTTTTGTGTTCTTTTCTAGACTACAGACGATTAAATGGCGCTGATAACAATGGATAGAAAGACTTCTTTCGCTATTGGTGCTGTATTTTTACTGCACTTTTTCGCGGGCGCATTGTCGTCGTCTGCGCCGAAGAAGCATATCCTTATTCTCGGCGGAAACGGCTTCATCGGCGGCGTGACCACGCTCTCTTTGCTTGACAATGGTCACCACGTCACCTTGCTGAACAGAGGGAATCCTTACTATGATTCGGACAAGAGGATAAAACCGCACGCCTCGAGGCAAATCAACTGCGACCGGGAAAAATCGCTCTTACTGGAATGCAAGGAATTGATCGATGATGAGACGTTTTACGACGTCGTGATCGACTTCACTTCGTTCTCGCCGAAACATGTGAGCCAGATTTTGGACGCACTTTCGGGCAGAATCGGTTTGTACGTGTTCATCAGCAGCGAAGCTGTCTACGAAGTGAGCGCAAAAAATCACACCCAACCCAGTAAAGAGGGCGAAGCAACGAGACCGGTCAGTCCGAACCGACGTCAGGAACTACAGAAAGCGCTTCCGTACGGCGACCAGAAATTGGCGTGCGAAGAATTGCTCATGCAGCAAACAAAAAACGGGGTTCCGTATCTTATACTGCGTCTCCCGATCGCCATTGGTCCACGTGACACTACCTACAGGTGAGCCAACAAATGCATGGAAACAATATCATTTACGCTACTGCATGATATTGCTGAACAAAGTACACATGCAGTTTGAGTTTAATATAAATATAAGGCGTTTGCAAATGCTGATTGGTCGGGATTGAAAAGCTTAGTTATAGCCGGACATATATATAGATATTTTAATATATAAACAGAAATTGTGCGCTATTGACTTTTGATTTCATAATTATGCTAAATAGCGTTTTCATTTCTTATGTTACTTATAAATATCACAGAGATATCAACTGATCGAAAATCCAGCAGTATTTCGACTTTCCAACTGGTTATATCACAACTTGCTTCCTATTAAAGAAGGGTTTTAAAGCATTTTAGCAATTTTTAGTTGACTTTCGTAGACTTAAGACTTTTTTCCTGCATAACTGAAATATTATCCAATTTATGTTCATGCCCATGGGTTTGAGTATGACGTAAAACCCGCGATACATCAAAGAAATGAATATTAATATTCTTATTAATTGCGGATTTTCAAATCATACTAATCTTTACCACATGAAATTTTATACAAAAAATCCTATACGCAAAACGATCCCTCAAATTGGGCAGACTTGCGGTTATGCAGGGGACAAAAAGCGCTGAATCAAAATGTAACCGTTCGCCTTTTCATAATTCACCTTCAAATCCTTACAATTAAAGGTACCTCAAAAAAACATTTTAGCCGGTGACCGTTTTTAAATCTATAGGAAGCCACCTAAAATATTCCATTTAAAATTGATTAGTATATTACACGGATTTTACCACTCACGACGCGGAAACAGGGAAAATCCCATGAGAGACAAAAGCTATGAATATATAACTTGTGGTCCGAAGTTTTTCGCGACCGCGTTGCCATTCTTTAACACCTAATTTAATAAGACCTTTTCATGGCTTCTCGACAAAAACAGCTGCAACATGCACTCAGTCTGTGTTACTTGATAAGATACACATTAACTGGGATCGGAGACATTACGATAAATACGCATATGAGATTATGAATAGAGTCACTCAGTCTTACGATGTGTCTCCGAGACCCGAACTCTATTCAATCATCCGGCTATGGTAATGATGCATATACGTACTTTGTTATGCGTGGGTATGAAAGCCCATAAAAGGTTCCAACATGAGTGGGCTGCTGCCACGATTTTATACGGTAACGTTTAAATAAATTTTCAACAGTTAATGTTTCGCGCAAAATGACGCAACCCATTGTCGAACCAATCAATTAATTAAACTGAATGTTAAGGTCCGTTCACACTATCCAACTTTTCCGGATCTCGTACGGAATGTCATTTGTTATTGATAAAGCAGTATTGCATTGGCTTTAGTTGATCAGTGATGCGCCCGTATACTTTGCCAGCCAACAGACTATAAAACATCCATCAGAAGTGAATTGCATGGATGCGACAAAATTGGATCGGGTCATTTCGTGTGAACAGACCTTTACACTGATAAGATTTTGGCAGTACTACCACATTACCGAAGAATCATTGCTTAGCTAATCGGTGTCTGCCTTAATTTAGATGGTGGATCTACCAACTTTGGATCATAACCCATGATGTAATTCGTCATCCAGTTCATATTCCCAATGGAGTGCGGAGTGATTTATTCAGTCTCGTCCACGTCGACGATGTTGCTGACGTGATTTCGAGAATTGTTGCCATGGACACACTTTCGATAGAAAATAAGGTAGTGAATTTAGCATTGAAGGAACACATCACTCTTCCTCGGGTCATAAGAGACATCGCTTCATACTACGGCATAGATAATGTGCAACACGAGGGGGACGATAAATCAACCTGGTATGTGTACCCGGCCGGAACAAAAGGCCCGCTTGATATATCTCGTGCCCAGGAATTGCTCGAATGGGATCCAATGCCCTGGAAGCAAGCGGTTGAGAAAACATGCGAGTTTTACCACAACGCAATGACAAAAGACGATTACCTCAAGGAAAAGGAAATAGTGTTAGCTGATATGCTGGACAATATTGTCCCCGATGAATTATACGATGCCTTCTTACTCAAGTTGAAGCAACAGTTCGGTGAGACTGTTCTCGCAGGGGTAGACTTGGACGTCGGGATTCCTGAAGGAGCGCTGGAGATCGACAGTGAGCCTTTGCAAAGTTCGGCTGGTGAAAACGACAGTGAAAGAATGGCGGAGGAATTGTAGATCGATTTCAACTGCAGCAACAACTCATAATGGCACGGTTAATATAGGATAAGACAGTAAAGTAGTAGCGCAACTGTAAAACATGTTACAAAGCCAGTAATTTCTTCTGAAACTTGGAACATGTCATCAGATGTAATGTACGCCGGCCGGAAGAGAAGTGCATTTGCGGTTAGCCTGCCAGTTCGCGATTGGCAATTCCGTTATGTTTAGCGTAGCTCGTTCAAAATAAGTAGCCTTAGTAACTGACCAAAACAGTCAAATAAGATGAAAGGCAAGGACATTTCTTCAAAATGCATCAAACAAACTATTCTCTATCCTCTTTATGCATAATATCACCCTGTTTGGCCAACATTTTTTCGTTTCGATCTCGAGGGTGTTGATTATCACCGCTTCAACTTTTCCAAGAACACCATGTAACACTATAAAAAATTGCAACGGAGTAACAAACATGGACCATGTTTGTTACTCCGTTGCAATTTTTTATAGTGTTATAAGCCACATCCGGTATAAAACACGATTGTTCATCACTTCAATATAGTATCAGATAGCTAGAATAATAATAAAATATCAAATAATAAACTTCGAAACTGAATTTTTGTTTACTCTCATATAGTATTAAGTATAAAATAACAAATTAAAAGTATGGTCAAAATTCACTGAGGGTGTGTATTTTCCCAACAGATTAAAATGGCTTTCATTGATTTCAAAATTATGGAAAAAATGTGGATTACTTTTGACATTCAGGCCCCGTTTACACGTGCACTATACCGGATTCGCTTGTTACGATATCTTCGTTTGCCTTTAAAGGGCAATGGTTAGCAGCAGTGTTTATTAGTTTGATAGATATTTATTTTGATCTCTGACAGTCAAAATTTTTTACCAACTTAGCTACAAAATTTGACCCACTCCGGAAGCAATCCGGTATAGTGTAAACAGGGCCTCAATTGGTACCAAACAAACCAAACATGTACAGTTTCGTGGGTTCAGGGCTGGGGCTCATTGTAATGGCGGTGATCTGACATACCAATATTATCTATGGAATTATATTTTATGAGTATGTTTCCTGCAGAAAAATAATTATAAGTCCTCCAAAATTGACTTCGTCGAAGAGCTTGAGATCCGGATCCTCCCATACTCTTAGTCTACGCCCAAATTAAGTGCACTAAATATGTGCAGTACTTTTAATACTGGCCCATAATGGCCTTGCGTTTGTAGTATTATATATAAATATTTGTAAAATTATTGTTCAATTTTAAAATTGGGTTGGATAAAATTAGGGAGAAATGGTGATAATGGTTCATGGGTTGACAGGTGGTTTCCCTTTGGAACCAATCCCCAGCACAAGCGTAATAAACACTACCTTGATGACGCCAGGTGAGGCGAGGTGAGTTTACAGCAAGATTACCTTAGAAAACTAGGTGTAATGGTGGTTCTTTTTCGGTCAGTTGATCGCGAAATATGTTAAATATCAACATTACCATTAATAATGAGTATGCCTCACAAATTAGCCAATCGTTTAACGTTTGGCACGGCCGGAGACTGGTAACGTTTCTCGTGAGGTGGTCAAATACCCAGCCCGCATTGCGAACTTCCTCCTGGTTCACTTTTTTGTTGGAACTGTGTGATATTTGGTGAAAAATCTGTAGAAAATATGTACAGTTACAGCAAGTTAGGTTCGCCGGTTTTAAGGGCAATTGTAAGTATTAGTGTATTCTTGTCACTGATGAAGATATGCCGGCTTTAGTTGATTATTTCTTATGAATTTTCCCTGTTTCTTTGTAGGTTGGAAATGGCCGGCTTACGACCATGCGCAACGCTAGTCCAACACTTGCTAAGGTTTGTACAATTATTTGAATGTTTTGGCGTTACAGAATCACTCCATTGTTGTTAAGTTGTTGTATACGTAGATAGTTATGTGGCAATAGATCGAAATTCGTACATTTTTGCTGCGATTTTATTGATATTCTTGCATGCCTTTGCCGCCATGTGATAACTCAGTCTACTTCGCTTGAACTCTGTACCTTACATTTAGCTGCTTTTTTCATGTCGATTTACATTACAATCAGTCAATCACTGTGTCATCTTGGTTTGTATTATTTTTTAAATAACACAGGCCTTTTACTGTGCACTTTTGAAGGAGTCTTGATTATCTTGCTGTTGAAATACTTTTAATTTTAATATATAGATGCTTGAAAGTCATATCAATATATAGTACTAGTATTGTGAGACTTTAGCATTATTAATTCATGTTATAATAGTCAATTGGCATTTTTAACCTTTTTTTTGAGTTTTGTTGCTAATATAACTGACAAGTTTTTATTGATGAACTTTTATGCATTCCTAACTTTTGGTAATTTATTGTATGTTGAAATATTTATACAATAGTACAAATAATTTAATATTTGTACCTCTTTATGCCCACCGATTTGTGCAAATGACTGATTTGCCTGTTCTCTTACCATATTGAACAGGGAGCTCTGTTTGAACAGGCACTTTTTCTTGATCCATGGGCACCCCTATCCTTTTAAGACAAGTCTAATGTGCATTTACATGAAATAACTAGCTAAAATGTATACTGATAAGATATATCCGTGTAACCATGATCTAAGCGACTTGGAGGCATGAAAAATTAAAAACTTAATAATTAAAATGCTAGTTACATCCCTGCCTATTCCCAGGGGCTGGTTGTATGAAAGCCGGATAGCACTATCCACCAGTGATTTTTTTAGTGATTTGATCAATTGCTTTAAAATCACCCATTGTTTGCTATAACTTTGATTAAATCTTAGTATTCCTAAATTGATGATCTCTTTAATAATTGTTGGAACAGTATAATTTTTAGAACGGTAGAGAAAATCACTATCCGGTGGATAGCGTTATCCAGCCTTCCTACAACCGCCCCCAGGTCTTTTTAACTATGGAAATTTCTACTGCTGTTACATGTTTTTTTGTATTAATTTTCAAATGTATAGTGAGCTAGTTAGTGTAGCTTTAATAAAATAAGTGTTGTTAATACATTTTAATTTGGGATATGGTTTGTCCTTGGTAATTAAAAGTAATGCCTAGTCAGGTTTGTGCATTGGCTCTGCTCAGAACAATGTGTGGCTTGCAAATTTGAAAATTGCCTAACTTTGGCATTCAAGAATCTAGCTCATATTCATTTAAAACCATAATGAACAATGTGTGAGATTACAAATATAAAGGCAAATCAGAATTTAAAAATAATTCACTAGGAATGAATAATGCTGTCATGTTGCCAAGTTAAAAATAAATTTTCCTTTTTATTTTGTATGCTGCAGTTTTTAGTATTATGGAACATTTTAGCTAAATGTACTCTGGACATTGTGATTAAAAATTTTACAAGCATTACTTTTAAATTAAAGCCACTGGGAATAGCGTAGAATGATGTGTACAGATACTAATTAGTAACTGCAATTTTGACCATAGACCAAAGAACTTGATTATACACATTATATTTTTGTACTGACTTTAAATAAATTGTATTGTATTGAATATTTCCCCCTGTTTTTTTAGACCTGTGTGGCTGTTGTAAACCCATCATTTGGTAAGGTGCTTCATATGTATTTGCATTCTTCTTTGTGCAGTACTGAGACCCACCACAGATTAATGAGATTATAAGCTGTTCCCTTATCTTGAAATATTGCTCTCTTATACCTGGTTTATAATTGTCTCATTTTGTTAAATTTAAATTTTGTAGAAAGCAACAATATGCTTGCAACAAGATCAATTCAAACAAGTGCTAGTGTTAGAGATGTCGAAACAGCTGCTAAGTTCATTGGAGCTGGTGCTGCCACAGTTGGATGTGCAGGTACAGTACTGTGACGTTCATTCTTCTAGTGTTCATCTGTTCATTTGAAACTATTGATTTAGCACTAAGGCTTAAATACTACATGTTCTTTTAAATTACCCAGATGGTCAAATGAACCTAATTTTCAAAAATAATGCAACAAACTAAGCATGTGGTACCTATGTGTTCTCTACCCCCTCTGTAAAGGCCAGGAGAAACTATCAGGAAGTATCAATCCCTGTTTTTGCTTAAATCAAAGGGGTAAAAAAAAAATTTAAAAATCAATAAAAAATATCATTAAAAATGCAATATTTTGGTATTTAGTGTTGCCAGAGTTCAGAGTACTTCTATAAAGCAATCATTACTCAATTGTCTGCAAGTTAGCTCACACAGACTGAAAAATTTAATCAATTCACTTTTGAGCCCTTTCTTCTGTATGGAGAGAGAAATTTTGGTCTTAAAGACCATCAAATAAAGTTACTTAATACGTATTAATAGTTTAAATGATAGAAGTTTTAGTTTGGCTGTTGAGATTTGGATCAGTTGAGGGTCTAACTGTTTATATATTTTTGGCTAGCTTTGATCTGCCACTTGGTTGTTTTTCTACCTGTATGGCGGCCTTAATCAAAAATGGCAGAAATAGCAGCGCTCGTGAGCTAATTCATTCACTGTATAATGCATTTTTTGGTGGTTTAAATTTTCACTGAGATGTGACATACTTTGACAGTCCACATATTTTGACCTGTCTTTATACCACGTAAAGCAACAGTTTCAGCGATTGTTGGATATTTTTCAAAACCTGGATCAGATTAACCTCATGATTTTGAACAACTCGACTCCAGCTTTAAATAAATGTACATTTTTATTCTTGAAACATGTACATCGCGTAAAGCAGTTAAAATGTGCTTCTAAGTGGCGGCAAACATTTACAGAAACCATTATTTTTCATGAACTAATGCAAGATTGAGCCGTTTCCTCTTTTTGTTGGACTCATACACTACAGGCAATGTAAAGATCATTTTCCAGAATAGTTAACTGCTGTCTCATACTAAACTTACATTTTAAATAATCAACTTTTTGCAGAGTTCGGAAATTTGAATGAGTTTTTGGTTGGCTGTAAACTTAATTTCGTTTTTTTGCAGGCAGTGGAGCTGGAATCGGAACTGTGTTCGGCAGTCTTATAATTGGCTATGCGAGAAATCCATCGCTGAAACCACAGCTGTTCTCCTACGCTATTATGGGTTTCGCCTTATCAGAAGCGATGGGGTTATTTTGTCTTATGATGGCCTTCCTTATTCTCTTTGCTCTGTAGACGAAATGGAAATATAGCTATAGACGTTATAACCATTAGCCATGTTTAAATATGATCGTGTTGACAATAAGATAAATCTAACAATTACTAGGTTTGAAAGTGTTTGGCTAATAAAATGTTTGTTTTAAATTATACTTCTGATGCGCAATTTTCTGCCGATCATTTCGAATTTTCTTATATGGTGTTAGGACGTGAAAGAGAGAGTTACATTAATAATAACGAAAGTCATTTCACGGTGCGCGAAAGAATTCGACAACCCGACTTTTCAGCTGAGTCATTACACCTTTATGAGCGACAAATTAAAAGGGGCCTAGTTTTCTAAAATTTCTGTCCCTGTGCCTGCTTTGGAATACTCCTTCCTGGTTTCCAAAAAATCCGACTTAAGTGATATTGTTGGGGTTGCGAATGAAATGGAACACGATTTGCACGAAATAAATCTTGATAAATGTGTGATTTTCGGTAGCTGGTAGTCTTATGAACTTTAAACTTTTTTTGCCATAGCTTGGAATTGCAGCCAACCAGCCTTAATGCGTGTGAGCCCTGAACACAACCGAACCTGACAACGATGTTGTCATGCAAGTATTTTTCGTGTGTCCTTGACTGCTTTGCAAATGTCTCATTTCTCCGAAAAGGCATGTGATGCTTATCCTATAGCTCGCTGACTCGCTCTGTCGGTGCCTTCACTCAAATCCATAGAAATAATAGACATAATAGATGTCTATTATTTCTATGCTCAAATCTCACGGTGCCTTCGCTCAAATTAACCTGCATGCATGAGCTTATTCTCATTGTTTGATGTTCTGCTTACCTCTTCTGTTTTCGAAATAAGTCTCTATACTCTCGTACAAGTTACAAACTTGGAGGAATTTGATATCAGAGGTGTCACGAGAAAAACGATTCCTAGAAAAATTACAACTGGAAAAAAAATTATGGTAAGATTAAATTTCTTAGACCTATTAAAAACTAATTAACATTAGTATCAAGATTTTTTAAGAAAAGTCAGAACTACGTTAATGGAAATCTTTTCTTCCCGTTTACCATAAGATATATATTCATGTGCAAAGACAGCCCATATTTCAAGGTTGGCGTTTATTTAGCAACTGCATTATTTTATGTTTTAAAATCTCCGTCTTGCCTGATGAAAACGTGTAAAACACAGTGGTGATCTTCTCGCGTTTAGATATTTTAGTCAGTCAGCGCTGAGAAATTCGTTCTGCAGTATTTATTTATTTATATATTGCCGTTTTTTATGAAAGTTGTTATAAGAGCAATAGCCCTGACATAAATTTGAAACCAAATGAAAGTACATCTCAAGAGATATTAAGTTGTTTCAACCAAGAAATGAATTTTTGCTTGACAATTAGTCCCAGCCTTTCCCGCCATTTCGCAAAAATTTTGGTTTAGACTTTGTTCCAAATATTTCATGTTCCATGGGGGGATAAAATTCGTTCGGTAGCCCACAAATACAACAATGAAACAATTTCGCATGAATTCTGCTTGTACTTTTCTCAATGTATGCCTTGTTTAACGTTAGTTAACAATACTCAAGAAGTCATACCGTTGAAAACGAACATGATTATCTTTTCTTATTTAGTATGCCATTTTTGACTAATTTTTGCATGCTTTAAAAAATACGTACTAAAAGTAAAACGCTGATATCTCGGGGAATACTGTATCAAAATACGCATGGTATATACCAAATTGTAAGTTAGGCATTCATGAGTCTAAAGAAAGTTATTTCAGTGTAACATGTGTCCTAGTTTTCACGTTAAACTCGATCAAACAGGTTAACTTTTTTTGCGCAACCCGGTATAAAGAAGTAACTGTTAACTATAGTTATGACAGAATTGGCCAATCATGCAGAGTCCAGAGTATCTGGGCTAACTACGATTTAACTACGCAAAATGTAGTTAAGAGTTTTATACATTCAACTGGAATGTAAAACCTTGAAATCGTGTTTAGCTCAGCACAATACCACATAATTATGTCGCTATGCAGAAAATAATTGTATAAAGTTTCGAGAACGTGCTTCAACGAATATTTGGCCTGTCACGAGACTTCCTCACAACCTAATATTAGGGAGCTTAAGATGCACCAAATCTACGACGCGGACGTGAAGTAATACTTTTTTCCATAGTTTCACAACAGCTATAGAGTAAAAATTATACACAAATGGTATGGTAAAGAAAGTCAGAGGCGTATTGAAAGCAGTATGTATAACTGATTTAAACTAGGTTCTTAATAGCCAATAGACGAATAGTGGCTGTCTTCATGTCACGTCCGCGTCGTAGATTTGGTGCATCTTAAGGTCCCTATTGGCTCAGCTATAGGCCACTTATAGCATTACGCTGCAAGAATTGCGCGCGTGATATCCGGTAAGTCAGTGAATATAATGAAAGTTCGAAGGAAGTAGACTTCATTGAATATAGTCTCTTCCTAGTTCAGAGAACAAAACCAGCACTTGGAAAGCTGTATCCTGAACAAGTCAAGTCGTCAAAGGGAGATATTGAGTAAGCAATCAGTAAGGTTTGCTCTTTCAAAATACAAGTAAAATCATTTTAATATAAAAGTGAACGATAAAATTACACGACGTTTCGAAGTCATCATTCTCAAGTGAATTAAAACTAGAATAAACATGTCCTTATATGCTATGAGCTAAAAATTTGCATTTGTCCTGTGCAAGGGCTAATCGACCAGACTATGTACAATAAAAGTGGATTAATAAAATTCTGCAATACATCATTAAAATAGGTTATACAGGGTGTCCCAAAAAAAACGAAAACTATTGAAATCACCCATAACAATGCAATTGTTAGAGTTTGAATGCCTAAGCACTCTGTTGGGACCCATAGGTGTATAAATGTTTGCCATGTAGTCATTTTTATGCATGCATATGACGCAGTAAAATTTGCTTGTTCGCAAAATGATATTTATCAACAATATTTACAATTTACAAATATGGATAACATTATTTAAATGTGCATCTCAAAGACCATGACCTTCGATATGTCCCCTTTCTCTAGCAACACAAAGCATTTAGCATTTTATAAGTTGCATTAAATCCCCACGGGCTGTAATTCGTGAACACAGCATTCAAATTTTAACAATGAGTGATTTCAATAGTTTTCGTTTTTTTTGGGACACCCTGTATATATAAAGGATAAAAGCTATGGTGTAATAATGTACAGGGTGTATAAAAAAAAAACGCAACACTTAGTATTCATGAATATCCTCTTTGTTCTACAACACAAAAGACGTTTGGCCCCCGAAATGCGAGAAAGCTTGTAATCATATTCTAGCGGCACAATCGTTGGTAAGCAAAGTCGGGTGCGTAAACCAACGAGCTGAATTGAAAGTATTTAACGAGTAAAATTTTATTTACAATGAATCTTACAAGGTCGACAGTTAGCACTCAAGCTATCATGCACGACAATAAAAACTCGTTGTTCGGTTGTTAGCTGCACCATTATTAGTTTAGCTGATTTGACCATTAGCAGTTGAACTGTACGATTAGAAGCCATTTTAAAATCCCAGGGGCATAAAATCTATTGAGCTTATAAACAATATGAATTTTAGAATATTAAGTGGTTGCGGTTTTTTTTATACACCCTGTATAGTGTACAACATAGGACTAATTAAAATAATTTAGATTTAATAGAATCCGACTGTCCATTTAAGCTGGGCTTTATTTCTTTAATGAAAAGCATTTCCAAAACCAGACAGTCAAACCATAGGTAGCCCAACACTCGTGGTCCGCGCGCGTACACGCTACTCAGTGATTAGCATATCTAATCACTGAGTAGCGTGTACGCGCGCGGACCACGAGTGTTGGACTACCTATGGTCAAACTTGTTTCTGCATTTATTAATCCACTTTTATTGTACATAGTCATGGTCGATTAGCCCTTGCATGCTCAGGACAAACGCAAATTTTTAGCTCATAGCATTTAAGGACATGTTTATTCTATGTAATATAGGAAACATGATACACGTAATATGCACAATGAACAATGCACAATGGGTTATTGAAAAGGGATATCATGTAGCGATATAGCACAGTATGATTAAGCAGAAAACAGTTAGTTGATACAGGAGCACGGGAAGAGCACATCTCAAGCACCGAAGCACGAATAAAGAGTTATAAATATATGTGTGTTCTGTGAGTATTTGTAAAGAGCTGTCTCCCCAAACGACCCGACGATCCCGGACGTTAGAAGAGCCTAAACGAAGCCACGCAAAAAAGGGTCGTTTTACATCTAGTTTTGATTCACTTGAGAATGATGTTATGATGACATCGAAACGTCGTGTAATTTTATCGCTCACTTTTATATTAAAATGTTTGAAAAGAAGTCTTTTTATTAAGTAAAATCATGCTTTCTAATTTCATAATTGATTTTGAAAGCCATTATTCTCAGTAAACGCTTTCACCCAAGATAATATTGTACCAGTGCTTCCGGGGCCATACATTTTACTTTTAAATGCCTAAAATTGTCTCTTCGTGTAATGTTTGTGAATTGTGATTATCCAGTCTTCGTGTTTTTATGCATTTGTATGTTATTTCTATAGTTATGGCAACAAAACTATTTATGATTTTGGTCCTTGTCCTGCTTTGCTGTTTACTTCTGGGTAACATCGCTGCAATTCCAGTTCGACGTCCAGATGGTTTGGCCAAAAAACGATCCAAACGGGCAGCAGACCTTCCAAGCTGTCTTCGGGCCTGTGCTGGGGGCACAGTTGCCATTCAGGCATTCTGCAGAATAATCCCTTTGCTACGGGTGAGAGCGGCTTGTTGGGCAGTTCAGTTTGCTAGTGTGCCTATGTGCAATGGATTTTGTTATGCCTACTTTGCCATTGGCTGAGTCAATCTATGCAAGTCTGAACATCGCAATCGTGGATTCTGAAATTAAACAAAATGAAATCTTTGGGAAAATAATTTGTCAATATATTTCGATATGTAACTCTCTATGTAATCTTTAACATGTAGTTGTGAGCAAATCAATAAAATAGATGTTCAACGCAATAGATACGTAATATCGTTACTATTCTATATATAGCTGGTCATCTTACGCGGGGGCAGCGTTTGCTGGTGAAGGGGAGTTCGGAGAAAAATGTTGAGCGAAAAACATTGTGCAT